TGCTTCCAAGTACGTGCCAAGGCTTGGTAGTTTGACCATTGCTGCTTTATTGAATAATCTTCTTGTGGCCTCGCAACAGGGCTGAGCCAAAGGACTGGATCTTGGATTAACAATACAATCCAGGCTTGACTTCACAGACCATCGTGACGATGTTTCACCTTTTCAAAAAGCTGTGTGCCTGTAACCATGCATAATAACTAAGTTTGATCAACTTTTATTGCCAAGAAATCTAGATACATCTCTCTAGTCTTGACTGCATAGGCTCTTCTCCACCGTGATCAATCTAGCAATAATATGAGGGAAATGAAGTACAAAAGAATTCGAATAATAAGATAAACGAGCTTTCGATCATTAGCTGCTTTCAGTCTGACTTGCCAACTTGCGTGCAAGAGGGGCCGCGGGGCATGATGCGGGCCCATTTCCTCAAATCTTGGCCTTCATAGTTTTTCCAGTCTTCAAGAATCGGGCAAAGATGAGGACGACGGCACCCAGAAGAAATGTCAATCCGCCCCATATCTGAGCTCCAATGTAACCATGGACTCTTGCAATAAGAGCGCCGCCAAGCGGAGGACCCGTTAAGCAAGCGAAGCTCACCAAGGTGAAGCCCATGCCAATGCGGACGCCCGTTTTGCTCAAATCTGGGGTTAAGCTGGAAAGGGTTGAAGGCCAGAGGCCTTGAACACCATTGGAAAAAATACCATACAGGACGGCAAATGCGTAAAGACCCGCCACCGAGTGCACCACCGACCAGCAAAACATCATCAGACTTGCTCCCAAGGTCAACGGTATAATCGTATTGAGAGGACCAAAGTAACGATCGGCAAGGTAGGCAGGGATCAGGCGGCCCAGGATGCCTGCACCGTTGGTCACAATAATCAGATTTGTCGAATCCGAGTAGGTCAAGCCAATGTTCGTGCGCCCGAAGGCCCCCACGTAGTAAAAGGCAAAGTACAAACCCCAAAAGTTCAGAAACATGCCAAGAATAAAGAGGACGTAGGTGGGTTCTTTGAAGGCGATCCAGTCCACCAAAGGTCCCGATCTATGCGGGGGCAGCCGTGGCCGCAGCAGCAAGATGGCTGGAACACTCGTGGCCAGCATGACGAAGCCTAGCACCCGCACTGTCCATGCGAATCCGATCTTTGGTATTAGGGCTTTCACCAGTCCGGGGAACAGCATGCCACCCGTGCCACTCCCGACCAGGCAAAATGCTAAGGCGAAGACCCTGCGGTTGGAAAAGTAGGTAGCCACCAGTCCCATTACGGGACAAAACTGCAGGCCACTTCCAAGTCCAGTGCAGACCCCCTGCGCGAGAAAAAGCTGCCAATAACGTGTAGCAAGAGAGGTCATGAAGACTCCCAGCAGCTGTAATACGACCCCGGCATAGAATGTCTGGCGGAAAAGGCCGGCATCTAACGCCCGGCCTGAGAAAGTCCCCACAAAGAAAATGAGAAAGATCTGCACCGATCCCACCCAAGAAATTGCTGAAGGCGAGACGCCAAGATCAGATTGATAGTAAGCTTGGAATACACCAAAGCTAGCGATGTAGCCCCAGGTATTGAACGACACTAGGTGCCCCATCACGGTCTGCGTCCATGCGGTCACGCCTCCATCTGGAGGGTCTGGCACCGCCGCTGACGATCCCTCAATAGTCTCGGGAGCTCCCGAGTCCGCTTGCTTCTGGGCCATCAATGGTGGAATGAGGTGTGCGCAGATCGAGGGATTGGGGAAAGGGGGAGAATGAAAATAATATGTTGGAAAAAGGCGCGTGTACCGTGTCAGCGTTGTCGTGGGCTTTTGCTCGTCTAATGAGGGTTCATTTTCAGATGCTTGGCGGCCTCTTTCCCTGCAATAATCCTAGTGCGTTGGTGATTGCGTGCTGCACGCATGTGGTGGAGACGGAGAGGTTTCAGTCAGGTCATCTTTAAGCCACATCGGTCTTCCTCGGGCCTTTTTTTCTGACATACTGTGAGAAGCTTGTAACAAAATGGCGGACTCTAGATCCACCGACTTCTGGCATGTTCAATATTGCGAGGTGGCTGACAGTGCAGTCAGTAGTGGCTCTCGGGGTGGGAACGGTTGTCTCTCCGCCCCTCCAGGCAGAAATGCCAAGCAACGGCTGATCGTCGCCGCCGTCTTCCAGGAATTCCAACTCCAGCACTGGCAGGCCGACCCCTGAATATGAGATGGGACCTGGCATGCATGTCAGAAGTCCTAGAGCCATTTCTTGTCCGGAAAGAAAAATGCAAATGGATGCCAATACTATTCTCTCCGTCTGTCGTTACATCGCAGGAAGTGGGAAACTCCCCTTGGCAAAAGCTCCACCTCATCTGTGTAGAAAGCATTTGACACCACAAGAAGATAGCATTAACTAGATGGTCACGGAGCTTTCTCAGTGCCAACAGAGATAATTTGGGATCCGTTCCATCCGTAACTAGTTAGGCATTTCCTGTGACGAAACTTACGCTTGAATTTTGAATTCTAGCAAGAGTTTTCAACGAAGACGAAGAAGACCTAGTAAGAAGGTTTGTCCATGTGCTCTCCTCGTGGGAATCTTTCTCGATTCATTAGCATATCTTAGTCAGTTTTAAGAACTTTGCTATCTTGGCTGTTCCATTTCCTCCCAAAACTGTAGGTATCTCTAGAAACATGCAGACTCAATCCTAGATCATTGCAATGCGAGGGATATGACTAAAATTTCAGAACAATCACCCTACATGCAGTCCTCTCCAATTTCGCATTTTTGAGTAGAAGAATACAAAAAAAGGTAATACGATAGGTGAGTAGGATACTGCGTGAATTGCGAATACATCGGGTGTAGATTACCATCTTCTGGCTCGTGTCTTTTGGCTCTGCTCTAATGCCACCGCCATGATGACCGGCGATTTAGTTTGCATTTCCATGGAATTGCCAATACCGACCCCTCTTTTGGATCAATTCGCTGTGAGCGACGGCTTCAATGATCCCTCCACGCTCGAGCACGCAGAGATCTTGGAGGAATTCCTGATCGTCGAAAGGCGGTGCGTGATGGTCATCGTAGTTCGTCCTCCAGCGGCTACATCTATGGCGTTCTTGATAAGCAGTTCGAACTGTGCATCCACAGCCGACGTAGCTTCATCAAGGAAGGGAATTCTTGAGTTGCGAATCAAGGCTCGTACAAGGGCCAAACGCTGCTTTTGGCCACCGCTGAGCATCACCCCGCGTGTTCCGTGGAGAAGCTCGAACTAGAGACAAGTTAGACAATCAATTGTCAACAAAAAGTAAACCAGATAAGATAGTCATCCAACTAACGGTAGTAATTGAATGAAGTCATAGATATTGGCTTCTCGACAAACTTTCTTAAGCCCCTCGTCCGGAACGGCGTCCTGACTACATGTTAAGTTTTCTTGTATGGTGCCGCTGAACAAGACTGGCTTTTGGGTGGCCAAGCCGATTAGTCTTCTGTAGTCTCGAATATTTGAATCCTTTATTGGAATTCCATCAATCAGAATCTGCCCTGAATTTGTATTGTAGAAACGCTCCAGCAATTAATAGATTGTCGTCTTTCCGCGGCCGGTTTCACCAACAAAGGCGATATGCTGTTCCGAGGGAATCTTTAACCAGAAATTCGGGAGGATCTCTTTTTCCGGCGAGCTCGGATAGGAAAAGGAGACATTCTGAAACCCAATCTCGCCGTAGGGATCAGCTAAGCGCAGCCCATCATTCGAAGTGCAGTCGATTATCGATTGGTTTTCGAGCACGTCCAAATTCAATGGCGTATGAGAAGACAATGCCGGCAGAAAGAGAACTTAGAAAAACGGTGGAATAGACCACGGTGAATTAGAAAAGACTATACTCTCCTAATGTGATCAACTTTCCTCCATACTAGCATCCGAGGGCCATGCAGCAATACAGTACACATTTCGACAAGGCAAAGAAGATAGAGGTATTTGTATTCATCCCAAGGCTTTTCTCTTATGCATTGCAGTGACAGTTGTGAAAGGTGGAAAGAATTTGCTTCTGTCGATTAAGCGCTGTGACTATACGTATTCCTGACAAGCTATTGTTGGCAAAGCTCGAAGCAGAGCTGAACAGATGTGCAGTCTTCGCCTAATGACTCCCCGCGATTCTGACTCCGTAGAAGCCACCAGGAAAAATAAATGGAACCAAAGATGCACAAACAAGGACAAGCTTCCAGCCGTATATGCAGCTCACCATCAAAGCAGCAACAAGTGTAGACAAAGAGATCAAGACCGTTCCGAAGGTGGCCCCACTGATTCCGGCCAAGTGGGTGGTCTCGGTCGCAAGGAATAAGATCAAACTGCCCGCATAATTTTCTTTGCTATCAAAGAACGCAATATTTTCCTTGAGAATGGCACGGAGAACTCTATATCGCGCGGTGTGTAAGAGTTTCTCACAGTATGCAAATGCGGCCCCTTGTACACAGAATGCAAAGCATTGAAGGAGAGCCAGAACGAGGTACATCAGGGACCAGAAATCAATCTTCAACTGCGTGTCATCATCTCCTGTCATTATTCCTCTTGGCAGTATTTCCACATATTCACCAAAAGGAATGGCAGCAACTGGCTCCTCGCAGCCCGCGAGTAGAGAAGAAACGATTCCAGCCAATATTACAGGCCATTCTCGCCTGCTGAGGGAAGCAATGAATCTGAGCCGGGAGGCTTGCGAATCGAGAGACTTTGCACCCTCCTTGGAGGCAGTATCTTCCCGAATATTTTGGTCCAGGATTTTGGTTTATCTGTCCTCGATATTGTCACACTATTTCTTGGTCCAAGCAACCTGCTTTTCTTTTGATTTTGCAGAAGCGCTTTCATACTTTTGCGGAGAGCCTCAAGCCATTCATCCTCACCCAGTTGTCGTAGCCCAGTGGAAGTTGCATGATAAACCCGTGAGCACACGCAGCTTTTGCCGCAGCCTCAAACAGTTCATTCTTCTCCTCGTGGATTATCTGCTGCAGAGTGATCCTAGGCAGGCCATGTAGGATGCTTTTCTTGATCGAACCATCAAACAGGAAAGGCTCCTGATCCCACAAGACATATCTGACTTCGTAGCCAAGCCACATTCAGCGGCTTGATGTACTGCCCGTCAAGCAATATGCAATCTTGCGCTAGTTCGTAAAACCTCTCCAAAAGATGGACTATGGTGCTCTTTCCCGAGCCGGAGAGACTAACGATGCCAACGGTTTGCCCGGCCTCGATGCGAACGTTCAAGTTATTGAATATAGCATTTTCAGGGCGAGCAGGGTAAATGTGCTTGACGTTTCGAAATTCTATTTGACCCTTTACATTGACAAACGTGAGACCGGTAGTCGAAGCGGAGTCAATCGGCGATTTGCAATAAATGACAGAGAAAAGCTGACGAGATACAGCAATTGCGAATACGAATGCATCCACATTGCCACTGACTCCCACAATGGAGAACGCTGCCGTTTTGGTGGCCAGGGCGATGGTCAGAACATCTACAAAGGAAGCTTCCTTTGAGGCGAAAAACCGAGGGCCTTGCCAGAAAGCCAATGCATAATGAATGTGCCCAGCACCAACGGCACGGCCAAGCAGAAGGCCCGTAAAGCTTTTTATGAATAGTTTGTTCTTGGATATGAGGTCCAGGTATTCGTGGAATCGCGCCGAGATCAAGTCTTCAAGCCCGAGGGGAGCGGTCGTTCGAATGGCGCTAATTGCTTCTTCGGCCATCAAATTTCCAGGGGATTCCGCATTGCGGCCATCTGCACTGAATTTCTTGCCCACTCTTTTACCGGCCAAGTAGATGAGCGCACCAAAGATGAGTGACCAGAGGAGTATCAGTGTAAACTTCCGCCACCAGATGAAGCTGAGAATCAAAGTGGTCGCTAGTGCCTCAAGAGCGCTAATCGTCATCGACAACTTTTCGGAGATTGCCCGTTGCATCTTCTCCGTATCCGCGGTGAACTGCATGGTAAGCTCTCCCGAGCCCCTGTCATCAAAGAATGCCATATTCTACCGCAAGACCGATTCTAGCTAAGCATTCTGAATTCGATGGGTGATGCGCTCGCCGGTGAAAATGAATCCAAAACGGGAGATGAATTAGCAGACAAAAGCGTCAATCGGGATGTAAACGAAATACAGTGCCTTGACTTACATCGTTTTGCTTGCCGATTTCCCTTCGAGTGTGCCATTTTCAATCTGAGCAAACGTTTCGGCAAGTTAACTAATTTCAATCTGACAGAAAAATTAGCAAAGATCCTCACGCAATTAGTGCAACTCCACGTACACTTGGTAAGATACGCGTAGATCCATCAAGCAAGGCAGCGACTGCACTGATGCTAATAATGCTGCAATCGATGGCAGTATAGTACCGGACCACCTCAAATAGCGAAGCTTTGAAGAGGGAGGTTTGTAATTGACGCCGAAGGATCTCACTTTCGGCGTTCTCTTCCCGTTCACGACTATGGAATTGGTGCAAAGTTTCGGTCGAAAGCCTCAAGAATAAGGCCGCTCGAGCGATTGGATCTCAAAACTCTCCACAAAATGTGGTCACGGCTTCATCTAAATCATCGTCAGAGGGGAATTGACTTGAAATGCTATGCAAAGAATAGGGAGAAGGTCAACTCTCGTGTACTCTGTAGCACTTGGACAGAATCATCAGATTATATATGCTAGGCATTTGCAGCTAAAACATTTTATTTACGTAAAGATACAAAACGTGATGCCTTGCAGCTCAATTACAATGGAGGCTTCCCTTGATATACGGTCTCCAAAGGTGAAATCTCAGCCGTGAAAAGCTCCCATATGCCCGAACCAATACTACCAGTCTCGTAAGAAAAGTCTGACGGGGGTGATATGCATCACTCTACCTGTTTGTAATATTGTGAGTCCTTCGTTCTGGTCCGTACTTCGTTCTCATCGTGAGCCAGACATGCAAAGGCATTCCCGAGAATTTTGGTATCAGGACCTAGGCCCATAGTGGCAGCAGAAGCGAGAATCTTGCCCGCAAATGTATAGAAAGGAGGTTGCAGGTCAAAATATATTTTCTCCCTACTTGCACCTGGCCGGCCCCAGACTACAAAGAAGCTATATGATGGATCACTCATTGACACAAATGGTGAAGATGGATGAATACAAACAAATCGTGGAGCTTGCTCATGGACGTGCTGCTATGGAGACGAAGTGTGCTCATCCTTCGAGGGCGTAACGCTATGCGTGCCGTTGTCTCTGAAAACATTTTTAACAAGAGCGAGCGATTGACAGCTACGTGTCTATACTGTAATCATGGGCCGACTGGATGGATCTATCTACGGTACAGTTCACTCTACTTATTGATTTCTCTTCAGATATCACTTCATTGCTTCGTGAGACGGACCCAGGCTCCCTCATAGCATCAATCGTGAAATTTGGAAAACTATGTAATAGCCCATACCAAGACGATGCTCATTCAACGGACGGCGAATTATTTTCATTACGTGTACCAAAATCATCTTGTGATTGGCATATTTTAGCCTCGACATTGCACTCAACATCCAGGCACATATCATGGGTTTATATTACAGGATTTCATCATCGTAAGAAGAGACATCGATCCGCGAATTCCGCCGTGCCTCAAATAATCAGACTTTGATCGATAGTGACATCGGAGATATGACGCCAAGCTCTAGCGAGCGAGCGGATGTACTTCGCCGTCGGAGCTCCCACCTCAAAAAGGGATGTACAGCTGTCCTAACAGCCTTGCAGCCTTACAGCCTCACCGTCAGCATCGTAGCTGACAGGAATCACCGATAGAGAAGTGGAGGTATCCACTCTGTTTACGGTATCCACTCTGTTTATTGGGTATAGTACACGAATTGATCCTATGCTGTGTCCTGCATCCAAGCTATGTTAAATCAATCAAGCCTGCTGCGAGAAGTGAAATGAGACCTAAGATGCCCAAGATCGAGACGTTGCGCCCATCACTATGGCGGTTACGCAGCCCACTCATGTTCGGGCATTAAGTGGGCCCGCGGATCAGTCCACTTCCACTTCATCCAGTCCGAGGGAGCTTGTGGCCATCATACCGAACAACCCTGGAGTCGTGAGTGATGGATTCTGCACCCCGTTCCAAGAAAGACATTTACTAACGATTTGAAACCTAGCTCATACATCGCATCGCCATTCGGCCCCATCATTCACCCAAGTTTGTTCGTTCGCACCAAGAGGGTTGGGCTGGTAAGTGGACACCCTCCTCCACTCCCTACACACATAATCCACTACATATGACCCACTACCTTTTACGGACTATTCACCTCTGGTCATTGGACTGACCCGGTATGCAGGTCCCTTGTTCAAAAAGCATGTCAGCGAAGGTATCCGTTCATTCAAAGGATCCGTCATGGTTGTGAAGGAGGAAGATACTCGGGGTTTACTTTGAAGAATTGACTCCGACATCTACGTCCGAGAAGTTGTGTGGAACCTGAATAAAGCACAAATTATGCCTTTTCGCACCTTGCTTCGCTCGCAGAATGGTCCCACAAAGTGAGATCAACGTTGACAAAGGCTCGGGCGGATGTTGAATATTTGGGTTTGGAATATAGTGAGCAATAAATTCAATAATATTGCAGCCTGAAGATTCAGATTGATCCCATGCAACGATCCTATCCCTATTGCTCTGCTGGCTGCGGAGTCGGGTCCGTAGTTTCCAAAGCGGGAGCACTCTATGTCTTCGGCTTCTTCAAATGGACATGCATGAGAAATACTCTTTTTTCTGCAAATCAAAATTGAACCAATCAATAACTAGTTGACCAATCAATAACTAGTTGACCTAGACAAGCTGACAACGTAGTAGAGAAAATAATCGCCGGGCGGTGTGAGGAGAGAGTACCCTGGTCGGTGGTGACAATCGGACAACCCGCCTGGACTTCCATTCCTTACGACTCCTACACCATCGACAGGTCGCCAAGATGCCTGCTTTGCTGTGTTTGGAAAATCCTTTGCTTGGTACCATTACTATCCAATCCTGTTAATGGAACCTCGCTGACCCGTTTTATTAGATGTTCAGGCATTTGGGTACGACGTTGGACCGCTCCGGGATCAATTGTCACGATCTCTGCTGACTCGATCAAAGCAATCAGGAACTCCTCCAAAAATATGGACTCAAAGCCAATGATGCCATTCTCGCCGAGACTTCACACCAAGGTCTCTTTGAAGACCTGATCAATAACTTTGCAGCGGGTACCACCGCTGGTGGTGGAGCGCAGAACACCGCCAGAGGCGCCCAGGCATGCTGCCCCTCATTCCAGTCCCTCGCCTTGTTTACCCAACCACAGTAGCTAAGACTTTACTCTAGTACATCCTTCCAAGTGACAGCGTTGTCTACCTTGGTTGCGTGGGAGATGATACCTACGCCGACACTCTTCGAGAATCGTGCCAAAAGGCCGGCGTTCGTGCGGAATACCTTGTCGATCAAGCTCACCCCACTGGTCGCTGCGGTATTGTCATCACAGACAAGAACCGAAGCCTCTGCACTGAGCTCGGCGCCGCCAATCATTACAAGTTGGAGCATCTCAAGCGGCCCGAGATCTGGAGCTTGGTGGAGTCATCTGAAATCTACTTTGTTGGTGGCTACCACTTAACCGTCTGCCCGGAGGCCGCTTTGGCTTTGGCAGAAGAGGCTGCGGCCAAGAATAAGGTACGCATTGATTTGAGAGTTCTTTTTTTTGAAGAACCTTAATCGATGGCTAAGAACTTCGCAAGATCTATGTGATGTCACTATCTGCCCCTTTTATTCCAATTGCGTTTAAAGATGCTCTAGATAAGACCGAGCCTTATTGGGACTATCTCGTCGGCAATGAGAGTGAAGCCCTGACATGGGCGCAGTCGCATGGCTCAGAGGTAACGTCGTACCTTAGGTCTCAAATATTAGTTCCCATCAAGCTGACATAGTGCAAGACTGATGATATTCCTACGATTGCAGGTCATCTCGCCAATCTGCCAAAGGCGAATGCAAGCAGACCTCGGGTAGTCTTGATAACGCAAGGATCTTCTCCAACGGTCGTTGCAGTTTCAGGAACTCCGGGGCATGAGGAGATTCCTGTTCGCAAGATTTCTGCAGAGGAGATCATTGACACTACCGGAGCCGGGTGAGTAAGGGTCATAGATCGATTGAATAACTATGTTAACCCGAACCAAAATTCCGCGCGGAGGCTAACTCAAATTGTAATGGACTATTAGTGATGCTTTCGCCGGGGGACTCCTTGCCGGAATTGTGCAGCAAAAATCACTCAGAACCTCGGTTGATATGGGGCATTGGCTCGCACGGCTGGGGATTCTGGAAATGGGGCCAAAGTGAGTAGATTATGACGTGCAAATGGTCTCAGTCGGTCTGATTAAATTTCCTCAGTTACCCGCTGCCAAAGCAGTTATTCACCCCCGTCTGAAGGATCCTCTGTCTGGAGGATCCTGACCGGGGATCGATTGGTGGCTATCAACTACCCATTTTAGCGTGGGTTCTGAAATAATCCCCGGAGGAGAAGTTGCGTTCTTTACGTTTTCAACAACCGTATTCGGTTCTACCTTGAATGGCCTTATCAAATATCATAATACCGCCTATGGACCTGTTAATTTTTAGTCTTACTACAAGTCCTATTCCTAGTTTCTCCGTATATTGATGTAATTCACGAAAACTGACCATTAAAGTTACTATCATCCTTAGCTCCATACATCTTCATGGTAAAGCCTAGCCTTTTTCATCTTGCCCTTGATCATTGCATCAGCTTCCTCTGGGCTTTGGTTTTTGGCTCTGGCTATCATCTCTACCAGCCGTTTTCTGACTTCTGTTGCCATAGTCGCTGAGCCGCAAATGTAGAACGCAGCACCTTGATCAAGGATAAGGGGAAGTACTGTATCTCTTTGCTCGAGAAGGACGTCTTGAACGTAACACTTTCTTTGGCCCTGTAGCCGCGAGAATGCAGGAACCATCTTGAACCAGTTTCCAAAACGAACTTCATAATCCTGCCACTCCTCTCGATAAAGATAGTCTGCGGTATCGTCACGGCAGCCAAAGAGAAGAATCATTTTACCCACCGGCTTTCCCAGCTCCGCAAGGCGACTGCGTTCCTGCATAAAGCCACGGAAGGGAGCGATACCGGTGCCGGCCGCTACCATGATGACTGGAGTCTCCAGATTGGGAGGCAACTTGAAGGTTGAACGATTAACATGGATATAGACCTTCCCGCCATGGAGTTTCTGCCGCGGTCCTTGGAGATCGTATGACGGGCCTTCAAGCGGGTCTCCTGGGGAGCCGCCCACGCTGCATTTTTGGTGATGAGCCAGAAGGTAATTAGTGGTGAGGCCAAAGAACATATTGTCTCCATGTGACGGTAGGGTCGGTATGTGTCGCTTGTTAATGACCAGAGTGATTGACGGTCGTCGTGGTTGTTTTAGTGGCGAGCTGGATATGGAGTAACTGCGGGGCTGAATACGGTTGAAGCTCTCGACCAAAAGAGAGAAAGGAACCGCCGTCCATTTTGTGTTCGGTTCGATCCTTTCCATGACCTTGCCGACGGACAAAAAATGAGCAGCAACTTCCCTTCGGAAATCGTCTTTGGAATTTCCCAGGCGCAATAGAGTGGCTTTCGCCAGGTCGGTAGGCGCATATTGTGAGAGAATAAGAAGAAATTCGCGCGAGACCAAAGCACCAATTTCGAGATAGTATTTGAGCAGCGTTTCTCGAGTGGTTGGTGAAGGGAGACCACACTTGCTCGTCGACCCTCCCCGGACAGACAGCACGATTGGCTGTTTGCGTTGCTGTTCATCGTCAAGATCCAAGAGGCGCAACAGTCGATCTACCTCACTATCAGGATTGATCGGCCAAACCGCCAGATGATCTCCTGTCTGATAGCGCAACGCCGGGACCGCAGAGAGGTCAAATTCCATGTGGACGCAGACGCGGTCAGTCAAGCTGGACAGCTGTAAGCTTTGCACAATAGACGCAGAGTACGGATTGTGACGGTTGTAGGCGACCTTATCCTTGATTCCACGAAGCTCTTTCTCGCTTGGCTCCCCCAGGTAGATGAGGCTAGGATCGACGCTGGTATTGCTTATACTGATACTGGGCTCGTAGGTGACTTGATGTTCCTGCAGTGTGATTATGTCGCTCAGGCTCTCCAGAATGTCATCTTTCCATTCCATAAAACTATCCTCTGTTGTCCCCTGGCTCTCATCTGCGAGCCCGACCAGGCCAATGCGATGCGCCCCAACACCTAGTAGAGTTTTATCCAATGTCTGGGAGATTATGAATTACTTTAGTTCCGGTGTAATCTGATCCAAAGTTGGATGACCTACCTTGATCACCTGATTATAGTGCTTATAGTTCTTGTTTCCCATCCCCATGGCGCAGTACCGAAGAGTTTCTAGCCTGGTTCCTTTCTTGTGCATCTTCTCGAGCCCACTGCAGAAACTAAGTGCGTTGTCCGGCGGGTCCCCTTCGCCGTACGTAGACATCAAAAAGACGGCAAGTTTATCCTTGGGAAACGTCGCCAGGTGCTGAGGGTCATAGTCACTCAAGTCCGAGACAAGGGTTCTGAGAGCATAGCGAGACCGCCATTCCCGAGATAACCTCTCGGCAAACCGTTCCGAGACCCCCGATTGTGAGGCCCAGAAGATTGCGATATCCGTTCCCTAGTCAGAATGTCAAATCGCCATTCCTTTCAACTTTGTTAAAACTCTTACCGTTTCCTGCAACCTCTGCCCGATGTCGCGGGTCCGCTTTACTGGTGCTTTCAGTTCGCCCGATTTTTGCGGCGCAACATACATGAGATATGTATGAGAATCTGGTTTGAACCACAGCTTTCCATCTCCGAAGAAGAATGCGGAGGCTGTTATGAGAAAAAGGACCACCAACCAGTCACCGAGACGCATCCGAAGGCACGCCTCCGACAGCCCTTGGACGAGGACGTCTCGAACAGCAAGCTGCTGCGTGGACGTTTCCATGGTGTTGACCTGGTTGGCTTGAGTAAAACAAGGGGGGAAAGATGCGATACAGAGGATGAACTACAATGTTTTGATTAAATAGGGGGGTGTAGAACCCTTAACAACTCCGAGTGCTTCTTAGTACTGCAACTCTATCCATCGGTTTCATGCCATGCGGTGGATCTATGATGGAAATCTACCATCGTCAGCTGTATCCAAATTAGGAAGACGTATACTTCGAATTCAACTGCGGAGGGCGCGCTCGAACGAACGTCCGGGGGAATGCGGGGGAATGCGGGGGAAGGAATGATCTGTGCCGAGGTCGATAGTTATTTCCTGTCTCGGCAGTGCGCGCCGTTCCCCTGAAGAGCGTCAAAGATTTGACATCGACCCTTTTCGACTGTCGGGGGAGTGGAGGCCGGTTAAACGGTTAAGGCTACCCAGTTTCAATCAATGGTGGCCCGTGTGTGCCTGTCCCTGTGATCAGTGGTTCAGATTAAGCATTGACCAGATTCTAAGCAAGCTCTTGCCGCCACAACTCCGTCACAGATTTCCCTCTAGGCAGGGTATGCGACGGCTTGCTGGGTGCCCTCGTCCCAAGCCAGAGAAAATAGCCATGTCGAAACTTCGTCTAATAAACTTTGTGGCCCAACCGGGGCCAAACCCCGCGTTTGAGCTAGTGATGGACACGAAGGGCTGCATGCACAGATCGGCAAAACATTCTTGATTAGTACATTATCGAATGTATATCTGCGGGCTCAATCCCATCACACTGATCATCATCATTCTCCTTTCCAAAGGGCTTGGAATTTCTGTCACCAAGTGCAAGGGACGAGCAGCATCTTTTCTAACTTGGATTGGTATACCTAGTTGACCTGACCGAGAATTTCCATCATGTTCGACTTCAGCTCCATCACGGGGAGAACCCTGGTGATTCTCATCACCTTTACGTGTTCGACGAGTATGATGCTATTTGGCTACGACCAGGGAGTATTGTCTGGGATCATCGGTGCCGATAACCAATTCGGCCAGGACTTCAACCATCCCGATGCCAACACCCAGGGACTGATTGTCTCCGTTTATCAATTGGGAAATGTGGCTGGGTCCATCGTCATCTTCTTCATCGGCGATTATCTCGGTAGGAAGAAATCAATCGTCTATGCGACCAGCATTATGCTCATTGGTGCGATTCTACAAACTGCTGCGTGCAACCGCGAAATGATGTACGTTGCAAGAATCATTACCGGAATCGTAAGTGCGAGAATACTCATGACGCCTCGGATTTGAGACTAATCTCTGCAACAGGGTAACGGAGCTAATACCTCGACTGTTCCGGTGTGGCAAGCCGAGACCAGCACAGCCAAGGAGCGCGGAAAACTGCTTGCGGTGGACAGCTGCTTCATCATCTTCGGCATTTTGGTTGCCTATTGGATGGACTACGGTTTTGCCCAGGTTTCTGGGCCCGCGCAATGGAGATTCCCCATCGGTTTTCAGATGGTATTCATCGTCATTCTCTTGGTGTTTGCGATGATCCTACCTGAAAGTCCTCGCTGGCTGCACAAGAAGGGTCGCCATGCCGAAGGCGATGCAATCATTGCGCGACTGCTTGGAAAGAACGTGCCGTCTGAGGACCCACGCGTGGTGGAATTGTCCACGGAGATCCTGAAATCCATTGAACTCGAATCCGCAGGTGGTCCCTTCAAGACCAAGGAGCTTTTCCAGGGCGGCAAGTTGCAGAATTTCCGGCGGATGTGCATCTGCTTCGCCGTGGATGCTTTCCAACAACTTGGCGGAATTTGCGTCATCACATACTACCTCCCTACAGTGCTCTCGGGCTCTGTGGGTATGTCGCGACACATGTCGCTGCTGATGTCTGGAATAATCACCACAGAGTACTTTTTGGCTTCGATTGTTCAGATTTTCCTGGTCAAGTATTTCAAGCGCCGGACACTAATGTTCATTTCCAGCGCGGGAGAGATCATCACCATGGCCGTATTGGCGGGTTGTGTACGGGATGGTGGCTTTGCTGCTGGTATCGTGGCGGTCATCATGATCTTTGGCTACAACACCTTCTACGCGTTTGGATGGCTCACGATTCCTTTCATCTACCCTGCTGAGATTACAACGCTGCGACTGCGTGCCAAAGGTGCAGCTGTGGCCTCGGCCGGCGCATGGATTATTGAATTTATGGTTGTCCAAATCACCCCATACTGCGTGCAGAACATTGGATATAGAACGTGAGTTCTGTCCTCTTTTGCTCCTTGATTTGAGAGCTTATACTTATTTGGGTTACTCTAGATACGTTTTGTTTGGGGTTCTGAATGCTGGTATCATCGTACCCGTTGTCTACTGTTTCTTCCCGGAGACCGCGGGCATGCGCCTCGAGGACATCGACCATATCTTTGAGAAGGGTGGTATTACTGGTGGAGTTTTGTCTAGCACTGGGCGCGCTATAGACCGACGAACCGATATTGAAGGAGCGTTCCATCGGGCGACCCGGCCTTCGACCGGATCCAATTCGCCATCTCAAGTCGCGTCTGAGGTCTTCGAGCATCACGAAAAGGTGTAATTAGTACAATGTTATGTTCGCATTTTGGTCTCTCCAGGACTCTCATGCCATAACGTTTCTGGGGGGAGCAAGTGAAGAAACGTTAACATTCTTTGTGAAGACTGTTCCGTATAATTAGACGTATGGATTTGTACAGTTCAGAACGCGTATGGACGGATTTCTTGTCCGGTTATCTAGGCTGGTTCTTTCCCCAGATTTACCCCGCCTATTTTTGCTCCACGGGGACGGAGACAACTCCGGGGCGGGGAAACCGGGGGGATTATCGCCCGCAAGGGAAATTAGACACGAACATGTATTTATGATCTCCAACGCTTTCCGCAACACCAACAGAGAAAATAGATCATTGTTTTTGGCAAATCGACCCGTCAATCTTATTCCTTGTGTTCCACCCTGACCTTTTACCCTTGGCCTTGCTCAACGGTCAGATGTCAAGTGTGCTGCCAATGCCGACGACGGCGGGTTCACAGATCATCAATAGAAGGGGCCGGACCGGATGGTGAGCACCCTAGCCAATACTTTTATGCGATACGTATGAATTCCGTGTCTGATCTGGCGGTTGTTCAGCTTGACCTGTCGTCAACGGCACCTCAAATGCGACGAAGAGAAACCCTGCTGCGGGCGTTGCCGAAGAACCGCAAGGGAGTGTATCCCAGATGACCTGCTGACCTTTCGAAGTGCGCAAAGAGTGGCTGCTCGAGCGCAACTCAGAGGCAATGGCAGCACGGCTGCCATGCTTGGGGACAGAGGCGATGGTTTTCGGGAAGATCCGGAGAACGACAATATTTTTGCAGAAGACCACCTGTGGCTAGCAACGCCGTCGAAGCGTGAGAGCAGCCATGTTGGAGACTCGTCTCGGCTGAACAGATACTGACTACGAGCGTTGTTCATAGTGACTTTCGTCAATGAAACACCTATCGTGACTGCGGAATATCGCCATCAGCACATGCTCTGCGATGTGCGGAGTCCATCTATGTCACCTCCTCGCAGAGATCATCTGTCTCCTATCTCGCCGGGTGCCACGGAACCCTTTCCATTGACAACGCAGGGAGACGACTCACCGCTAGCAGTTTCTCGTAGTTCTGCAGTCATTCACAACGCAACCCATTCAAGGTTCAGCAGTCATGAAGGTCCCTTCGGACATTCGGGCCCAAATTTCGGAGGAATCGGCCTGCATCCCGTAACCACAACCACAACCACATCGCCCCCAGATTACTTAGATCTAACCTCTCCACGTCACTCCATTTCCAGCAATCCCCCCGCGCCTGCCCGTTGCAGTGATCGCACCAATTCGGACGACCACCCGGATGGCCTTTCCCATCTTTCATCTGAAATATTGAATAGCCCAGAAGCACTCCATCGCAAAGTGGGGCTTCTTCTCTACGAGGACCGGATGCAGTTGCCTTTTAAGGTTGCTCGAGAAGCATTGCTCTTCCATCATTACATGGAATCCTTGGCAGCTTTGGTAGGTCGTAATCGTTCCTGGTGCACACAAGGAAATTTGATCTGGCAATCTCCCCGGCTGGAGATTCTCTGGAATACTAATTATCTCGGGGTGACAGCTTGATATTACCGACATCCAGCGCCATTTTGCCGTCGACGTGCCGGAACTTGCTCTTAGCTGTCCTGTGCTATTATATGCCCTCATGGCCTTTTCGGCTCGCCATTTGAGCCGAACTTCAAGTTTTGACTCCGCGGTTGCTGACCATTACCATCATGAATGTGTCTCTTTAATCATTCCAATGCTGGATCAGAGGGATCTCGTCGCGGACGAAACCCTCTTCGCGGCAGCAGTCATTCTCAGAGCATTCGAGGAAACCAATGGTGCGAAGTTCTCTCACCGAAAGCATCTTACCTCTTTGTCCCACTAAATCATTGGACATACAGACTCGAAGATGGGCGCCGAGCCTGAACGGCATCTCACTGGCACATCGGTCTTCGCCAACGCCCAGCTTGAATTTCGCACCTGGGGTGGCTTGGGTCATGCTGCATTCTGGGTCTTTGTGCGACAAGATATCTACATGTCCCTGTTAAAACAGAGGCCGCTCAAGGTAGACTTGGCCGGGTGGGAGGAGCGCTTGTCCTTCGATTTAGGATTCGATGCCGCCACGGACTGTACATGGGCCAATCGGATGATATGGATTGTGGCTGAAATTGTGAGTTTCTGTTTTGGCGATCGATTAAGCTATACCAATTGGGAGGCTGCCCGGGCCAAGACGGAGCGCTGGAGCCTTACGCGACCAAAGTCGTTTGATCCCATTCTGTACATTGATCGTGATGAGGAGGCAAAAAGGTATTTCCCGGAAATACGACTAGGACATCCCTGGCATGGTAAATTCGGCTTTCTTTCCCTCCATTTTCCATAGATGCTGGCTCTTGTATATTCACTTCATCTTTGCTGATCGCCATGTTTCGACCACACAGTCACAGGAATGCAATACTACTACATTGCGAAGCTATTCCTCGCGGTATACAATCCAGTTGTGCCTCGAATCGGGCTGGGGGCCCAAAAACACCGCAAGAGCATTTCGGATGAAGTCCTTCAAAACGCCGAGGCTGTGTGCGGGATTGCCTTCGCAACAACCCTTGTCGCGGTGAAGCTGACCGCGTGCACAGCGATTATCGCCTGCGGGCCATGGTTTTATGACCGGCCTCGAGCAGAGCAGGAACTGCTACTCCAATTGCTCCGATGCACGGAAATGGAGAGTGCAAGGCCCACAGAGTCATTGATTCAAGGGCTAATGGAAGAATGGGAGTGGTAATGGTGGGGATGGTATGGAGGGACGTGAGTAAGAGCCAATCAACTACCCTTTAAAGAGGGGATTCAAATTTACCTATAACTACAAAGCTCAAACACAACAACCAGAAATTCATTATTTCCATCAATTCTGGATGCATAAGCACATCTAAAGGGGATCTCCATTTCTTCTACCATTGTGTTGGGACGCACATTGACGGGTAATACTTTCTCCCTCCAGCTTCAACCTCCCTCTGTCGGACTTTCAAGCTTTGATGTCCAGCCAGGGTACATCAAACTCACCGTATTCGGGATATATTCTTTCAAGCCTTGGAAAATCGCCGATGGATTCGCATCATCATGGTACCAGGATGTGCGTTGACCGTATCCTTTGTTTCAAGTTCGAAGCTCGGCGATTCAAACCCGAATTCATAACGACGCATCAGTGTTCCTATCACAACCAGTAATTCCATATAGGAGACATTACGGCCAACTAAATGATTAAACAGCTGTTAGCAGTTTTCTTGGGATTGGTAAAGAAATACGGGTAACAGGATAAGAACATACTGCAGCCTCGTCCACCGGCAGAGAAAGGAAGGAACACTTGTTGCAGGTTGGCTGCATCCTCCGCAAGCCAACGCTCCGGCTTGTATGTGTACGGATCTTCAAAAAGGTCTGGGTCATGGTGGAGAGAGTAGGTAGGCACAGAGACCGTGGTGTTTCCCGCAATCCACTCTCCCTCCACCATCATGCCCTCCGGAGGCGTGACCCGGGGAAGACCCCCGCGGAGTGGCGGACGCATGCGCATCGCTTCATCGATGCAAGCCCGCAGGTAAGGTAGATTCTTAACAGTTTCGTAAGGGACGACGCCATCTTCACCATCCAATTCTTCATCCAACTCCTTGCGGAGTTCCTCAGCGACGCGGGGCCATTTGGTCAGAAGATAAATTGTGCCGACGAGAACGATCGTGGTAGTGTCAGAGCCAGCATTTAGCAAAAGGCCACATTCTGCAACCATCTCACCGATCTCCAGGCCCAAGGGTTCGTGGTCCTTGTTCCAGACCAAGGAATGGAAGAAGTCGTTCCGTTCACCGTCCTTTTTCTCCATCTCGAGCCGGGTGCGGACCATGTGCAACACAATGGATGAAAAGTCCGCCCCGCCTTTCCAACCAGGATGCCACCATGTGAGTCGCTTGAGCAGACCAAAGCGTGATGGGATCCATCCCATGGTGGAACCGATACGCAACGAGTTGCGAAGAGCGTGCGCCGGTTTGGTCTGATAGAGGGTGCCATCCAGCTTCTGCGCGACCATCATGTCGTCCCCGCGCTCCACGCATCCCAGATTTGCACTGAAAACCAGATGTCCAGTGAGATCAAAAAGGAGCATGTTGATGTACCAACGCACATTAATAAGCTCTTTGGTGGCAGCTGCTTTGTCGAAGCGATCAAGGAGCTTTTGGACATCGTCTACCACCAAATGCTCCATATCTGCAATTCGGTTTAGAGAGAATGCAGCGGCAAGACGCTTGCGCTTCTCGCTGTGCGCTTGACGATTCGTGACATCTAGGCTGCTTTCGTGTGTGCCCGTGAAAGAGATGTAGAATTTGTCCTTCTGAGCTGGCGTTCCATGGCCGTAGATGTCCTTCACGGCTTGCCGGCCGATGAAGGAGACGTGATTCGGGCCAACTCGCACTATTTTACCAAGTTTTTGATGGGCCTCGTGGGTAGCCATTGGTCGTCGGAAGCTGTATGCATGGTACATCATCCACAGATTCGAAAGCCCAGCGATCCCAGGAGCTGGAAATCGACGCAGCTTCTTAGGGTCGAGGAAGTAGCTGAAGATGGGCCATATGAGCAAGGCACTGAACAATGCGACGACACCAACCTCCCATAATCCAAATGGGATAGCCATCGCTGACATCCTGGACATGACGATAGGAAAATAACTTAAGGTTGGGTACTGTCTGTCGTGACTGACTTTCTTCTCTATTGGTACAGTGATCCCTCGGCGGGATGATCGAAAGTGTTCCATTGTTATACCGGGGCAGTGAATTCGATGGACCCAACGGGTGGGATGCCAGCTCACCACAGCCAGGATCACAGGCAGGACCACAGACCCGGTAGAGCTCATGGCACGGATGCAACATCAGGTTCATGAGAGGCAATTGACACGCTCTTGCCTTCAACCGGTTAATCTAGAGTGCAGTGAGTGTACGCTGAAACAGGCAAAGCGGGACGACGCATGAGGCTTGCCGCCTCCAACAACCCCAACCCCACGGGGAACCTCCGAAACAGCCAGATTGACAGCGACAAATCTGGGGGATTTAGCCGTTTAAGCGTCGGGCTTTTTCGCCAACAATGAATTGTGGCACGCAAGATACGATATGATAAGCGAAATCCGTATCTCTGCGGCAAATGACCGACCAATTTAGGAAATTAGGAGCGACTCCGTGGGTTTGCCGAATGAATCCTGGACTCTCCACGCTGTCAAACCCAAAATCCATACCCCGGATGAGGCCCACTGATCGCTAGCGATGATCTCTCTTGGGACTAGGCACTAGGAAGGAAAGGCAAGCTTCAAGCACCGACCCTGAAGAGGGGACACGACGGGGTGCGGTAACACGGACAATAACACCGGCAAATGCCTCCTAATGTGATTTTCCTGTTCGTATACTGTTCATTAATCACGCTCGCTTCGTATCCTACCGATTAATCTCTTTGCGCGGTAAAGGGAGGTAGGTGTTCGGTAGAGCAAGAAGTACAGCTAGACCAGCCAGACGACAACGACCCTTCCAAATGGCCCACGTTAGGGGATATGCACCGATCAAAGTGCTTCCTGGTTCCATGCGAGCATGCCAGATCATCGAATATAACAGACCACACCAAATAAGAAGGATCCCTACTCCTGATACGCTTAAGCCTCACGACATCCTTCTCAAGGTTGCCGTTTCTGCTCTGTGTCATTCGGATTTGGAGTACCAGAATGGCACCCTCGACTGTACACTTCCTGTCACCGCCTCCCACGAAGGCACTGGTGTCGTGATCGCCAAAGGAGACGCCGTGACTTGGTTTATCATCGGTGATCGAATCATGGCTGGGCAGACATTCGACCGCTGCGGAGAATGTGATGATTGCAAAGGACCAGAGAACTACCAGCATTACTGTGAACATCAGGGCCCGATGATGAGTACCGAGCGGAACGGCGCCTTTCAGGAATACCTCGTGGTGGATGCACGACAAGCGTGTCGGATCCCGGATAAGATGTCGTTTCTTACTGCTGCTCCTCTTGCTTGTGCTGGCATCACTATCTGGAGAGCATTGCTGCAGACAGAGCTTAAACCAGGACAGTGGCTTGCCATTATTGGATCCGGAGGGGGACTTGGCCATCTAGGAGTTCAATTCGCCAAAGCCCAAGGTTTGAATGTGATTGGGACGGACGCTCGAGACGATGGAATCTCTCTTTCTCGCGAGGTTGGCGCAGACCTGGTTCTTGATGCCAGGCTAGGGAAGGAGGAGGTGGTACGCGAGGTTTTCAAAGCCACTGGTGGCAGAGGCGTCGATGCCACTATCACGGTCAGCGATGCTAAGGCTGCAACGGCAACCGCGTGCGCCATTACGAGGAGACACGGCATAATGGTTTATGTTCCCGTGGTGTGTACTCCTGAGAATCCAATTCCAGACTCCTACGAGTGCTGAAGAAAGCCATGGAATGCTAACAGTCCGAGCTGACTAGGGCCACGAAGTGTGTATTCCGTACCAGGATATAATATTTCGGGACATCCGCGTGAAGGGCTCGTTTCTTTGTTCTCCAAAAGAGGCCGAGGAGATGTTGGACGTGGTTGTCAAGCATAATATCAAAGTCAGTAGCAGCGTTTTCCATGGTATTGAGGAGATTCCGAAGGTGGTCGACATGCTCCGCCAAGGGAAATACCAGGGTAAGGGTGTGATTGTCATTGATGAGGATGCTGTGAAGAGGGAACAAGGTCAGCTATAATCTGAGATGGCCATTAATTACGTATCATACAATTCAATATACAGCGGTGCAAATACTCTCTCTATCTATCCATCTATTGACGCGGCGCTCGGAGAAATAACATTCTACTTTTTGTGTACAGTCACGTTGGGGCAGCTCATGATATTCTAACGCTCATGATAGAATTTGGGTCAATATGAAAATATCACCTTTGGAATTTTCTGGATACAATGGTTTCACATTGGGGCAAAGTGGCCAGAGGGGATTTCACTCAGACCTTGGAGATGGATCGTAACAGGCAATAGGTATCACGCAACAAGAAGAGTCGTATTCCGATTCGGAAGTGTTAATCGTGGACAGTTGCTCACATGCCCATGGAGACTTTGGGCCTCTAATCGCGCTATAGCTTGGATTTGCATCTTTGGGAAAGGAAATCTTCGACGAGGGGATCATCCGGTTTTCTTCCCACGATCGGAAATCCCCCGCCCGCACACCGGGTCCACTAGGGCATCAACACGCAACGCAAGAAAGGGGGAAAAATAGACGAAATTGACTTCATCCAGTAGTCAGATTTTGAGGAGAAGACGGAATTGAACGAGATGATATCCACATGCCATTCTCGATTACAACCTTGATTCCTCCGCTCGGTGCGGAGATGAAATTATCGGCCGAACAATTGAATACCGATCTTAAAGCCCATTTCACGCTCGAACTCTTGCTTTCATTTTCATTGCACTGCCCTTATCAAACAGAAAATCACGAAAATGATCGGAAACTCGGGCAGGAACGGAACGAGCACTGCTGTGCTGTCTGATGAATCTATCCCGGCCGCGGAATATCAGCAACGCATTCAAAACGTACGAAAGGCCCTTGAGTCTTCTGGCCTGGTTGGGCTCATCTCCTTCGGCGACTGCTGGCGCGGCGCCAATATCTGCTACTTCACGGAATTCCGACCTCTGGATGGAGTATCTGATATCGCCAACGCAATCTTCTTTCTTGGTGTGGCTGAAGAAGACCCCGCATTATTCGTCTCCAAACAATGCGTTGACTATGCCTCCGAAGTCACCACATTCCCTGTCTTGAGCTTTGACGAAATGAAACCGCGTCTCGAAGCGTTTGCAGCCCGGATTCAGACGGGCACACTTGGGCTGGCTGGTGCCTTCTACCTCCCGGAAGACCTCGCTCGCAGGGTGAGGGAATCGATTGGGGACCTCAGATTGGAGGAGAGCCAGGTTCTGGCCGAGATTAAGGCAGTGAAGAGCCCTCGCGAAGTAGAGTTAATCCGCAAAGCGTCCGTATTAACAGACATGGCGATGGTTGCCATCCGCGATACATTGGCCGATGGCAAGCCACATACCGAACGGGAGCTGGCTTTGATTGCCGATCGCGCCATGCTAGATGGAGGTGCTGAGCGAACTGGCTATGACTCCATGGTGCAAGCCGGTCCTCGGTCGGCCTTCAATCTCGCTCGACCCACTGACCGCATCGTTCAGCCCGGCGACTTGGTCATGACTGACATTGGCGCTCGTTATCGCGGATACGTCGCTGATGGAGGACGAGGGTTCACGTACGGCAATGCGAGTACGGAAAAGGTAGCGATTGTGAAAGCGGCAGCTTCTGCCGTTGAAGCAGGTCTGGCGGCTGCACGGCCAGGCATCACGGCTTCGGATCTCAACAAGGTGATCCAGAAAGCGTTGGTTAAGTCCGGTTACGAGAAATACTCCAGCGAGGCACGCGGACACGGAACAGGCCATGGGACGGGTATGGATCCGGAGGAGGAGCAGCCGTGGATTGGTCCTGGAAACCAAACCATCCTGCGCGAGAACATGGTGTTCACGTTGAAGAGTACTATCACGGTACCAGGCATTGGGGGTCTTCGGACAGAGCGGATTGTGCGATTGACGGCGACAGGATGTGAACCTCTAGATGTTTTCCCAATGGAACTATATTGGTAGCTCTCAGATATAGCCGATATGTAGACAATTAGGAATATGAAGGCATTTATGATCAATCTGGGTTTTTTCTATGTGACAAACCGAGATTTCAATTTGATACAGGGAACCGTATACGCACACTATTCAATTTGCTGCCTTGATTAACGTATTTCATAAGCGAGCGAGCCACCCAACCGAGCACCCCAAACACCATAGGTGAATTTCTAGGTCATTGTAGATCAACGACGAGAGGCTATTCTTACTTGATTCTTGGTAGAGAATGTTTTCTGAGCATTAGAAATAGTAGGGTACAGCTTATATATTAGAAATCCAATTATTTACACGCAATACCAAAAATACGCTACCATCGCCCGAAGTAGATATATATATCTAAATTATCACACCCAAAAATATTTCCTACATTAATGAGAATACGTATTATAGTATATTAAATATCAAGATTCCTTAAGATACGATGATGAGCTTTGAGATTTGGAATATCAAGTTAGAAAAATTTACATTTAGTATGTTGGTTTGGGATCGCTTGGTTGGGTGGCTCGCTCGCCTATGACATACGTTAGAATAGGGGATTACTAAATTGACCACCCCCTGCCTAAGAACGCCTAAAATTCTCGGGGTTTCAGGCATTTTCAGGCAGAGGGCGTCGTATGATGGGAAAGGGAGGTCTGTGTATCAATATCCTGATTAATTGTTTCTTAAAGAATTTTCCTAGCCGCTCTGCAATAGTCCGCACTTGAAGGTAAGGAAACGGAAACTTATGATAATCCGCGGCGCGTAAGAGAGCAAAGTATGGAAGCAACTGCCCATTGCAGTCGGTGTCAATGATAAGTCAAGATGAGTGAAATAAGCATAAGATGGGGGTTCCTTTTTCGTGGTCCGTATTATAACTGACCTTCAGTCAGCATCTATGCCCTTCGCTCTACCACGGCGCAGCCACGCCTCTACCCGCGGAGGCTTAGTGAACGCCTCCGAGCTCGCTGATTGGCTAACTGTGGGAAGCCAGGCTCGTGAGTGCTTCGCATAACAGCGCCAGCCGCTCTCCACCTTCCAAAACTAGAATGAGAATCGAGAAAGCTATGTGAACACCCTAGTCTAGTAAGCCTGTTTTATCATACCTGATCTTACTCCTTGTGGCGATTTTCCCAAATATTATAGGATGATCGGTAATTTGGATATGAGTGCTTCACCGATACTATGCTGTACCTCTTATTCAGCTTTATCATAGTCACCCTAAACTGTATTAACTATGTGTCAATGTTAGCAATAGTCTGGTTGGAGGAGCGCTAGTTTTCGTAGCTGAAATGATGTAAATATTATGATAAATACTTCTCTCTTCTCCCTCAGTTCGCTAGCACCTTTTGAACATGATCTTTTACATACATATATGAAAAGATTTGGCATCCTTCCACTTTCCTGTTCTCTCAGGGCGTTGGCTCTGGGCTTTCAGATCAACCATCAGTACTCTATTTCCAGTCGCAAAATGATCTCATCTGACTTGACGCCTGGATCACACCAGTTCACTGCTCCCAGTGGAATCACCTTTAACTACCTAGTCCGTGGCCAGGGTCCTCTGGTTATTTTCCAGAGTGTCGGATGGGGACCGTCAATGCATTTATACAAATCCAGCATGAAGAAGCTAGAAGAGGACTTTACGGTGCTTTACTTTGAGGCGCGTGGAGTTGGGGGCACCTCTCGTCCATCAGCTGATGAAATGAGTTCAAGGGTCATGGGTTCAGACTTGGATTCGCTACGCATACACCTAGGACAGGATAAATTGCGACTCCTCGGCCACTCTAACGGTGGTGCCATCGTCCTAGCATACGCAGAGGACTTTCCGGATAAAGTTGAGAAGCTGGTGCTGATCAATCACGAGCTGCAAGGTTTCAACTCTGATAACTCCGAAATCTACGCCGCTGCTCGTCAGGATCATCCTGTGTACGGACCAGCACTGAGGAATATCTACAAGTTAATGCAGCATCCTCCCTCAACCGATGATGAGTTTGCCGATGCATTACACTCAATGCTGCCTTACTATATGCACGACACAAACAAGACTTCTTTGCTAGCTGATGCTCTTAAAGATGGATCTCTTTCACTATGGAACTTTGTGAACCAGAAGAGATGCGACAACCAACTGAAATTCTCCGCCGTCGAAGGGCTGTGGAAGGTTCAGGCCCAGACACTTGTCATAAATGGAAGGGACGATGGAGTATGTTCAGAAGCTGCCGCTCGGGAAGTCGCCCACAAACTTGGCTGCAAGGCAGAATTGATACTTCTCGAGGAGGCTGGACATGTGCCTTGGCTAGAAAAGCCGGCTGAATTCTTTTCTGCTGTCAAAAAATTTCTGAGTTCCTAAAGGACACAATTTTCTTACCGGGCATTATTATGAAACGCGGATCTAGTGTTTTTAAAGTAGCTAGAAGAGAGCCGGGCTTTTACTCAGAATCTTCGTTTGCTTCACAAGGAGCAGATTATTGTCAAGTTTGAATTTGAGAAAAATGTACACAGCTAGAACCCGTCAGTGATAATATGCGACTTTGAACTCCCGCCAGGTCTGAGCTCTGACCTCGGGTGCAATGCTATTGGCTGTAGTAGTAATGATACACTAAGGGCAAGGCCACCATGCTATTTGCAGAAGTCTTAAGAAAAGGGTAAGAAAAGCAGCCGTAGGGAACGGGACCACCTTTCCGCCAACTCGGGTGTGAGGGATCTGGATCTTGTGTTTCTTTTCATCAGGATGAGCCATTCGTACCTCCTCTGTAGACAAGAATTTACCGTGACTGCTGATTGCGGAGGAAATTTAGCTGTAGACTAGCTGGTTGTAACCGCCATGGTGTAGCTCTTTTCCAGGGTTGGCCGCGATGGGAATCTGTGCGTCCAAATACTAGGAGTTAGGTTGTCAGTAGAAGGGTCATGAGGGAGTGGGAAGGGCTGACCGAGGTGTCCCATTAGCCCATCGGTGTTACGCTCAACTACGGCAGGAAGAAGAAGATCAGTAATGTAATAGCATTTGACGAAAAAATTAAGAATGGGGAAGGAAAGAACGAGAGTGGGAGTGGGTGTGAGAAACAACACAGATAGAGTCATAACTCATGCGTTAACGGAATTTCTGCTGGTCCTGGGCAGAGGCCCGCAATTAATATATAATTCGTTGGGGTTCTAGATCTTATCTACTAGCTTTTAAAAGGCGTCGGGTCAGATCTGCACAGTTGAGAGGCCTAAAAGTGGTCGTAGTCGATGTCCTCAAGGTGTGCACTTCTCCGCATAGATGGAAGTATTTGCAATGTTGTGCCAGGGTGCTACTAGAAGGCTCTTTGTGGCTGTGGACATGCCCAGAAGCATGTCCACAATTCGTGACAAATGGAACTTGCCTGTATGAATCTAAATAGGGCTGTGGGCCTGTTCCCCTGAGACCGAGGGGAACGAATTCACCACATTCAATCATCTAGTCCCTTTCCATTGCAACGTCAACGGCAATATAAACAAGACAAGAGCATTGGGGGTGATCAAGCCGCAATAACTCATCTCGAACGTTTGAATCAGAGGGTGCAGAAAACTGGCCAAATGGCGAAAAGTTCCTATGTTATACAATATTCTCTTAAAGAGAAAGAAGCTAGGTGCTCATCGAAAAGGATTAACCAAACAACAACGCCTTCTCCACTTCACAAGTAATTTGCGAGTCTGGATGTTGGGGCCTGGACACTGCCAATCACGATGGAAGGTAGCTACCCTCAACAATCAGTCAGTATACATTCGATCGACTATGTCGGCTTCATTCTTGCTAAGAGTTCTCACCTTATTTGATTGGATGAATTGTACAGGAGATTCAGGGCATCAAACAATCATCTGCTCCCCCGGTTTCTCATATGATGTCAACTGATTCCCAGCAGCATCGAGCCCATCATTCTTGCCCACTCCGTGTTCCAGTAAGACATCACCGTGGAGAGTATACGCCTGCTCCATCTTCCAGTAGAAGGGACTCTTGGTGGAAAACAGTGCTTCAATCGACTCGAGAGAGCGGCCACGGGTTTCGGGGTAGACTATAATTGTTATTAGCTCTGGTTTTCATATTGTCGTAGTAAGAACGTACAGAGGTAGACTATAGGGATCCAAATCAAATTAAGGCCGGCGAAGAGGAAGTAGGTGCGGCTCTGGGACAGCGGTCAGCTTCATCTACAACCGGAATGACTTGATCTTACCTTCATGGCGTCGAACATAATCGGATTCACCAACGTGGTCATGCCCACACCGATAGCCCACCCAGTGATGCCGAAGCCATTACCTTGGGCACGCAAGTCAGAGGGAAATATCTCCGTGGGCACCAAAAACGCGACAGTGCCCCACGTAGCAGCATAACTGTTGAAAGACGTCAGATCAGTTGCAAGAGGACAAGCTAGATATTTAATGCGGTCGACTTACCCAATATTGAACAAGAACAACATGGTAATAGCCGCGGGGGCATACTGAGCAGCCTTGCTGGGGTCATGCAATGATCCCTCGTAGACAGCTCCAGCCTGGTATCCAATTAGAGACAGAGGTCGCAGTTTCGTGAAGTAAACACATACAATAATATTAACAGCAAAGAGGACTGCTGCACCCCCCATCAGACAGACACGGCGACCTAGGCGATCGACGATATGGGCACTTATTATGGTACCGATGATGCCAACCGTGTTGAGTCCTCCAGCCAGGCCGTTCTGTTTGATGGAGCTGTATCCAGCCTGGTGCAAGAGAACTGGAGAATATGCAGTGACAGCCTGTACTCGTCTAGATTAGAGATAGTCATCGAGTAATGCCGACCGAGATGAACCTACCGTAATACCTGTCCAGGAGGCCATGATCTGAAGCCAGATACACAGCCAAGCTCGTCTGCCCAAATTCGGATGCCGCTTTCCACCCTTGCCGAGCATGATCTTGATGAATTGGATAGGTGAGCTGAGCTGGCTTTCCTCAGCCAATGTAACAATTTCCAAGTATTCACGATCGATCTCTTCTGGACTGGCCCTGTGCTTGCGAATACGCTCCAATAGATCACGCGCCTCTTCTTTCCGACCAGCTGAAGCAAGATACCTCGGACTATCAGGCAACATCTTGATGCAGCAGACTAGAATCAGGGCTGGGAAACATTGAAAGGCAAGTAAAAACCTCCATCGCACGGATGAGTATCCGTTATCGACGAAGGCGAGGCCGAAGGATATCCAGTATGCAACTGATATGCCGAGATCTGGAAGGTATTAGCAAGCACCCCGAAATGAGAGATCACTGGCTCTGCTTACAGTTGGCAATGAAGACGTATCCCAGGAACCCGCCGCGGTGATCTGCAGAAGAGGTCTCCGACACCAAGACAGGGGTAATGCCAGTTAAAGCTGCATCAACACCAGTCAGAACAAGCTAGGAACGTCATACACCGTATAAAGAGCTCACCTCCAGTACCAATTCCTGTCAGCACTCGAGCGCAAATCATAAAGTCTGAATTCTGAGCGGCAGACTGTAACGCGCCGCCAACCAAGGCAAACAACGCTCCCGCCAGCAGGCCGTTGATTCGACCAACTCGGTCAGCCAACCACCCTCCAGCAAAGCAGCCGAAGATGGCACCCAGGTAGTAGACACTGACAATCCCACCCTGGTGCGTGGTGTCTGTCACGGTGCCATCCGGCTTCCCAATGCCGACCTCGGTCACGTACCTGGGCGAGGAATTCACGCCGCCCATCACGCCCTGGTCATAGCCCTCGAAGAATATAGAAATGAGCGAGAAGACCTGGATGGTGGCATTTAGCTGCCGCGGCGAGAGCCGCTTCCAGAGCGTTGTATAGCCCATCTTTCGGTATTGCTTTGCCCGGGGTCCTTCATCGAGGATATTGGGATTTCGCGACTCTTTATAAGGTGGAGTATTCGCCCCGGGTCGATCGGAATGGAGAGAATCCTGGAGAAGCGCGGGGCGAATGACGTCCAACCTTCATTTAGGCGCGTAGCCGTGTCACGGAAGATGCTAAAGTTTGAACCCGTCTCATCGGCCTCGGCATTCACTCGGCTTCCCGGTGGCGACGGCGTGGAGAAAAGCAAGCGTGTAGCCGTTCTCCCGTTTAACCGGCCGTTTAGCAGCTTTGGCGTTACCCGCTAGATGGAGATCGCCCATATACCGCAGGAGGCGAGTGTTCTCCAGGATTCGGTCCGCGATGGGACTCGGATTTCCGTTAAATACGACCAAATCCTCGCCCATCACTGTCCGCGTACACCCTAGACCGTCATTTTACCCTCCCCTGTAAACCAGTTTTCGTTTCGGATATGGCGAACAGCACTAGCAGCCCAACCTTGGATCTGACCGTCCTTGGTTTGAACAGCGGGACATCGATGGTGAGTCCTCCAGGTTGCTTGTCAAAATAAAGGAAGTGAAACTCACGGTGAATGAAGGATGGCATTGATTGTGCCCTTTGCCGCTTCCGTCAGGAGACTCCAGAATCTGCGATGCACTTTGAGTTGCTGAAGGTAAGGACTTCTTACCATTCTCAAAGAATACAACTGACATTGGCTGCAGTATGGGGAGATTCCTCTAGAACCCGTGATCAAGAAGCGGGTGATGAACATGATCCTACACAACCAAACCTCGCCGTCTGAGTTATCAGAAGTGAACGTCATCCTGGGCGAGACGTTTGCGTCGGCAGTGCACCAGTTCTGCAAGGACTACGACGTCGATATCGACTCGATCGACGTTTTAGGCTCACATGGCCAGACGATCTGGCTGCTCTCGATGCCCGAGCCAGGCGAGACTCGAAGCGCTCTGACCATGGCCGAGGGCTCATTCCTGGCCTCGCGCACCGGTATCACCTCAGTGACGGACTTCCGTGTGAGCGACCAAGCTGCTGGACGCCAGGGCGCCCCTCTTATTGCCTTTTTTGACGCGCTCGTGCTACACCACCCGACTAAATTGCGTGCGTGCCAAAACATCGGCGGCATTGCCAACGTGTGCTTCATCCCGCCGGATAGCCATGGCGGTGTTGACGAATGCTATGACTTTGATACCGGCCCAGGCAATGTCTTCATCGATGCCGTAGTACGGCATTACAGTAACGGCGAACGCGAGTACGACAAAGATGGCCAGATGGGTGCGCGTGGTACAGTCGACCAGGAGCTCGTCGACGACTTCCTGCGCCACCCGTACTTTGCCCTTGACCCGCCCAAAACTACCGGCCGCGAGGTGTTCCGTGACACGATCGCGCATGAATTTATCACTAAGGCGGAGGCTAAGGGTCTTAGCCCGGATGATGTGGTTGCTACAGTCACCCGTGTTACCGCTCAGGCTATCGTGGACCACTACCGCCGTTATGCCCCCAAAGACCTGGAGATTGCCGAAATCTTCATGTGTGGCGGCGGTGCATACAACCCTAATATCACGGCATTCATCCAAAAGGAATATCCCAACACCCGTATTATGATGCTGGATGAGGCCGGTATTCCCGCGGGGGCCAAGGAGGCTATCACCTTCGCCTGGCAGGGTATGGAGGCCGTGGTAGGCCGCTCCATTCCCGTCCCCACACGTGTCGAAACTCGTCAAGAATATGTTCTTGGAAAGGTGTCTCCGGGCAAGAATTACCGCAAGGTCATGCGCCAAGGTATGCTCTTTGGTGCTGGTCGCGATCATCTCTCGCCGGTGAAGGAGCTGGTCAACTATGTCGATGGCAAAGTTTTCAACAACAAGTGGTAAAAAAGGGTTTCAGGAGAATTGCCTATGGGAATTGCACTTCTTTGTGTGGGATTGATTAGGTGCATTATAACTGGGGGATTTCATGTTTACATATAAGATTAATGAGTACCGCAAGCGAATGCTTTTCTAAGTCGTATTCCCTTTTTTCTTACGTGAGATTTCTTATATGGCAATACTTAGGAAATTTGAGCGAGACACAGTCAAAGCCCAGTTTATCACAGTCAATTTATTTTTCTATCAGCCCTTCTGGTCACTAATCTCGCGCGCAGCGCCGTGAACAGTCCCGGCGATGACGGGAAGGTTGGCGCTGTCGAATGCTCAATCCCATGGTTTCTGCATCAGGCGCGCTTGTTCGCCGAGAGTCACGGCATTTGAGGACGCGGTCTAGTTTCAGTATTCCTCATATTCCAGCCACGGCCCAGGGTGGCAGGCCCGGAGCAGCACATGACCTGCTTGTCTTATCTAGGATATTCTGCTTCCTTTACCATTAGAAAAGCCAAATCCAAGGATCACTGTGGAACGAAGCGATCAGGTGTTTGGTACCATGACCACTGAGAGGTTTTCAAATATACCGGAATGTAATGAATCGAGGTGTAAACCTGGTAGATGTATTGAAGAAGATGAAAGCCAAAGGGTGAATGATCTGGAAATACTGTATTTGGCTCAGGGCTCAGCGCAGAATCATAGGTATTGCAATGAGAATTAGATAGAAAATAATCAAATACAGCCGCATTGATGCAGCGCCTATTTGTTGTGGATGTAGATAACATTTCCTTGTGAATCAAGAAATGAAATTATTCGAACGCCAGAGGCATAAATCCCTCAGAGTTATGAGAATCCAACGGCCATGGCCAATCTGAGAGGAGTTCTGGTGGCAGCTGAAACTGGGACATCTGGTCAAGACCAGCGCCAGGCGAGGCTGCGACGGCAGCAATGCCCTGTGCATAGGCCGACGTGACAGAAAGTTCGGGATTTGTGTCAATTACTTGCGTCACGTTGTTTGATGAATTCAGGTCCAAGAGAAGTGAGCTACGCATGTAGCCGTCTATTCGTTCCACCTGGGACCGCAGTCGTTCGCCAGCACCGGACGCACGGTGTAGGCCCATTTCGAGACGCTGTAAGAGATCTGCCATTTCAAGTCTGTATGTAAATATATCAGCGAAAACTCAAGCAGCTACCACCGGACAAAGACCTCGTACAGTAATGTTCGAGCTCGCATGTAGGATACTTGTGACAAACTCCCTTCCATGACAGAGCCAAGAATGTATCCAATTCCGCCAAGGTGATGGAGCTGGGACTTATCAGTACACATTTCAGACAAGCATAGGGATTACACATACCAAAGGAGAGCTGATAGCTTTCAAGTACTCAATAGGCACATTCGAAAAAACGCTCAGCAGTGCGCCCGCTACATCGCACTTCCGTTCCACCCCAATTTCCTCGGTCGATAAAAGCACCATCCGAAGGAGTTGTAGCGTCGCCTGGATGTTGGCTGCCTGGAACCCGAATAAATCCTTGGACATGTCTCCTGTAGTGGGCGGCGTTTCCCGAAACTGTGATGGAAGAGCTGAGTACATGGCGAGGACTTGATCCATGACAGCCGGCTCTGATATAGATGAAGAATTAAACAGTGACCACACTTGTGTCGTTCCATTAGCCGGAGAAAAGCGGCGTCTATTGCCATCGACGATATGCTCAAGGATGCGGTAAAGGTCTGTGGTAAAGTTCCAACCACGCAGCCAGGGCGTTGGCTGGCGGGAGACGACAGTCACCTTACCCGTTAGAAGCGAATTTGGTCCTGGGGAAACGGTCGGCACGCCATAGCCGCGGTCTGTGATGAATTCGTCGTCTAATTCGCTAGGATAGCGCACTAAAGAATGAGCTTCACGATATCGAATAACACCACCCCATACAATAGTCGAATAGATATCGAACGTATAGATAGACCAGAACTATCATCATGGTTAGTAAGGCGATGACGGATCAAGGGTATATCTCGTACAAGTCGCCGCCGCTCCTCTTTCTCAATTGGACTTAAGTCCTCTGGCCATAGTTTCTCGTCATAAAGGCCATCCATCGAAGTCAAGGTGTGGTATAAGCCGGAATACTTCTGCATATCTTTAATCTGGCCGTTTTGAATGCTGGCGATGGCAAGAATGGCACACGCCCGCATGTAATGAATTCCTTTAGCTGCGACAAGGTCTCGAGGAATCGAGTCCCGAGCAGCTACAAAGAATGTCTCGGAGGGTGGATCTATAAGCTGTTCTCGGTCCCACCGATTAGAATACAACGCACCGTCACGTGCGCGACCCGCGACCAGAGAGCAGGCAGCCATCGTAGAGGCAAAGAGTCCTTGATTGCAAAGATGCTGCTTGCTGTTGACTTGCTCGATGAATGACGGCATGTGAAACAAGGGAAATCTAGTGAGAAGATGTTCAGTCAACGCAGTCAGCGAGCAATATGGACTCATCATACATGGGATAGACGATCTCGAAATAAGCCTTAACTAAACTTCTTATTTGCCGGTCACAGGTAAGAGCAAATGCTTTCCAGGGATTTCGCAGCAGTCCGTTATCGTCATCTCCCTCGCCTGCTGACCAGCCATGGTTAAAGGTAGACCAGGGATCAGCAGAGATCGATGCGCGGTGCGAGATGTGAGAAGTCGAGAAGCCGGAGGCTTTTCCACCACTTGCAGTCGCTGTCGCTGTAGGAATAGTATCATCGACTGGGGCTCTCACAGACAGCGGATCGCGACCACTAGCCTCAGTGCCGGCCTTGACACCTCGGCGTTTTACGGGACGATCAAAGGTGCAAGGCACATCGAAGTCCACACAATTTTGACAACGCCCTAGGGGGTCCTCGCTCTGGCTGCATTTGATGCTGCGTCTATTACAAAGGTCGCCTGCATTAGGTTGGGTACTTAGCGAACAGGCTTCGTGCCCGGAGTTTCCGACGCCTAGCTAACGAGTGGAGAACTCCAGAGCAAGCAAATGGAATGCCTGGGGGAACCTACAGGCCATGGAGACGCGCTGGAATTTTCGCGGTTTTTGCGACATTCAGCCATGAGATACCTCCCGGTTGCGTAGAGCGTGGTATATCAGGTAAAGCACAGAGCTTTGGCGAGTTGCATGAAGATAGACGCAAGGGTGCACGGGGTGACCAGCGACTCGGGGAAAAGGCGCGGATAGGATTGAAGAGCGAAGAATAATGACCAAAGCCTCGTTAAGTAAACGAGTGTCACTTAAGACTTGACACCACAGCAATTATCTCGGCAGTAGTGCAAACAAAAGAATCCTAAGTCCGAGAGGCCAAACCACACCCGAGCCTGAATCAGTGGAGCGTACTTGACGTAATTCACAAGCGAAACGCAGGAACCATTAATTAAGGGCACCCCAGAGTTACTTTCTTACTAGTTAACCCACCCCCCTACAAATGGGCCCTTACTAATCAGGTGTTGACCTAGTATGATGATCACGTGTTCTACATCCATATACGCGCTAAGCTCCATCTACTACTAATGTCATCTGCAATCTATGCGCTCGGAAGGACTGAGTACATGAGGACGCGTAATTATATGTGAATGCTCAACCAGTCCGATTGGTACGGACTATTTGAAGCACGAGAGAGATAATAAGCGACATGGATAGAAACAAACGAATCACCGACAGGGAAGCCGCCGTGGGAGTAACGAGAAAGAATTACACCATAAGTAAACAACATGCTACTAGCAGATCCCACGGTGATCTCAGAAGAACCGAAGGAAAGACTATTTGTCAAGTACACCTCCATGCGCCGTTTTTGTACTTCCATCTGTGGTTCTTTTCCATTTTTTGGTTTATGACATAAAGTGAATTTCCAAACAATCACATGGCCCGATAAATTGGTGCTTTGCCATTTTACCATAATACATACATAGGAGAACCTCAATCGATATAGGAGAGGATCACGAAGGCTGATCTCTATTTTGATCGACCGTTCGGATAGATAATGCAAGAGATCAAGGGCGATCCAGATGTAGTAGGTGTTATAGAATCTGTTGTTTTCATTGCTGTCCCTTCAACGCTCGTTATGAGTACCCTTTTCTGGCACTTATTAAAACACTACTCAGTCAAATGCTCCTGCTCTTTCGTAACAGATATGCAAAGATTCTGAGACCAGGAGAAAAGAGTGAGGAATAAAACAATTACGGACGCTAAGCTGCAAGGCCTCACGAAGTGGCTGATATATATCGTGGCAACATAGTCTACATCGGAAGCTTCTGTAGAAAGATGTTATCTCCACCAGAAAATGGAAAGGGCTGCAAGTCAAATGACGTTCGTGGTTAAAGTAAAAGCCGTGAAGCCAAGAAACCATCTGATTCTTTTACACTTCTTTGAAGAATATCCTTCTTCTGGTCTTCCTATACACGCTTGGGGTGGGCATGAATTGATCAAGACACTATCTTTAAAGCATAGATCTTACAGTGCTAAGGGACATGGGCACATACAAGTAGTACAGAGAATGACTACGAATGGTGCGGTCAGTCGGAGACTTAGATCTGTTATAGAAGAAAACAAGAGTTCCTATTTGTGTATGTATTGTACACGTCCTCAAAAAAATTGGACTGTACTCTGAGTGGCATCTTTTTCAAATTGATACCAGTGACCCATGAGTAACGGAATGGATTGGTATCGAATTGAATCTATTTGAATAATGGATTGAACATAATTCTGGCTCAGGAGATAACGCGCCTACGGCCTGTACATTGCGACTACATATGTCATAAAGCGTAGAGTTACCATAGTAGTAACTGCTGAACTTGAAATTGCCAAGTTGCAACCTAGTGTGTAGGAAGACTGGTCATGGCCCGGTGTACCGACCATCACACTGGTGTGGCATGATGAGTGAAACAGAGTCTTCTCATTTTGAGACATCAAGATGAGACACCTTCCTCGACGCCATTGGAAGAATGTTGGACAATCGAAGAACGACGCTTATCGTTGCCACCTTTGACCCGGCGGAAACCCACCATTTGGCCAACTTCCCTCCAGAAGCCAACAGGGGGATCCATGAAGCTGGCCTCGTATGCATCAATAAGGGGTCGCTCCCAAACCAAATCAGCCTCGTGGGGCTTCACAAATTTGGTCCGCTTGATGAGCTTCCAGATGAGGAAAAGGGGAGGAATCACGATCTGCATGGTGTAGTCTGACCAGAACGTGGAGACGTTCCATGGCTTGAACGCGGGATATCCATAGAGAATGGTGACCAAGATCATCCAAATAAACGCGGCATATGCGCAAAAGGGTTGAAGACGGGCAAAGTAGGAGAAAGACCTGCGGTCAAGGCCCTGTGCTTTGCATGCGCGATGGAAGAAGATATATGTTAGAGAGATCACGACATAATTGATCAAGCCTATTCTTGCGGTCAGCATATCGTGATATTTCTGGACAGAAAAGTATTATTTTAAAGGTGCAAATCTTACCTCCAGCTGTAACAAGATTGGCAAACCAAGTAATGACGATGGAAGAGCTGTTTGAAACCTGCAAGAAGGACAGGATCGGGAAGATCATGACAATTGCAAAGCAGTAGATAGGTACACCCTTGCGAGTGGTGTATGTGAGAATGCGCGGGGCTCTTCCTTCCAGTGCAAGGCCGTATAAGGTACGAATAGCACAGTAGGTGTAGGTATTACCGGCCGAGAAGATTGAAGTTAGGAGAAGACTAAATGAAAGAGAAGAATGGTCAGGCTTCACCGGTAATCAGTATTCTTGAAAGGGAGGTACTCACGCGTTGACAATGGAAGGGAAAATCGCAATTCCCATATTCTGCATGCCAATGACATATGGCGAGGCGGCTGCAGAAGAACCACTGGTTTCTCCCATGACAACCTTGGTCAATGCCGGATCCCTAGGAGAGCAAATAATGCCGACTGCCAGAGCGCCACCAACGAAGAAGATTCCGAATCGGAGATATACGGTCTTAAAGGCATTTTTGATGTAAATACGAGGGCGTTTGGCTTCCGCAGCAACCATGGAGATATACTCGGGGCCGACGACGGTAAAGCAAGCGGACCACAGAGCTCCCAGGAAACCTTCAAACCGGCCAAGAGCCCCAGTATCGAGGTATTCCATGAAGGCGCCCGGTGTGTTCCAGTTTCTAAACCCATAAGCATCATGTTGCGGATTTCCGCCTACCATGGTGATGAAGGTGAAGAAAAATAGGGAGAAGATCAGGACCACCTTGCCACCAGAGAGCCAAAATTCGGCTTCACCGTAGGCCCGGACAGCCAAGATGTTCAAAAAGCTGGAATGAAGAAATTAGCATGATCAATATGTACCTTGGGGCGGACTCGCGGAAGAGGGTCATGTCAATCGAAAGTTAGGCGGAGGAGATACAAAATTCATAAAATGAGAAATGCGTTCCAAGTGCCATCTTGAGATGAAAGGAGTGTGTCTGGTGTAGAATGGGGGAATGGGGACTCTTACGCGTAGCACAAAATGATACCAGCACAGATGCCCGCCACTGGGCCGGGCTCAGTTATCTTCTCACTCCAGAAGGATAAGACCAGTGTAAAAGCAGAAATCTCGAAAGGAATCAAGAGCGCCTCATAGAAGCTATTATGTCTGTTAGTTCAGAGCCCACCTCAGATCCAAATGGGCAACGGAAGGAGCGGAGGGGGTGAAAGGAAAGTAATGAGAGGAAATTTAGACGAACAAGAAGTTCCAGCCGACCATGAAGCCGAGCGCATCGTCAACCCATTTGCCAGCCAAGCGGATAAACCCTCCACTTACGGGGTAAGCGGTGCTCATCTCGGCAAGACAATTATTGATCATGGCCAAAAAAATACTTTGGATGCTGTAAGCCAGGAACAAGCTGCCAGCGCCGCCGTGGTATAGACCTGTTCCAATACTGACGAATAGAGCCGTTCCGATCGAACCACCAATGGCAATCAGTTGGATCTGACGGTTCCCGAGATGACGCTGGAGGTTGTCGGCATTATCAGCCATCATACCCTCCTGGACATCATGAGGGCCCTCGGTCTTCAGACCTAGAGTGTCCAAGACACCGGTGTCTGACACACCGGTGGTCGTCCCCTTGTCTTTATGGTTCGCAAAAGCCATGATGGTCTCAATAGTCGATTGGCTTAAGTTTTTTTTCTCTTGTCTACCAATTGATACAGATTGGGGCAGGGCGCAGGTGATTTTGGATGACAGTCAGTGTCACCGGCGATGAAGGGTAGGTTCGGGTCGATTTTCTCAATTGGATTTTTGTCGCATGGGTCTGATTTTGGGCAGGTTAATCCACACGGAAGGTTAGTAGAGAGAGAGAAGGGCTCAAAAGTCGCGATGGTCCGGATGGAAATATTCCAAAAGGGCGTGTGTCGCAGGGGTTTGAAACTGTTGCGTTGCGGCAGGAGGATGTCGCTTTGGAAAATGAATTGGGAGCTCGAAGGATTGGGATTCGAGTTTCTAGGACCGGGGTCGTAGATATAGCGCGAGATTTTCGATTCTCAGGGTACTTGAGCTGAAGAATTCCGTAGGACTTTCATGGAATAGCGACCCCAGAAAGACAGAAAGGATAGAGATAGTAAAAATTCTGAGATGATGAGGCTGAACAGATAACCTGCACAAGGGTATCGAAATAGCGGGAATATCGGAAGTTAGGAAGAAGTCCTAAGCTGGATCGAAGCCCTACAACTCTGGAATTTCCGGAGGGGTGTGTAGATTGACGAGGGAGCGAAAGAATCAAAAAAATCTCAACGCGCGGTTTGGCCGGGGGGGGGGGGGGGGGTAGACCAGGGTAGAAAAGAGGCGCGATCCTCTGAGGGCAGTGGCGCTCGGATGGCTAAGAAACTCAGGGAACTCCACAAAAGGACCAAGAGTTTTACCAGACTAAGAAAGTCAGATTATCCCGTATGAAGACTAGTGCAGACGACTAACCCAGAGGGGCGGCAAGTGACATCTCGGGGGCCATACACAAATTGCACGGTTCCATGGGTAGGCCGCCCATTGATGGCACGGTTGAGTGGGTTAACTTGCGGTAAGAACATGGCCAGATGCGGGGTCAAAGTGAGATGGCCATTACCCAGGGCACGAGTTAGAGTGGTACAGGAGTACGGAGTATATTCTCTCACGATAGGCCAATCTTGCGGAGGTCTGCGCCACGTTTTTTGCCCGATCTTATCGCCTATGATTGGATGTGCTGGCGGAAATGGACTGTTGGCCAAGAACGGCGAGGAGCGTAACTAGGCCGTCTTGGGACGAGTCTTGCCTCCTCGGCCACGAGTCCTGTTACATCGACGGGATTTTTGCGCTTGGGACGCTTGGGGACTTCCGGAGGATCTCTCGTGCCGTGGATGGAAGGGTGGGGGTAAATGTATGCTCTAGGGAGTACAGTATGGAGAAGTACTCCGTGCACGCCCAGTCTGAGAGACGTCAGGGGCGGAATGGGGCTGAACTGGCCGGGCAAATCACGCCGCGCCCGTACCCCTCTAGTACCCTCGGGCGTGCATCAACCAGGAAAATTGAAAGGTTATCATGGTTGTCGGGGTCGCTCAACTGCCCTCCAATTTTCCACAGGCCATCCCGCGACGTGTGAGCGTTCCACAAGCGGGCCCGGGGGCGCCGACGTGGCTGATAAGACGGGCCAGTCCCGAGTCCGGACTGATGGCCTTATGGGAAGAATTACCCTGCTCGAGTAACACACTTCGGTAACGAGTTAATTGCGGTAGATCTGCCGGAGATTACATACTCGACTATCAATGTAGCGCAAGATAAGGCCAACCCGCAAATTTATTGTTAGGTAATGCCAAATGCAGCCCGGTCGCAAACGGACAAAGCCCCAGTGGTTACCAAGCAAATCCACTAACTAACTAACTAACTACGGGACTTCTAGATATCAGGGTCCTTGAGCGGCAATGATTGCAACACCAGCCTATTTTGGCAGGTACACCTCTTGCCCAAGGATTGTCTCTTCTTGGAACTTCATGTAGAAGCCTTGAGTGTATTCTCTGTACCCGAGCGATCTCGACCGGTTGGGAGATATTGAGGCAGCATTGCTGTTCTTTGAACCCGTCGCCAATACCAAGGAGACTACGAGGACTGTCGAATATACTTACAAGAAACGGTAGAATGCCCCTGTTGAGGGGTTTCACGTCCACAGTTCAAGCAGAAAATCAAGGGTGTACTGATTCACAACCGTCAAAGGGGACCGCCAAAAAGCCCACTATCTTCCCCAGATCTTCATCGATACATCTCGGTGACACTGGAAATAGGAGAATATTGTATACTAAGTCTCTGTACTAGCTCAAAATAATACCCACGCGTGTGTAGCCTTGGGGAAAGCGATGCAAAGTCTGGTAAGACCGTTCTGCTGACTTCTACATTCGGACATTTGGCCTGCCACTCTGGTCCAAGAAGTTCTTCGTCAGCCAATCAAAAGGCTCAGTAGTTTAGCGGTATGATACGTCCTTCGGGCGTGCCCGAAATGTGCAACATTTCCTGTCTGGACGTGACCCGGGTTCGATTCCCGGCTGAGCCCACGTTAGCTTTTTGCCCTGAGCTAAGGTTTCGCATATAGATCTAGATCTTGATATAAAGAATGAAAGGAGGTTTCTGGGTTACATAGAGTAATCTGGAGGTCGCTGCTTGTGCTGTTATATAGGCTAGGTGACACGGACTGCATTAGAGAGCGGCTTGGCCAAAGCCGCATATAAGTCCAGTTAAAGGATTCACTATATGTCGATTACTAACTAGTCCACGTTATTATCTATCATCAGTCAGGATAGATGCTACCTCCACCTTACACCTCATACATCTTTCACCACCTGAAATGCTCTGTGTCACCTTACCTACCGTATATATATTGCACAAGGTTTGCCTGCTCCCCCTTTGACCCTATGATATACATCAACAGCTGCTCGGGACAATGATTTTAATGAACCCGTAAAGATAAATCTGATGGAACGGCTAGTTCTACTCAATCAAGTTGTTTCGTCCATGGCGTATCCCAGTCTCGCCAGGAACCCCTCTAGTTCTCGATCCTCTTGCGCCAAATCAAGATGACTACCCTTAGGTAGCAAGTCGTATGCCACAATCCTAACGACTGCAACTCCACCCTCCAGGAATCGCCGTGGAAAACGATTCCGTGGAGATTAGACCAAAATTTGCCCCCGGGCCCATATGACCGAACGTCTGTAGAGGACTATAGAGCACCACAAAGCCTGCAATATTCCAAGATAGCTTGGAGTGGATACCACTCATAATGAATTCGAGCACCATATACCTAGCAAATCCTAAAATACCAGTGTCACACCGGCCAATGGCGCTGGTGAGCCAGGCTCTAGTCATCACTCCTGGAACTGGAAGAACGGCGAGAACCACCTGCCAAACTGCGGTTTTCCGGATATCATTGTCCTTCACCAGCGAAGCGATGATCGTGCTAGAGATGATGCTGTTCGGAAAGTTGGTGAAAATAAATCGTACAGAAAGAAGTACAAAGAAGTCGTGAAGATACGCGACCAGTACCAACGCGCGAGAAGTACATAGAGTCCGGAGGCTCGTCGCTGCTTGGTAAAGTTGGAGTCATAAACTAATGTCAAATCGACCAAGATCATGCGAAGGGTGATGGTGATCACTGGCAGATCAGTGGCCATGCCATATACTACGTGAAAGGTGATAGTCAAGTTATTGTTGGTAGCAACCAGACAAATCAAGTAGATGATCTGCAAGACTGGACTAGCCAAATTGGCTATCAGCGTTATTATTAAAGGGTAAAGTGACCAACGGTACGCTTTCATCTCATGATCTGTCAGAGTGAGCAATTCTAATGTTTTGTCCAATCAAGTATTTAGAAACTAACATTGTTAAATTCTTCTACATCGGTAGCCGCACTTAGTGGATATTCACCTCCAACAGCAAAGCCAGCAACTTCACAAACTATGACGAAATACCACAGAATATGTTCGAAAGCATGGATCTGTGGAGCAATTGCCGACAACATAGTAGTGATAATAACTAGCCTCGAAATCAGTAGCAAGCCCGATTGTCGCGGAAGATGTCCGAGGTATACCATAGAGCCGTAACTCCAGAAATTGCACCGATGATTAAGGCATTGCTCCTCCGTATCTTCATACTAGGGGCAGCTACCAGACACGAGGGACTACCAATGACCTCTCCTCTTCAACACATCCGCCTTCCACCCTTCGCAAGCTCCGAGTTCGTCATCCAACCGCCTACAACCCCTCCGCTTCCAGAGCCAGAGCAGAGCAGTTAGACGCCACACCACCCGCGACGGTACAAACCGGATCAGCACCCTCAAGCACACTCGCTCCCATCTCGTAATCCTGAACGAGGAAGACTTTGTTCAGCTGGTCCTGGATGGCACATACAAATGGCCAGTAGTAATTCCCAAGTGTGTCAATTGCGACCAGGATGTCTTCGGATCCGTCGGACATTGGAACCAGGTTGATGAGGTTGGCCGTGTTGGGGATCTCGCCCCAAGCTCCGAGTCGCAGGCGAGAGGATCCAACGGCACTCATGGTATCGGGGAAGTAGTACAGTAGGCGAGAAGATGAGTCGCCGAGAATGACGCCCTCGGTTAGGTCGGCGACGAATTGAATGTCGTCTGTCAAGGCTGTGAGGTTCGTGCTGCCACTTACAAGAGAGACGAACATGCTTCCGTTGACGGAGGGATTCAGGTAGACGATGCTGGCTGTATCGGTGATGGTCACGGTGCCGTAGGTATCATCGGTGGTGTTTGAGCTCGTGGAATTCGATCCAAGGGTACTGTTTTCTGACCGGCGAGAGAGCAAGCCATGGCTGTAAGGGCTGTATTTTTCAAGCCACGATCGCTCTTGTGGTTGATGAGGAACGTGGACGGGGACAGTTCCAAACTGGGGCGTGGCTGAGTGAGAAACGAGGTTTTTGTGAGTCGTTTTCAAGTTGATACCTCGCTTCTTGGCGGATGACGCAATAGGGAAAGAATGAGTGCTACTTTCGTCTCCAATTAGGTGTTGCAGGTTACCAGATGAGTCCCTGTAGAAGATGACGACAGTCTTCACGTAGCCATACCAGGTGTCGTCGCCGAAGAACGTGTTGCAGAACTCAAACGAGTCTCCCGAGATTGCAGCATCGTAGAGAGCTTCATACACCGATTCGGTCGTGATCACGCCTATACCCCAGACCACCGAAACGATTGTGATATTGGCCTCTGATGGCTTCGAGTAAATCGTCGTTTCATAAGTGTAGGCAGATAGGCTGACGCTTCCGGGGACGATCGTATATTCGGAATTGGCATTCTGGGCGGACACAAACACGCGAAGATCCGTGCCATACTCGAAGAGCATCACAATAGATTTCTCATCCGAGGATTGAGATGTATCAGCCCACGGATTTGGTAAATCATCTTCCAGCACATTGACGCTGATGATGACATCGTTACCACTAACGAATTTCTCCTGCGCAAGCGTGGTCTGATCCGAGTCTGCCCAGATGAAATATTCCATAGTCAGCGCGGTTGAGGTAGCGGTGGCCGACGCGACTGTTTGTTGTTGTTGCCGAGGTGGTTGTGGTAGTACTAGAAACAGATTCCCCGACGCACCCGCTGGCAAGGTCTGCCAGAGTATAGGTGTCCAAAGTATATGTTCCTTCATCGAACTCCGAAAGATCGAGAACAATATTGTTGGCCAAAGCCAGGTCCCAAGATATACCGTAGCATCCGTTGGCGGGAGTGACATCGGCATCCCCATTCTTATAGGAGAGATCGTCGTCATACTCAGCTGCGATATATTAGCAAATGAAGCAAGCCACAAGACAGGGAGAGGACTAAGGTCGAACCAGTTGCTTGAAGTCCCGGGGTATCAATCAGCTTCGCTTCCTTTTCCCATTTTCCGTTCAGCACATTGAGACCAAAGCCTATCGTGACTGGCAAACCCAATGTGGACGTAATGGTAACGTCTCCGTCAAAGCTGGCGGCGTAGCTGTGGCTAGGAACAAACCCAGACAGGGTGGATTTGGAGTGGTCAACCAGATCCAAGACTGCGTCAATGTTGGACCAGGTCAAATTGGCCCCGACAGCTATTGTCCATCGGCCTGAATGTCAAGGTCCGCAGAGACACCAAGAGCCAAGCTGGGACCAACAGCGATAATGTCCGGAATCGAGAACTCCGGTATACCGATAGTGTAAAGGTCGTGCTTTTCCAGAAGATCATACTCCGCAAAAGCATTCAGTCCAATAGACAACCCAGCAAACATATTACCCGTCATGGAGAGCGATGCCTTGGTGATACCGTGCGTAATTCTAATGGCGAAAGAGCCAGTCATTTTGAGCTTACCAGTCAAGCACAATCCACACACCAAAGTTCAATACCAGGCTCGGGGTCAGCTTCGCCGATTAGTTCTCCCGTGATCTTCTCCAGCACATTTTCATCCAATGAATAGGTTTTATCGTCATCAGATAGTTTCATAGTGTAGAACTTGAAGCCTTCACCCCAGGGAGACTCGGTCAACAATGATGATGGAGGGCCGATATCCAGAGAGAAGCTAAAAGATTCCTCATAGTCGCCAGTCACAACAAACTTGAGGGGTGCCAAATCGTTCTTGAAGATGGTTTCCACTGTACTCACAACCGCCTTCACTTCTGATTTTAGCGTTGACGTGGCAGCGCTCACAAAGGTCTTCGTAGCGGTCGTCACTGCCTTGGTGACTGTCTTGGCGACAGTCTTCAGGACGGTTGCAACCTTCTTAACAGCAGCCTTGATTTTACTCTAGAGTGACCGACGCGTCTTTGGCGAGTAGGTGTTTTCGGTCCCCGGGGCAAGAGCAAGCAGGGTAGCCTATTCTTGTTTTAGTAACATCGACCGAAATTCAAATTAGAGCGAAAAAATACGGGATAGAGGCGTACATCAGACTCCTCATCAGTCGCAACAGAGTAGTATCCAAGTAGGTCATCAAGATTCTGATCGAAATCTGTTCCACAAGACACAGCAGGAAGACCATCAATATACGAGGATTTTGGTGAAGTGCAACCCAGTGAAGAAGAAGTGGAGCTGGAGCTGCTCGAATCATCAGTAGTATAGTCAAGCCCGCCAAAGTCCTGTGATGGCGGGGGCTGTTACTAAAGAGAGAATGGTTATTTTATTCATAGTCTATAGGTAAGGTCCATTTCTTATGTCGTGATATTGCTCCGTTCAGAGGTGATATTGACGCGGGTTGTCAACAGAAATTCCCATTCGTTGCCACATGCCCTCCACATTCATGTCCTCTTGACCACTGTGCACTTTGTTAGACATATGTTCGTATTTAACTTGAACGCAAATGGGCGACTCACTCATTCTTCTCATTGATCCAAGGCTCAGTTTGACCCTCTGCGGTATTCGGGTTGCGGAAAATCATGTTGTATTTCTTGATTTGCGCCGTTCAAGTTAGCGTTTGTCCATTTTGTATTGTGCTGGCATTCGATCCAACTTACCATGCCTAGGGTAATGTGAATGGCCCCTGGTCCCTTGACAAACTCCCCTTCGGGCTTCTTTCCCTCGATCAGTGCCTGGATATTCTTTGCAACCACAGCAGCTTGGGCTGCGCCGGGTCGTGCTGCCTTCTGTGCCCCCGTATCGGCGATATCTCCGACAGCGAACAGGTTCGAGTATTTCTCATCGAGGAACTGCATCGTCGGCCGAACTCGAATGAATCCATTATCTGGGTTGATCACGGAGGGACCTTCAGGTGTGGAGGGTTCCAAATCTGCGACCAATTTGTTGTTGGGGGTTTGCCCAGTCGCCAAAATGACCAACTCGGTAGATTCCGTCGTGCCGTTTGTCAGCTGCACGTCGAACGTGTTTCCATCATTGGGGAAGCCACCAGGGGGAATCTTCACGCGAGACCCGGTGATGAGTCTCACACCCAACTCGTCAAAGCGCTTCTGAATGATCTCATGCAGTCGAGGGTGGAAGCTCGGCATCACACGAGGCCGTGACTGGACCACCGTCACCTCCTTGTCCGGGTAATACTCTTTGAGGTCAGTGGCCATTTGTACGCCAACTGCACCACCTCCGACGATCAGAATCGATTTTGATCGCTTGACATCGGCTTGGTGCTTTTGTAGGTAGTCGACGGATGACGGCTTGTCGTCGTGTTCCATGGCAGCGGGCTTTGAGAGCCGAGTCCCCGTCGCAACAACGACATAATCGAATGGAATTTGGTTCGAGCCTTGCCACTCGCGATCAAGCTCTATATGCTCTGGCCGAATGGATGTGACGCGCGCTTGAACCACGGCGTGAGCAGCTGGGTTCGTGGCATTTGCGAAGAGTCCGCTATATGGAATGAATGCTTTGTGTTCTTGGCCAGGAACGATGGCAAAACGAGGCTACATAGATTTGTTAGTGAAAGTGGCCCTCATCGCTGGGCGTACTTTGGCTTGGGATTGCTCACGAATGTGAAGAGATGGTGGAAATGACTGTGAGGCTCTGTCAGGAGGATCTGCTCGAAGCGATTAGTATTGTCGTTGCTGCGAGGAGTCTGAGGAACGAAATCTCTCAAACATACCCTGTGAGTTGGTGGAATGATCTTTGCAAGTTCCTGAGCCGTCGACTAAATAGACTATTAGCTGAACAGTCACACTTGTAATAACCAGGTGAACAAACTCACCCGCCCCACAAAGGAGCCGCCAACGACGATGATATTGCGAAGAGAAGTACCAGCCATGTTTCTCGTGATTGTACTGGGGACGGATCGAAAGTAATTGGTAAAGCTCAGTTCTGTGAGGGGATCGTTCGCGCTTTATAAACACGCGTGTTCGGCAACCCATTCGGAGCCGATTTTAGCTTTTTAGTTTCTTAGTTTGGCGGCTTGGGGGGTCTTATCTGATTAACTCCGACGGATCTTTCCACTTTGAGGCAAATGCCGAGCCGCGCGGACAAGCTTACATCCGCCGCGGCTGTCCCTGCGAGCCGATGGCGCCACCTACAGTACAAGAGTTGTACTGTGCGACTTGCCTTGGGATCCTTGAAGATTTACCGCGGCAGTTTACCCCTAGATCCAGAGACATCAAAAAGACTGGGGCTATTTTCTCTTGAACATTGAACAAGGAAAGGGGAGTTGCTACTTCGTACATTACTGTACTGGGCCCCACCAACATTGGAAAGGTTTCCACGCTACCCCGGATCCTTTGGGTGGACGTTTCCCCGTGAATTGAATAAGACATCTTGCAGTGGCGCTCCGTCTGCGCGGAAGAGCACCGGTCATGGTTCGGCATGTGGTGGGGGAGAGGAGTGATCGGTCCCGTGACGAGGATCGGTCGGTCTCTTCCGGGGTGGGGGGAGGACAGGGTCTTTTAGCTCTTCTCCAGACAGTTTGAACAAAGGTTCTTTCCTCGATATATTTCCAGCTTCCTTTTTACGCGCCACAGTTCGCCGCCAAAAGTGCCGAGTTTTTTCTCAATCAATATTAATATATGCTGCTAGTCTGAAGCGTAATAACATCTGCAAGAACACATGCTTGTCTGCAGAATACTTTAAAAGCGGCGACCGAAGTTCTGGTCTTGGATAGTACACTACACCATAAAGTTGACCAGTATCTCCAAAGTGTAGCGATCAAATTTGTTCCAAGGTTCCAAGCACCTCTAACTTTTAAATCAATCGTCAATAATTAAGCGTTATCTTCGTAGCTGTGGGGCCTAATTATAGGACTTCGGACCTCAAATGGGGTAGATAACCACTACCACAATGTATATGTTGGCGATACCGCTGGAATATTGCTGGTATGACGTCACAACATGTGCTCCGCTACGGGTTATAGCCGATGGACTGTGCTATGGCTACCGCCAGTCCCAATTCGAGTCTCCTGAGCCTGGAAAGATAAAGCAGAATGTGTTCTGTGGCAAGAGCATTATAACATGATGGGAGCCTTAGAAATCAGGCTTGATCTGCCTGTCCAGCGCCGTGGCAAAGATCTCGGCGTGGGAGAACTTCCCCGCCCAAAAAGCATAAAGCCGAAGAAACCGAAATGGCCCACTTACGGTCGCTCAGCACGCTTGTATAACCGAGCAAGCCCAGCACAAGAAGCCTGCTCCTGTGTTATAATTTAATGATTCGATGAACTAGCCCTTGAGGAAGCAGCCTATATTCCAACTGATAATGGCGAGCTCCAACCCGGATCGGCCGCGCACACGCGCAAAGAAGGCATGCTTGGCCTGCAACGCGCGCCGCGTGCGATGCAATGTACTGGAAATGCAGCCATGCCGTAATTGCGTGGCTTGGAATCTCTCTTGCGAGCTGGGAGTGTCACGACGAGGAAAGTAGGTTGATTGAAGCCATCTTATCTCTTTTCGAGTTAGAGTAATGACACCTCTCGCCAGATACCCACGCCGGAAGAAAAAGGCAGCCTCCGAGAACGAATCACTCGAGGTGCATGGAATACCGGCTACTGCATCGGAAAGCCGACTTCTGCAGCAAGAGTCTCTGCTAGACCGGGGTCCTCACTATGCCCCATCGGCCCATCCAGCACGGGCTGGAGATGCTATTCACAAAACCGTCTTTCTTGGTGAATCGAGTCCTTTGACCTGCGTGGTCGACGAGGGACAACGCTCACCCGACAAAGGATATGCTTGTGCTATCCAGAAAGGACGCCTCCATTACTCCATCTCTGAGCTCCATGCATCTGAAGAGACCAACGAGGCAATATTTGGTCAACGTCGTAAATCTCTCCGAGAGCGTCTCATTCGCGAAAGCGCGTTGATTTTCCCATCGCCAGCCATATGTGAGGTACTCCTCCAAGCGTACTTTGAATGGTTCCATCCGCTGTTCCCGATTCTGGATCGGTCTCGGGTCCAGAATGACTATCAGGATGAAACAATATCTCCGCTACTCTTGCAGGCGATGCTTTTCATCGGCGTGAGTCTATGCTCCGACTCTGCTCTTAAGACCACGGGATTCAGCAATCGGTACCGGGCCAAGGGTCTGTTCTACCAGCGTGCAAAGGAGATATACGATGTCGGATGGGAAACCGATACGATGATCAAGTTGCAGTCAATATTTCTGTTGAGCTTCTGGCGTGGGGGCCCTACCGAGGAGCGAGATGTGCGATACTGGCTCGGCACGGCCACGGATCTGGCCCAGAAGAAGGGAATGCACGTGATGTATGGGTTCACAGTCAAACCCATCATTTTTGATTTGAGAACTGACAAAATAGGTCCAAATTGACGTTCTTGGGTGCTCGCGACCAGAAGATCTGGAAGAGGATTTGGTGGGCTTTATATGTGAGGCTTCCTGTCAGCACCTGCCTTCTCCTAGATGTCTAATGTCATAAAACGCTAGGTTCGTGACCAACAAACATCGGCAGCCCTCGGCTTACCGTCTCGAATCCGCGATGAGGACTGTGAAGTAGCCGAACTTGAAGAGGTAGACTTTGAAGAAGACGATTCAGCCGATGCCTCTGAAGTCTTCCGAAGACCACCTGCAGCACACGTCAATTATGTGATTCAAATGGCTCGGTTAGCTAAATTATGTACGAAGCGTTTGCCTGGTCAAATTTCGGGATGGCCTTACTGACGCCCAAATGAAATAGTACGCGAGGTTGTTTCCAGCCAGTACCTACCGGGAAAATCAAAGCTGGAAAATCCATTACGTCCTATCCTTCACCAGCGTCTCCTAGACTGGGAGTCAAATCTGTCACCAGAGATGCAATTTCAGCCATCCATGACCCGGGAAGTAATGTTCCTGGTTGGAATGCTGCACATGACCTACGCGTACGTCACAATTCCCTTCGTTGAGGGTTGAATTTAGGAAGCTTACCACCAACGTGTCCAGTAACTTGTATGTGTTGCTTTACCGGCCCATTTTCTTGCAACCTCCAAGTCGATCCACCAGCTCGGAGGGTAACATAGCCCTGGAGGCTGCGACTAAGAGTACTCGGATTTTGGAAGATATGCTCTCACAAAATCTAGTACAACATGGATCGGTTCACTTGTGAGTCCTGACCACGATATACGCCAAGGAAAGCTTCATCTAACCACGTGCTAGAATCACTCACACATTTTCTGCGCTATGTATTCACACCATTCATTTCGGACGAGTTGCTAGTACAGCCAAAAAGCTTGCAGAACATCGGGCAAAGCTTTGCCTACTTGGACTGAAAGAGCTTCAAAAGTCATGGGACTTAGAGAATTGGGTTCTCGATTTGTTCTTTCATTGCTTGGATGACCGCACAGCTCGGAATCTTCGTCTGATTGACAATGGATTGTCAGCATCTGCGCTTTCCAGCCAACTTATAAAGGGACCACAGATTCACGACTCGTCATCTCTGGATACCCCTTGCAGTAACACAAGTCGACCGCCTTCTCCAAGGTCTGCCGACAGCATTTTGCCCAGCCTGCCGACCACGGGCCCCTTGAACCCAATGGAAGATGCATCAGTCAATATGGACTGGTATGAGCTCTTTAATGTAGAAGGTGAAGATATTTCAGGACTGGCAGGCTCATTGACGAATCCGGACTACCTGAACCCGCAGAATCTGGAATTCTTGTATCGATTTTTATAACTTCATACGATCAAGAATAAGCATATTGAACCATTGCCTTTCTCAGATAGCCTTCTTAAAGTTGTGTAAATTCGGACCTATATAGTAACATGGTCGTGTGCGACTAGTTGAGAAAGCACTAGTCTATAGATCTATTTATTCTACCAACCCCAACTCCGCCAGAATATCCTTATTATGTTCCCCAACCTTCGGAACCGAGCCCATTTGAGCCCCATAGCCGCCCTGCTTAGCTGACTTTGTGGAGCCTGGTGGAAGAAGCGCCGGTACAGGGCCGACTGGAGTTTGAATATCGACCCAGCGATCGCGAGCCTTAAGCTGTGCGTGTTTCCAGACACCTTGCATGTCATTCAAGTTTGCATTCGCAATCGAGGCCGCCTCCAAACGCTTAATAGTCTCCGCGGCCGTGAGATGAGAGAAGACATCGCAGATAATCGCTTTTAGTTCATCACGATTCTTGGTCCGCATTGTGTTGCTGGAAAATCGAGAGTCTGCGGCCAAATCAGGCTGTTGCAAGACGTCGGAGCAGAATTTGACCCATTCTCTTTCATTCTGGATTCCTAGCATGACCTGACCGTCACTGGCTTCGAATGGTCCATATGGATAAATAGAAGCGTGAGATGCTCCCGAAGGCACTGGGCCAGGGGCACCATTAAAGGCATAGTACATTGGAAAGTTCATCCACTCGACCATGCTCTCCAGCATAGAGATGTCGATACGACAGCCTTGACCGTCCTTTCCACGCTGAAGCAGAGCAGAAAGAATATTGGTGTATGCATACATACCGGCAGCAATATCTCCAATGGAGATGGCCACCTTTGTCGGCTCCTTCAGGGTACCGGTGACGGACAACATTCCTGCTTCACTTTGAATGAGAAGATCATACGCTTTCTTGTCGCGATACGGACCATCCTGGCCATATCCGGAGATATCGCAGACGATCAAACCAGGGTGCTTCTTTTTCAAGGCGTCATGCGATAAACCCAAGCGTGCACTTGCGCCTGGCGCCAGATTCTGAACGAGGACATCCGCTTTCTCCAAAAGTCTCATCAACACCGCATGGTCCTCCTTGCTTTTCAGATCAAGCGCCAAGCTCTCCTTTGATCGGTTGGTCCAGACGAAATGCGAAGACATTCCATTGACACGATCATCATATTGACGAGCAAAATCGCCAACGCCCGGTCGTTCGACTTTGATAACACGAGCTCCCAGATCAGCTAACTGGCGAGTGCAAAAGGGAGCGGCAATGGCTTGCTCCAAGCTCACAACAGTGATACCAGCTAATGGAGGAGCACGATGGCCAGTTGAAGCTGCACTTGAATAATGAAGTCGGGGCGTCATTGTCGTTGATGTCCCTCGGTGCATGCGAAATGGGCGCAATGCCCGGATAGGTTGAATGAACAATCTCATTGTTGGCCACCAGCAGTGAGTTCCATGCAAAAAGCGTGCTAAGTGAATGGATTAATCGTACTAATCTAGTGTCTGTCGCTCTTTATTTGATGGTGTGTGACGCCTCGGCTGAATTAATCCAGAATTCTGTTCGGTACCTGACTCCTTCGCCGATCAACAGCGGGGAAGTTAGAGTCGGCTACTCGGTTGTATGCTGTTCTCAGTGAGACCTCGAAGGGCGACCCATACTACATATATTAACTGATCATGCCAACAAATGAAGACTGGAAAACATAACAATTAGAAAATGTCTCGATCTCAGTGGCAACGTTTAGCCCGGTCGCGATGGGCTGGTCCATCTCTCAGGATTTCGTTGGGTGCAGCAAGGCGCCTGCCCACAGCGCGCGGCGCTTTCTCGACGTCTTCACGACATGAACTCATGGAAATGACGGGTTTCACAGAGGAGCAGCTCACGGTTCGAGAAGCCATCTCGCATATTTGCTCCAAGTTTCCCAATACATACTGGCAAGGGCGTGACCAACAAGAAAAAGACCCGAAGGAGTTTCACGCCGCCCTAGCCAAGGACGGGTGGCTGGGCATCGCCCTTCCCGAGTCTCTAGGAGGAGCAGGGTTGGGTACGTTTACATGTGGACTATCTGTTGTTGATAAAATGCTAATATGGACGGTAGGTATCTCCGAGGCAACTATGATGATGCAGACCATCACCCAATCTGGCGCCGGAATGGCTGGTGCACAAGCAATCCACGCCAATGTATATGCCACGCAGCCATTGGCTAAGTTTGGCACAAAGGAACAGCTTGAAACGACAATTCCTAATATCATCAATGGCACTTGGCGAACATGCTTTGGCGTCACGGAACCTAACACGGGACTTGAAACCCTCAAGCTGAAGACTCTCGCAACGAAAACCGCGGATGGCTATTCAGTTTCCGGCCAAAAGATATGGATCACTTGCGCGCAGGTTGCTTCAAAGATGATCCTGTTGGCACGCACGACACCGCTGGAGGAAGTCCAAAAATCGAGCGAGGGGTTGTCACTTTTCTGCATTGACCTCGACCGCAACCAACCGGGTCTGGATATGCGCAAGATTAAGAAGATGGGCGGCCGTGCGGTGGACGCCAACGAAGTTTTCTTCGACAACTACAAGATTCCTACCGACACTCTGATCGGCCAGGAGAGTCAGGGGTTCAAGATTATTCTGCATGGCATGAATGCGGAGCGCTGTCTCCTCGCGGGTGAGGCGCTGGGTCTTGGTTATGCCGCTCTCGAGAAAGCCGCTCAATATGCCAAAGAGCGAGTGGTCTTTGGCCGACCGATTGGGCAAAACCAAGGTGTTTCCCACCCACTTGCAGATGCGTACATGAAACTCGAGGCCGCGAAACACGCTACGTACCATGCCACTCGTCTGTATGATGCCAACGACGGCTCTGTGCCATTTCACGCAATTGGCGTGGCCTGCAACAGTGCCAAGTATCTCGCTGCCGAGGCCGCGTTCACGGCTTGTGAGCGTGCCGTACTGGCTCATGGAGGCATGGGCTACGCTGTGGAATACGATGTGGAGCGGTATTTGCGTGAATGCCTTGTTCCTCGCATTGCTCCCGTGAGCCGCGAAATGATCTTGAACTACGTTAGTGAGAAGGTTCTCGACTTGCCCCGAAGCTACTAGAGCGGTGGATGCATTCCGTGGTGACCAGGATAGTTTTAGGAAAACTCGACGCTTGTACAATAACCGCAAACCCATCGGTGGTTAGATCATCAGCCAGCGCAATCCGCTTTGGTTCTAGCGAAGTTTTCTTGAAAACCAAGATTATACATTTCGGAGATGGAGTGGTTACTTCGTCGCTACGACAGGAATAGAACTCAGGTTGAACATGAATTTCCATATGGCAATTGGATTTCGACGGGGAAAATAATGCTTTGCGAAAGAACTAAGGTGGCTTCAAGATGGCTGACGGACAAACTTCGGTGGATCCATTGAACGTGGAATATATATTCTTGCTAACGGAGATTCGGAACTTCTCCCATACCACTGTCTGCCTTGAGGAACCACATCCCCCGTGCGTATATCGTAGAAGCCCGACCTAAGAAACGATGTTGTGTCCACTATTGAGAGAGCTCTTCCGGATTCTAAATCGACGATTCTGGCCATGTCGGCTGGTGAAAGACGAAGGTTTACAGCCAGACAATGCTGTGTTGGGGTAATGTGGGTAGAAGATTGACCGTATGAGCGAATCGTTATCTCATCATGAGCCAATCAGTATCCACTCTTCCCCCGAGAAGCCAAAACGAACAATGTTCGAGGTCTGGAATGCTGGGGATTCAAGCGTGGCGTATTTCAGTGCAACAATAACCGTTTTCGGCCTGTTTTTCGGACTAAATGATTGCATTTTTAGTGCACAATTGAACGGGAATGAAATTGCCTCGGAATCATTATGACGGGTGAAGACTATCCGGTCGATGCCATCGCCGTTCTCGAACAATAACCTAATCCCAGCCTGGTCTCTGAAACGTTGCCGCCTGATGGTTCAGCCACACCGGCCGTTCGTATGGCCCACGCACTTTGAAATACCAATCCGAGCCGTGCGCGGCCCCGAAAGCGTGGCGATGCAAAGTTTGTGGTATTAAATACGGTAACTGTGACGGAATCCGAATTACTGGCCCAGAATAATAACCACCGTGTCTGTTAATATCGCCCTCGAATTATGAGAACATTCCTGTGGAGAAACAATGTGAGGGCTGTCAAAATTAACCATGTGTGGGCATACTCTCGATCGTAGTCCGACGTCAATGGCTTTTGAATACCGAGTCGTAATCTCTGCAGACCTGAGAGCCATGGGGAAGGAATTTTCCGAACCTTCCCGTCACATTTTCGAATGCAAACAATGGGGTTATCTCCACAACAAGGGATCCAAGAACAGTGTCTTACATGCCGCAAAAAGCTTTCGTGCCTGCATGTGATGCTGCTAACCTGACGCCTTACAGGCGAAGGCGCATACGCCAATGCCCCAATTTGAGAGCTAGAACTGCTGCTGGTAGCTTGCGAATCCCTCCAGGGTCCTTGGAGAAGCCCCATCGCCTCCGTGTCTCAGGTACCTGAGACCCGTTACGGTGCCTGTGCCTGTGCCTGGCGGAACCGCCGGGTTCCGCCAGGTACCTTCAGCCACCGATGATTGCGCGTCATAGAATCCCTGATTGGCCTATGGCATGCTAAGCATTCTACTACGGCAGTAGGGCAAGCTTGGCCAGCCATTGGGAACGCCGCGCCCGTGCCTGTGCAACGTCATACGGAATTGGACGTTGGTGTGACTCGACCCGCCAACGCTGATCAGGATCGGCCCAATCATCGGCCGAAAGGATCCGTCAGTGTTGCCACGATTGGCGTGACTTCGATTTGCACAGTGAACGGGGATCTATTCTTAGCTGGGGAATCACAGGCGTACCATCGAAAGTTGATGTAGTTTTGCAGAACGTTTGCTTATATATAGACGACCGCCAGGCACCGAGGTCCATGCCTGAGTCATCTACCCCTCCATTTATACCCACACTCTTGTGCTTCTACGACATATTACTGCAGTAATCAGATTGCACGAGCTCTTTGTTCAATAATTACTCTCCAATCTTCTCAAATATTTCACATAATGGCATCTTCAAGTACTTCCAGTGCGCGCACTGGGTCCATCCAGTCACATGATAGCCCCAAGGACGTGCTGCGAAGCAAGGCCGACCCTAACGCAGCCCTATATGAAGCTCAGCCCAGTAAGTGCACTGTACTGCACCTATCTGTCTATACATGATCATGTCTACTTACACTCAATCTTGCAGTGGCTATCAACGCCGAGCCAGGAGCTCGAGACACCTTTTCTCTTCGGAGTATGCAGCACAAGGATCGTGAGGGAAAGGTTATTAGTACGTTACAACCAAATAGGGGAATGTGATTTATGGGCGTGGACTACTTGCTGACGTGCTCTCAGCCGACCCTGACCTCTCCAACCCCACGCGAAACCGCCTCGAGCGACCGCTGGATACGATTCGAGGCTTCGAAGCGGCCATTGAATCTCATCGCAAGCACAATCGAATGTGAAATGGCTCGAAAGAATAACGGAAAGATCTAGACCGAGATCGAAACGAACGGATGTTAATGATAATAATGCTTTCTTGTTGACAAAGGACCCGGAATGTATGAGTATCGTCTTGTTGTGATTATGTAGAGCTCCTCGGGATTTATGCAAATGAACACATCTTTTTTTCTACCCTCTACACACTTCTTTCTCCATGGTTGTAGCTCCGGTAGGCACAAGAACCTCCGATGGATGGTCAGGCGATTGGATTGCTGGCAAGGACGACGTGAATCATGTATTCAACTTAATCTTCAGACAGCGCCACATCGAACCCACCGATGCGAGATTCCCCAGATCCTCAGATCCTCGAGGCTTGGCACTCTCACCGTTCTCGGCATTGGTCACCCTATTTGATCCAACACGCTAGTCATTCTTATTGTGGGTATACTAGGACTATGCATTGGAGGATACCACCTCTCAATGCCTGATCACTTCAAATCTCATCAATAAAGTAGCGAAGCAACTCATGCCATGGAATTGGAAGAGATATTAGAAGAGAATCTATTGTGTTCTCTCAGTATCGTTGTGTGCTATTTGATTGATCTTTGCCGCTCCCGAGATAATATCGCCGAGCCTGCAAAGATATTTAGTCTTTCGACCCACCCCAGTGTTCTTTACCCACCACAAACCCTGATCAAGGAAATTAGCGGATGACGCCCGAGGCAGTCTGGTTAGATCCAAGTGATAAATTTAGATCGTCATGTCGGTCTTTGTATGGAGGGCAGAGCATAATAGGTGTACAATGTCGGGGAAAAAAATTCAGGCGCGGTGGTGAGGAGGACACGCACTGTCGACGCCATCCGAAGAAAAGGCCCCACCCACCGCGTCAGCCTGTGAATATGTTCGCATTTCACCATCAACTGCTCCAGAGAACACACAGTGTGGGAATAATAATCAGAAAGCTATTCGTGACTTGTTGGAGATATCAATGACAATGTCTCGGATGCGTTCGTGGCCGGCTATTCATCGGCATCTCCACGTTTGGGGGCTTTGCTATCACGACGCCTCACGACCACCTTCTCAAGGTCGAGTAAACTTCCGCGCGGCGCACTAACGAGTGTTAGTGTGCAGAAGCTAAGATACTTTAAGTCGGTGGGACCTTCACATTGGCTCTTCTCATTCGTTCGGCGTTAGTGTACCCATCCGCTTCATTGCCCCCCAGCCCTAATAATAATTGTGGTTGACGCGGTCCGTCTCCTCCTTGGAACAGTTGGCAGCTGGGCGCCAGTTAGTAGTCGCCCACTGTTTGATGAGGCTTTCCTCGGGCGGTACACTTCGAATCTGAGGGTCATTAGCTCGGTGGATGCCAGTACGCGTCCCATTCGAGTGCTCAGGGGCAGATGGCAAATCAGGGTGGCCGAAACGAGGATGGTAGGGTATTAATGGCCACAGGAGGTGAAGCCACCATGGATACTTCTTCGTCGGAGGGCATTTAGACATTCACATTCACTCATTCACACGCTCTCTTCGCATCCTCAAGTCTTTCTTTATTTCATTTTTGCGCTTGACCGACCCGAAGGAGGCCGTCCTCCCGTTTCACTCGCTATAACTACATTTCGCGGCAGCTATTGTATCCGCTAGAATCTTTCTCACCATGAAGTTGTCTCTGCTGTCGCTGGCGACGCTGGTCACGGCCGCCGTGGCGGATTTGGACCCTATTGTGATAAAGGTCCGGCATTTTCGAATCCTCTGGGGAGGTGTATAGATGCTAACAATGGGTTTTTGATATCAGGGTTCCAAGTTCTTCTATTCCAGCAACAACACCCAATTGTATGTCAACCGGCATTTTGCTGCTGCTCATCCCGACGATATCCATGCTAACAATCGAACAGCTACCTCCGTGGTGTCGCCTATCAACGTATGTTTATTATGATCGTTGCCAGTCACGATGCGGATCATGGGATACTAACCTCTCCATCCATCCATCAGAGGATACCAGCGATAGCAGCAGCTACAAGGATCCCCTGGCCGATGCCACCGCCTGCAAGCGTGATATTCCCATTCTCAAGGAGCTGCGCACCAACGTCATTCGGACCTACTCTATCAACGCCAGTGCCGACCACTCCGAATGTATGAAGCTGCTGTCCGAGGCAGGCATCTACCTGATCTCCGATCTGTCGGACCCTACGCAGTCTATTGACCGTAGCGACCCTAACTGGCTCACCGGCGTGTACTCTCGCTACACCAGCGTTATCGACGAGCTCTCGCAATACAACAACACGATCGGCTTCTTCGCCGGTAATGAGGTCGCTAACACCGTTGCTACTACCGACTCGGCCGCCTTTGTTAAGGCTGCCGTTCGCGACATGAAGAAGTACATCAAGGAGAAGGGATACCGGTCTATGGGTGTTGGATACGCCACTGCCGATGTCTCCGCCATCCGCGTGGATCTGGCTAACTACTTTGACTGCTCGAGTGACGATGAGTCCGTGGACTTCTGGGGCTACAATATCTACTCCTGGTGCGGTAACTCGACCTATTCCGAGTCTGGATACAAGGACCGTACCGAGCAGTTCCGTAACTACACCGTCCCCGTCTTCTTCGCCGAATACGGCTGTAACGAAGTCACTCCTCGCACCTTTACCGAGGTCAAGGCTCTATACGGTGATACTATGGCGGAGGTTTGGTCTGGTGGTATTGTCTATATGTATTTCCAGGAGACTAACAACTACGGTGAGTGATTGTCAAACCCGTGGATCGTAAGTTGATTCCGTCAATGCTCATCTTTATCCCCCAGGTCTGGTTTCCGTCGTCGACACCACCAGCGTGAGCACCATGGCCGACTTCAAGTACTACTCTAGCGAGATCGCCAGCGTCGACCCCACCGGTACCAACAAGGCCTCCTACACCCCGACCAACACCGCTCTGCAAAGCTGCCCGACGGTAGGAAGTGGCTGGCAAGCCAAGTCCTCGCCCTTGCCCCCGACTCCGGACGCCAACCTCTGCGACTGCATCTACGAACAGTCCGCCTGTGTCGCTTCCAGCAGCCTCTCCAACACTAAGCTGGCTAAATTGCTGAGCACCGTTTGCGGCTACACTGACTGCAGCGGTGTCAGCGCCAACGGGACCACCGGCGAGTACGGTGCGTACAGCATGTGCGAGATCAAGTACAAGCTCGCCTTCGCCCTGAACAAGTACTACGATGAGCAGGACAAGGACTCCAGTGCCTGTGACTTCTCCAGCTCTGCCTCGACCAAGGCCACGACTGCCGCGACCGGTACTTGCTCCGCTCAGATCAAGGAAGCCGGCACTGCTGGAACTGGTACCGTGACCACCGAGGCCACCGCGACCGCCGACTCGTCTTCGAGCTCGTCTACTTCCTCCAGCGCCGGTGCTCCTGTCAACCTCCATTCCAGCGTCACCGTTGGTTACTTCCAGATCGGCGCCTACGTGGCCACTGCCTTCCTGACCGGTCTGGGTATGATCCTTCTGTAAATACCGGATTGGAAAGCATTGCGAGAATGGCGTGAACTTTTTATACACTTCGCGTCATGTTTTATTTGCTATAATGTTTCCGCATGAGAGTGGGATCCGGATCGTATAGACTGTCACTCCGGGTTATCGAATACTGACGATGCAGCTCCTTTCTCCTCTCATAGCAAATGAAACTTGTCTTCTCTTCTACATGGGATCTTCTATTTAAGGCATATGGATACCAAGCCCGGCGAGGGTGATCACTATGTAGATATCTGAATTCATTTAAGGTATATATATGTAAGACATCATCATTCACTCCCCAACAATGGCCCTCTTCGTTAAAATTGCAGAAGTCTCGTCCAGTCGACTCCAATCGTGTGCATCCACACAAGCCTGCCGACTCAGTCGGACGGCCCGACTGGTCCGAGCCCTCATCTCCGTCTCAAATTCATCAATCGCCATCGAGGGCGTTGCCGAGCCCGCATAGATCTTTACAATGGCCTCCATCAGTCGATATGCGTCGAGCAGGCCATGATTGGCTGCTTCGCCCCGGTCTATCGTCAAATGGTTAGTTTCGTTTCACAACATCGTCTACACTCCAGGACTTACACATTGTCATTGCATGAGCAGCATCACCAGCCAACGTGACCCGACCAGCATGGTTATCCCACGACAGACACTCCCAGTCTGCCAACTTAATCTCCGTGACGGGCGTCCCATCCGGAATGCGGTCCACCGCCTCTCGCAGGAATGGCACAAATCCTTGCGCACGGCGTTTCATATTCGTTAGGCGAGCCTCGTCTGTCACGGCGACCTCATCTGCCGGCCCCGTCACGGGCCAGGACATGCATATTTGAGCGCGATATCGTTCTGCCGCCGTTCCTGCCGTTCCATTAACTTGGGGAGTCTCCAGCATGGAGAACCAGAAGAAGGTGCCCGAGGGTGGATGGCATCCCTGGAACAGCAACGGATCCATATCCCTCAAGGGCTTGATTTGGTCGGGTGTCAAGTCCACGGCGACACCGGTAAAGTTGATGTTCAGAGGGGCGTTGTTGAACGAATCCGGGCGTAAAACTTGTCGCACCATCGAGCGACTTCCTTCAACTCCGACGGCGATACGACCCGTCACCAAGGTTTTGTCGTCAAAGACCAGTTGGACCCGGCTGGAGTTCTCTGGCAGGTTTACACCGACCACTCGTTGGCCCCAGTGAACGTGTTCCTCGATCCCCTGCAGCAAGGCCCGGCGGGTCTTCTCACGATTCACCCGCCATCGAGTACTGGGAGGAATCTTATATTTGGGTTCCCCCGTTTCGAGATTGATGAAGAGGAAATTGCCGTTATCATTGCGCGCCACGTCCGGGTCGACTTGGACGGCTTGGATGCGCGCGAGTGTCTCTTCGGGCAGCATCTTCCACATATACTCCAGCGCCCAGTGCAGAGTGATGGCCCATCCTTGGCCACGGGCATCGGGTGTCGCATCGCGTTCGTAAATCTCAAAGGGAACGTTCTTCTGTTTTAGGGCTTGGCCCAGGGTCAGGCCGACAATGCCAGCACCGACGATAAGCACGGGATCCATGGCGATGGCAATGGCGTTGATGAGCAGCACATTGTTCGTCCAGAGGGAGTCCCTTTTGTGTTAATAGGGCCACTCCGAAGTTGATGGAGAAAGAGAGGGTTTGGCGTCTTGGGAAGAGAAACCGGAAAAGAACACGCCCGTCGCATAGATAAGCCCATAAGCGCCCCCGCTCAGTAATCATTTCTCCCACGGCGATTCCCATGGGAATGACTACCGCAGGAACTACCGCCGACAGCCGACGATTGGTTATCGGAGTGGCCCTGCTCGACTCTCTCAAACTCCGAAAGCTTTCCCCCGCTTTGATCTTCCGAGCCTCAACTCGCGCGCTTTCCGACCGTCGGCTACGCGCCCCAACGCGACGGCCGACAATGGGACGGTCATCGAGCAGGAAAGGGTCTGTCCGATATAAGATTAATATGGCAGACTTGTCTTTATTCCTTTCCACCCCGATCCTCCTCCATTGACCATCGACCATTGACACACTGCAATGGCCTCCCACGAAGCCCTCAACCCCATTCACCCCGCGGTGCTTCCCCACCTCGACCCCGTGTTCGTGCAACTCTACAACGAACACGTCGCCAACACGCCCGCGGGTCCCATTGACCTCTCCGTGTTGCGCACGAAATACTCGGTGTTATACTCGTACGGGACGGGACCAGCGCCAGACTGTGCGCGCGTGTACGACAGTGAAGTGACCGGCCACAATGGTGACCTGATTCCCGTTCGCGTGTACGAGCCTGCCACGCCAGGCCCGTGGCCGGTGCATGTGGACTATCACGGCGGAGGTAAGAGAAGCGAGAAGCATGAATCATGGAGTGAAGAGCTTGTTGGACCGAGAGATATTAATTGCTCGACTCGGCATCATAGGCTGGGGCTTGGGTGACCTCGATACCGAAGCCCACATCTGCAAGCACCTCTGCGTGAAAGCCAACGTGTGCGTCATCGACGTCGCCTATCGACTGGTCCCCGAACACGCATTCCCCATCGGTATCCAAGACTCCTTCGCGGCCCTGCAATACATCTCCACCCACGGCGCCGACAAATTCAACATCGATCCCACGCGGGTCTCCCTGGGCGGCGTGTCCGCCGGTGGCAACATCGCTCTGATCTGCGCGCATCTCGCCCGCGACGCCCACATCCCCCTTAAGCTAGTCGCAGTCGGCACGCCCACGATCGACGATATCTCCCAATACAAGTCGGCCGCGGATGCCCCGTGGCCATCCATGCAGTCCATGGAACACGCGCCCACCTTGAACTGGGCACGATTGAAGTGGTTTGACAATCTCAAGTGGCAGAGCATCGCCTCCGAGGGACTGACCCGAGACGCACAATTGGCCGCCGTCAAGTGGTATGCCAATGCTCTTCAGGCTCCAGATTTCACTCGCCTGCCCAAGACGGTGATCTACACGGCAGGCTGTGACCCGTTGCGGGACGAGGGCGAGGCTTATGCACGGAAGTTGATCGAGGGCGGGAACGAGGTGATCCAGAAACGATTCGCGGGGGTTCCACATCCGTTTATGCACATGGATAAAGGTGAGTCCTATTCGGAAGTACGAGGTCGTCAGTTCTAACACGTTGTCGCAGATTTATGGCAAGCAAAAGAGTTCATCGACATGACGGCGGATCACATTAAGGCTACCTTGCACCAATAGGACGGATAGAGGATGTCTGGAAGAAATCTGAAATAGACTTTGATAACCATCTTGCCATATTTGAAATGGGACTTGCATTTTCTTGATCATCACTCCACATCAGTAGAACGCGCCATCTCCCTCGTCGAATCCAAGTCCCGTTGCAGACTGGCAATCTTGCTTTCCAATGCCACAACACAGTCAGTCCCCAGAGGCAAGCGCAGGTACTCGTGTCCCTCCGCCACGGCCTTCAAGATCACTCTCGCAGCTTTCTGCGGATCCCCTTTCACAAGATTCAGAAATTCCTCCCCGTTGCTCATCCCACGAACCATCTGCTCGACAATGGTACCTCGATACCCGGGGCTGAAGCCTCCAACACTCTGGTACGCAGCAGGTGTGATGATACGATTAACAAAGGGCGTGCGAAAAGCACCCGGTTCCACGATTAACACTCGAATATCGAAACTTTTGACTTCGTGGGAAAGGGACTCGTGAATCGCTTCGATCGCGAACTTGCTTGCGGAATACGTACCACGACCTGGTCTTGCGATAAATCTGGTGGCATTGTTAGAAAAGTCTAGTCTGGAGAGAAGAGCCCTGTAACTAGTAGACGGAGACACACCCAGCGCCACTGCTTATTAGAACAACGGTTCCCGATTGCTTCGCACGCATCCTTGGAAGGAATGCTCGAATGATGCGAAGGGGACCGTAGAAATTCACTTCCATTTGTGAGCGCACCTCGTCCTCACTGTTGTAATTCAGTCTTTGCACCGGTTTCGGTACATTTGAGTATCCAGGAAATCATACCTCGTATCTTCCACGCCCCCAATAAACGCATAGCCGGCGTTGTTCACCAACACGCCAACATCGTGATCTTTTGATATTTTCGATGCTTGGTCGTATGCATCGACACTGCCAGGGTCCAAGGCATACCATAAACCACCATTGTTTTCAAACTCGGGGAAAGTCTGTTGTGCCTTTTGTATTTCTCGGGTGGTGCCGAGCACGGTGTGTCCTTTTTCCAACGCCTCCATCGCAAGCGATTTACCGAGCCCGGACGAGGCGCCGGTGATGAGCCATACTTGTTTGTGAATGTTGGACATTATCGATCTGCTGGTGCACAGAAAAACAGTGATCTGTATTTTCCATCACTGTCTTTCCCATTGGAATAGCTCCATCAGCTCTCTATATAGGCTGTCAGAAACTGGTCAGCGCCTTCGGACTTAAGTCACCCTAAACACGTTATGACCGATGCAGACGGCACTTTATCCTATCACGTTACAATGCTTCAGAGAGACGGGCCTAACATTGCCATTTTTATGCTACCTTACTTGATGTACGTCATTCAACGTGCTTCCATTGCATACAACTGCTTTGCCAACGGCCCAATCGACTCTTCCAATCCCCGAAACTTAACCCCGAGTACCCTCTGCGCCTTGGAAGAATCGCAGGAATAATGAGTCTCGGCAATGCGCTTCCCAGGCTCGCCCAGAGGTACTCTATGTCTTTCTTGGGATCGTTCTCGAATGATATCTGCGATCTCCTGTGTATCGTACGACCCCTGCGTCACCAAGAAACGCTCGTGCTTCGTCTCGGGGAATGTAAGCGCTCTGAAACTCGTTTCGGCGAGATCTTCAACGTCGATCCAGACTGTACCCCGTTTTCAGATCAGCAAATGATCAGGTTTCAATGTTCAGAGGGAAACGTACCGGGCGCCTTTGTCGGGGGAATCTCGCCGTTTCGTCCAGCATTCAACACACCCCAGACAATCTGGTTGCTCGCATTGAGCTGGGACAGCGAAGAGATCGGATGAATCATCTTGCCAAATACCATTCCGGGGCACAAAGTCACCAATTGATACTGAACCTGATGGTCTCGCACATAATCCCACGCCGTACGTTCGGCAACGACCTTTGACGCGCGATACGCAATCGGCTGGCAAACATTAGCCCGTACTATAAAAATGGGACGAGACTAACTCGTCAAAACTCACCACGGCGGATGCATTCACACCATCCTCATAGGTCAACGGCGCCCAATCTTCTTCAGTGTAAACGCGACCGGGCTGTAAACCGAGGCTGGCATCGTACACACTAGCAAAGCTCGACATGATGACCACTCGTCGGACGGATGGATGCTGCTGAGCAGCCTCACAGACAACCCGTGTCCCCTTTACGGCGGGAATCATGAGCTTTTCTTCAAACTCTCCGGGCTTCGCCTCATAGTTGAAAGCCGACGCCAGATGCAATACGGCCTGACAACCTTTCAGCGTAGGGCTCAAGGCCTGGAGATCGGTCGGGTCCACGACAACCACGAATTCCAGACTATTAAGGTTCTGGACACCGGCATCCTCCAATGCTTTGCGGGTTGCTTCTGCTTTCTCGGTTGAGCGCACCGTAGCTCGGACGTTATGGCCGGAACGCAAGAGAGTCGCGATGCAGTGGGCGGCGATGAAGCCGTTACCACCGGTTACGAGAACGAGGGAGCCGGATTCAATGGGCGCCATTGTGAGATAGTTGGGAACTGATGTGCACAAGTTTGAAAAATGAGGTCGACTTGGATATCTTATATCGTAGGTACCTGGGCGGGTCGGAGGGTCGGCTGGCCACCCGCGCGGCCGTCGGATAGATAGAATCACGGCATTGAGATGTGAACACTTGACACTTCTCTCGCGGAGTTCAAGGTGGTTCTATTATGGCTAGAATACAGAGGCAAACGTGGATGCACTAATTTTATGTGAGATTCAATTTCAAGTTGTCATTGTACCGATTACAAATTCCAATTCATGTTCATAGCGACCACACGAAGCTCAACAATTAATACACGTAGCGGAAGTTTTCATCATCATGAACATCCTGCACACCATCTTTATTGGCCATTTTTGCCTCCATGGAACTACGTGCTGGCACACCAAGCTGATCAGCCCGCTTATTGCGTCTCCCATACATAAGTCGCAGAGAAGTGGAGATCACGATCGCCGCCGCGTTCACTGCCACTAGAGTAATTTTGGCAGGGATATATCTGGTCATCAAAGTCAGGAAGTGTTTACTGGGAAGATTTCGTGAACAGCTTACCGAGGAGCATCTTTCGCTTGGAACGTCTGTGGGCCAATGATATTTGCAATACTGAATCCGGCGGAAATAATTGCAGCACCGGAAACCTGCCAGAGTCAGTGGAATCCATGAATCATGATAAGCCAGACAGTACTCACTTTCATCGTGTAGCCCTTGAAGTTTGCACCAGTCCACGCATAGATCAATGCTAAGGGAGCGACCGTCTAGGGGAGTCAGTGAGCTTGTCCACACACAACCTAGGCTTCGTACTCACCGTGTTGACTAAATAAATCCCTGCCAAACAACCTCCCTTGTTTGACGCCGGAAGAAAAGACATGAGGCACGACCCAGCAAGAGTCGGAAGCAAGAGAAGATCGATCGCCAGCCATCGCGAAAATCCTTTGGCAATTGCATAGGTGGAGACCATGGTCGACACAATACTGACAATACCCGAGGGCATATTCAGCAAGGCGCTTTGCTTGGAATCATAGCCGAATCCTTTGATAAGAATCGACGAGAAGGTGGTAATGACACCACTGGGAATGGTAATCAGAATCGTGAGCAAGACCAATAGCCATGTCTGCAAGTCGGCCAAGGCTTCGAGGACGGATCGCCAGCGGAACACCTTTTCACCCACACCAGCTTGATCCTGGTTCAATCTTTCAAACACTCGCTGTTTCTCAGCCTCGGTGAGGAATTTGGCCTTTGTGGGGGTTTCCGGAAGAACGAAAAGAACGAGAAATGAGACTGCGATGTTGACTGCACCGATCACAACGAACATGATGCGCCATCCGCCGAATGAGAGACTCGCTGGCGCGTGCTGAGCAGCGAACGAGATAAGACCTCCGATGATCTGCCCAACGCCGAGTCCGCAGTACCAGAAGCCATAGCGCGGGGTCGATTCCGCTCTCGTGTACCACATGGAAGTGTACATTGTGAGTGAAGGAGCTACCAGATAGTCAGTGGGATTTGAACACCTCCAGTCAGATATTGGTGTTCATGTAACTCACCGATGACGGCTTCCATGAGACCCAGGAGAATGCGAAGTGCCAACATGCCAGAAAAGTTCTGGACCGCCGATGAACAGCACAGAATGATGCCCCAGCAGAACACATTGGCCCCGAGAACCTTGGACACGGGAAATCTCTGCAACAGAGCACCCTGGGGAATTTCTGCCACGGCGTAGGCGATGAAAAAGGCCGTTGCTAGCCAGGAAAAGTCATTGCCGTGCATGCCCAAGTCGGTCTGGAGGCCCATCACGTTTGCATACTAAAAGTTGGCAATTTGGATTAGCAAGTAATCTCAACGACACCTCCCTCCTCGAAATGGTCTGGTGTGCACTTACATTGATGGAGATCTTGTCAATCATCTGCAGAAAATAGGTCAAGAACATGATCGGGAGGATTTTCCGATCGATCTTGCGAAGGAGTCTCTTGTCATCGTCGGTCACACTACCCAAGGCACAGTCCTCGGGCAACTCGAGTTTAGCTGCGAACTCATGATCTTTTTTCTCCATCATGGCTAAGTTGGGAGTCAATTGAGATAAAGTCTTTGGTCAGACAAGCACATCATAACATGGCGTTGGCCAATGCTACTTTTAAGAAGGAAACTGGGGCGCACTTGATACCAGCCTGATCGAGATAGTGACCAGCACACGTCGCACAAAGCTTCCTTACCCCAGACACTCAAGTCAGATTAGCATGAACTCAGCATGGAGAGAGGCGACGACCATTGGGGCAAAGATCGGCAGCGGAGAAGCCAAGCGACGCAGCCGTCGGATAGATAAACTCGCGTGGCGCCAACTAGCGTGGTGTTCCCCCTCTTTGGTTCCAGCCCGTCGCCTACCGAGCGATAGGAGCGGCCGTCGCGGAGAAACGAGGATGAAGAACGGCACCATCCGACGCAGAATGCGATGGAGGGAGGAATAACCTCATCACGATCGAGTATATATTCTAGATAGATCAAGAGACGTTAGAACTCATCACCTCCATACCCATAATCAATTCCTCCACTGTAAACATGCCTTCACGGACGGATTCGCCACTCCAGGTTGCTATTATTGGCGCTGGCCTCGGTGGCCTGGCCGCTGCCGTATCTTTGCGTCGCCAGGGTCATACCGTCACCGTCTATGAGCGATATGATTTTGCGGGCGAAGTAGGCGCATCGTTGAGTGCTGCCTCCAATGGGTCGCGCTTCCTAGAGGAATGGGGAGTCGACGTGAAAGCAGCCAAACCGGTAAGCCAACAAAGCGGAAAGAACAAATCCAGAGTCAAGGAGAAACATAATGACCTGACGGGAAATAACAGGTCATTCTCAAGCAACTGATCATGCACAACTGGTCAGATGGCGAAGTCCAAAGCACGTACCCGCTTGGTGACTACAAGTCCAAGTTCGGCACGGTATGCGACAGAGCATTACTAATTGACTAGGTGGAATGCCAAAACTGACAATGACAGGACTATAACAATTTCCATCGCATCGACATTCACAAGCAGCTTCTCAAATCTGCCTTTGAAGCGCCCGGCGAGGGACCTACCTGTGTCTTGAAGGTGAACCACAAGGCCACCGAAGTCAACCATGAACAAGGAACTATCCGATTCGAAAATGGAACCGAGACCACGGCGGATTTGATCGTCGCCGCCGATGGAATTCGAGTAAGTTGACCGATTTCCATTAGAATCAATCAACAAAGCTAACCGTAGCACCTGCAGTCCCTCACGCGAGAACTAATTGGCATAACTCCCGAGTTCGAAATGTCCACTTCATGCTGTTACAGATGCATCATCGGGGCTGACAAACTTCGCTCCCTCGGCCTTGACGACTACATCTCCAATGAAGCCATCGAGTACTGGGGTGGCTTTGGAATCAACAAGATCGTCATGTCCCCATGCAGTAACGGCGAGGTTGTCAGCTGCTACTGTTTCTACCCAGCGTCAGTCAACAACCTTCGCGAGGATGGATGGAACATTGGCGCTTCGCCACAACAACTGGTGGACACATTCCCAGATCTGGATCCCCGGATGAAGACATTAATGCTGAATGCCGAGGATATTAAGATGTGGCGCCGTACGTTCAACCGCTGGGATACCTCCTAGGATAATACTTACCTGGTATTTAGTATATCGACACCAACCGTACCCATACTGGGTGAAGGGCAAGGTATGCCTACTTGGAGATGCCGGTAGGTCCACAGAAACGCAACCCATATGCAAGCATGAAACGAGCCACTGACTGATCGACATAGCCCATCCTATGATGCCCGACCAGTCACAAGGATCCTGCATGGCCTTTGAAGATGCCGGTGCGCTGGGTATTGTTTTCAACAAGACCTTCCGGGAGAACTACAGTGTATCGGAAGGCCTGTCACTATATGAAAAACTGCGCAAGCCCCGTGCGACACGAGTCCAAGAAGCCAGCTTCCGGGCCCGGGAGAATCTGAATGAGCGGATTGGATGGAGCTCATCGGGAGACCGACCGGGGAAGTTGACCATTGAGGAGGTTTGCGGGTATAACATGAGGGATCACCTGGCCGAGTTGATGGCAGGAAACTAGAAGAAACATGAAACTATCTCGTTGAAATTTTGGAAGCAATGAATTATGTTGGCATCAATCAAATCGCTTATCATTAATTCGGGATCGTAATACATGGCCACCTCTAAGCTATACAAACACGACACCGGGGAACTTGCTATAACGCACTGCGGCCCAATTGAGATCTGTTGCACAGGACGCACCATTCCACACGGTCTCTAGTAATTGTCGCGCATACTGAATATGCCCAAACCCGAGCGTATTCTCCATCACCATAAGACGTTCTTTGACCATCATTCGTCGCTCCATACTGATGCTACTGGATCCCGCGATAACTAACGGGAAGAGCAGACACCCTTCGACCCGACTGGCGTACGGGATCTGCTGAACGGAATCGAGGATAGTCGTAATCGACCGCTCCACGAATGGATGAAGCGGGTCATATCCCTCCACAACCTGATGTAGCCGCAATCGGATCGCCCATTCAAACGCGGTTGTAGCGCGCTCCGTCTCAGCCCCCAGCTCGGTCATCTGGTCATGATCGGTACGCCACTCATCGATCCGATTCTCCAGGTGTGAAGCCGCCGTTCGGAAGCCAATCTCGGATAGCTCATCGACACGCTTACTTCGATGATTGGCCAGTAAATTGACCATTCCCAAAAAGTCGAATAGCGCGGGCGAGATACCGTAGATGGCATCCGTTGATTGGCTGCGTTCCAGCTCGGGCACGCTGTTCCGGCGAAGCGAGGTAGTCAGTTCGGCCATGCTGTCACTATTGTGCAAAAGAGGCGCTTTGCACCGAGAGATCGTAGACATGGCGTCGAGATAGTGGAAGAGGCTGATGCAAAAGGTCCACTCGTCCGTGGAGGCAAGGTTTTGAAATGCGGGGGATTTGAGAATGGCGCTCGCTGCTTTGAGGTGCCATTTCCACACCTTAGACGTGCCGTCAAACAGCTCCGTCAGACATAGCAGTAGAACTGTTGCACAGGCTTCGAATATACATTGACGATCGGATCGGCCCAGTAGGGTGTTGACCTGGGCCAATGCTGCTGGATGATTAGTTTAGAAAACATCATGCTATCTTGCCTTGGGGTCACCAACCTTGTCCTTGCCGTTTCAACGCACAGCCCCAGATACTGGGGTACACTCTTCTCCAATGGCATCCACTCAAACTCAGAATCACACTCGTCACGGCATCAGACGCGGCCGCCAGCGGCAAAAGCGTCACAAGAAACGGGTTCCGATCGGGATCGTGCGAGCGCGACAAGGCTCGCGCCACGACGTGGATATAGTGATTGAAGAGCGACCGGTCCTCTTCTCCACGGAGATACGGATTGATGGAGATCGGGGACCGTTCAAGGGGCAGTAGAACGGCATTCTGTTTGGGTAATGGATGTGGGAACAGCGTGGCAATAAACTCCTCGTCATCCTCCGGGGTGATTGAGCTCAAGGCCAGCGGATCCCCGTCGGAAACGTGAATCGGATCTGAGGGAGGCGAGGCCGTCGCATGGGAGTCTGGGGAAGATGACGAGGGCGAATCGACTGTCGCAGAGATATTGGGATTGGACCACTGGCACGGGAGATTCAACCGGCGGCAGTCGCTACATCGAGGGCGGTTCTCGTCACATTTCTTCTTTCTACGACCGCGTTTCAGATAAGCATTCGCGGACATGATCTCGAACCGCGCAACTCCACCGGGGGTACGGGGATTTACCTCGTCTTGCAGGAGAGACATCCACCACGGGACCGCGATGCCCGAGGTCGCCGCAGGGCCATTGCGGGCAGAGACGCACCAACCGACTCCTTCTCAGTGGGACTTCGTGGCTGGCACACATGGCCGAGACCTGCGAATCATCCGGCCAAGGATTAGTCTATGATTTCACCAGTTTCAAAGACCCCATGGGGGAGGTGAATAGATCGTACGTTTGCATCGCGAGCAGGGCTGGTCACCGTCGCATCGTTGTTTCTAGTGCCAATAAGTCATTAGCACCATACTGTGGTCAAATGGGGACTCGATCCTCACGATACGAGCGCATCGAGCACAAACTCGACCGGGGGCACTCATGGCTTGTTGCGCCGGAGACATGGCGGCCACGATAGGAGCAGCAACGGCAGTCGCATCAGGAGAGCGGGGGAGAAATCAGTCGCGAAGCGACGGGTCTTTTCTTTCTGGCTCGGGTTCTTCTTATCGGCATTTTCCGATCCGACGGGGCTGTCAGACTGTTGATAAGGTGAAAGTGGAATTGAGTTAGCAGGCGATCCAATTGAAGCCCTGAAAAATCCCCCCAGTGGCGTTCGTCGCCCAAACAGTCTGGCCGCGCCAATCTCGAGTGCGGGGAAGTTGGAAAATAAAAAAAAACCGGCTGACAGCCGACATCCGCGAAACTTCCCCAGATTCTCGGCAATTTCGTAGACGTGAAGGCTGTTTATAGACAGTATACTTGACAGGGATTCTGGTCGGCGCTAGAGCTGTACGAGCCAAATGGTTCAAACCCCGACCGGTCGAATTGATTCATACCCAAGCTAGAAGACCGTTTCCTAGTACTTGCGTGAAATATCCAGCATTTCCAAGAACGCTCCTGGCTAGGGACTAGCTCGGCCAGCTCAATTGGACTTTTTCGACTTGATCCATGTATCCGTGGGAATGCTACATTTCACGACAGTATTCTATAGGGGAATACTGGGATGAAGGAATATTCCAATGGGAGAAGGTATGGGAGAGTCTGATCAATTCAAGAGTCAAGTATGAAGGAACACCAAATTCACTTCTGATCCTTCTTCCAAAACGCAGACCCTAGTACGCTCAATATTGCCAAGCGCGCATGTGCCATTCCAGCAAGTAACTTAAAAAAAACAGCAAGGCAGACTCGATCCCAAAGAGCCATGGCATCACCACCGACAGGTTGGCATCTGCAGGTCGGTGAGGAGTATTGCACCACATGGTCACTTCTTCGAGGGCTCCTCCTGACTGGTGTTGTAGTAGTAGTTGGAGTCATTCGAGTCCGCAGGAGTGTACCAGGCTTCGCCATTGCCAGTGTTGTAGTAAGTACTACCATCCGAGTTGGAGTAGTAGTAGGAACCATCCCTGTTGGCCGTCGGTCAGTATCAAGATGTAAAATTCTTGGAAGGCAGGGAATCGATACTGGTTGGAGTAGTGGTAGGAATTCTGGTTCACGGCATCCGATCCATAGTCCCGAGTGCAGTAGTGATTGCCCTTGAACAGGTCAGCTTTCAAGTCTCACTATCATGATCACCGGCAGTCATACCTGACTGTTGGTGCCCGAGTTCTTGTAGGTGTAGGACGCTCCCTTGTTGTCGGTGGGCATCTTGGATGGTAGGATATCTCGTTGAAGTAGGATGAGGGTGATGGTTGGTGGCTGGGAGATGGAGTGGGTGACAAGAAGGATCGAAGAAGCTGAAGAAGTTGAAGAAGTTACAGACTTAAGAAAAGAATGGAAGCGAGGAAGCTACTGGAAAGTATCGCAGAGGGGAAGTGCCGATGCAAACGGGCAAACGTCAGAGTGAGACGCTCTTTCTATTTTGGAAAAGGAACATGATCCTCGTCTATACAAACACGCTAACAAGCAAACGCCAATCGAGCAGGAGCACCACAAAGAGCAGTCGTCCTAGTCTCCCGCCGGGTATTCAATCACGATGATCTGTTCAAGTTTACCACTCGTTCTTCAGCACCAGACGGTACCGAGCCTTGCCATCATTCATATCCTGGATCGCCTGGTTGGCCTCCTTCATGGGTCGTTCCTCAACCCACGGCTTGACGTTCTTGGCCACGACGAGGTCCAGCATCTCCCGAATCTCATCGGGGCTACCAATTATCGAACCACCAAGCTTGATACCCTTGGCAATCAGAGCGAAAGCCGGAATCTCAAGACCACCGTCCTCGGGAGCGCCCAGCTGGACAAGTGTGCCACGAGTGCGCAGCAGCTGACAGTATCCGGTAATGGGCATCTTCGACGATGAAACGGTGGAGATGATCAGGTCGAGAGACTGAGCGTTGTTCTTCACCCAGTCGGCGTCGTCGTCGGTCGCGATGTATGCGTCGGCGCCCAGCTTCAACGCATCCTCCTTCTTGTTGGCCTTGCGAGAGATGGCGACAACGCGGTCGGCACCCAGGGCCTTGGCGAAGAGAATACCAAAGTGGCCCAGACCACCAACGCCAACGATGCCGACCTTCTTTCCCGGGCCACAGCCGTGCTGGCGCAGGGGAGAATATGTGGTGATACCACCGCAAAGCATGGGCGCGGCCTCGGCAGAGGGGATGGCATCGGGAATCTTGATCACAAAGTGCGACGGGGATCGGTTGTACAGCGAATAACCACCATAGGACTTGCCGCCGTTGGCATAGGTGCCGTTGTATGTTCCGACCATACGGTTGCAGTGTTGCTCAAGGCCGTTGGCGCAAGCTTCACAGTCGCCATCGACGTTCAGGCAAGATCCGCTTTGCGCACCAACACCCACGCGATCTCCAACCTTGATGTTTCCCTCGGCCTTGGAGCCAACTCGAACGGCAACTCCAACCACTTCGTGTCCGACACAGCACGGGTAGAGAGTAGGGCCCTATATTATGCAAGGTGAGTTCTCATGCTTTGAAGCACCTAAATCACGAGCCGGGATCATTTGCACTCACCCATCCACTGCGCAAAGTGTGCATATCAGAGCCACAGATACCGCAGTGCGTCACTCGCATATCGATATCTGTCTCCTCCCAGGGCTTGGGCTCGAACTCCTGCCAAACCATCTTACCCTTGGCAGACTCCGGGTCGAGGCCCATCCAGCCCTCAAACTTGTAATCGGTAGATCCCATGGTGATGTTTGAATGTCTTTTCGATCGACTTCACTTTGAAATATGAAGATGGGTTTTGTTGGGTCGGGTCCATTCATCCTCTTATATAGAGAGTGTGTCACAAGTTTTTTAACGTCATGATCGCCGTCCACTGGGTCATCGAAAATTCTAGCAGGGTTCCATACTCCCACTCTCGGGATCAGTTGTATTTTGTGCATTTTGTCAGCGATCGTGAAGGATCCACCGGGTCCACTGCGTGGAGCGTCATCACGGGTTTAAGCCGATTCTACGTCCGATCCGGGTTAAGCACCAAGTTGTGTTCGGCGGCGGAAGATGACATTTCAACGCTCAACATGGGGATAAGGGTGTTGATAAGGCCCGAGCTAATCCCCAGCAGACCAATCATCTTTGCAGCGGCAAACTTCGCCAATTAAAGTTTTGAGTTCTGACGCAGGTTCTGGCAGAGCTTCGCCCTAACTCCTTTCTGATCGATCCCGTATGACGCAGAGAGCGCCCGAAAACTTGGTTTCGGCCGGGATCCTAAGACAAGCGTGGGCTCATAGTCCACGTTGTAGGATATGAACCATTGGCCCGTCATCATATCTTGCTGGTATTCCCCCGGTCGCCGGCGGGCTTCTCCAGAATGTGTCCGAGTCAGCAATTCGCGTCCATTGGACTTGCGGTCAATGCAATTCTCGGCCGACTATCCGGGCCTGACAATCTAGCCTCGGTCAATGAAATCTTTAATCAATGCTCCCGTACATGCTTTATGGGTAGCTCGAATGTGACCGAAGGCATCCGAAATACTGGTCAGGACAGATCTGGTTCGGCTGACCCCTTCTCCTTGCTCTTGGTCCTCCGTATCTCCACCGGCAAACTCCGCACAGTACCCGAGTCATCCGGCTGTGATGCTATAGAAAGTTTTCAGGTGCATGGATATACACTCCGTCGCCATGTTTTGGCTGTTCTTTGTGTCAAGATCGCATGCTATCTACTCGAGACTGGAAAGTCTAGAGTCTAGCGGGAATCCTATGATTGGGAGAAATATGTCGCGACTGGGCTGCTTATCTAATCTCTCTCGCATTTCAAGATAACTAGAGCACCAGCTTGAATGCCCAGAAAGAGTTGAAATTGATGAACCAAAGGCGAACCCGGGAGATTCAAAAAAGAATCTTTTGTGAGGTGCATTCCAAATTCTCTATGTAAAAATGGAAGTAGCATACCTGGTTGAAATAGCTGGAAAGAAAAACGACATACGACTTGGTGTGCCTTGCTCTGCGGATAAATATACTTTAGATAAAGCTCCCGCAGCTTCGAGCGCATTAGAATGGCTCTAATGGAAAATGCCATCGAGACTTACACTCTAATGGATATAAACATGCTGACGCCTGAGATATATATTTGGAAGAAGGTCAAGGTTCGGCAACCAACAAATATTTGACAGACAGACTGTAAAAACCTATTCTAAAGAGCGTTCAGTAGTCCACTGCGGGGAATAGCATCGTATCGCATGGTTCAAATTGGGTACTATGCAATGGGTGAAAGCGTGGAGTCTGGGGAATCTAGAAAAGCCGAATAGACTTCGGTGTCTATTTGTTCAATCAAGCTCGAGGAGTAGAAATAGAAGTCTGGAACCACCGATCCAACTGATAAGCCTTTGCTTCAATAGTCCTTATTGGGCAGTGAATGATTTGGATCGATCTCTGGTTCATTCAAATTGCAGATCACCGGGCTCTTGAGCTTAACAGACCTAGCGGAGCATAGGAGGCAGCTCGGACTATATGATCCACCATGAACCGTGACAGATTGCAAGGCCAATGATCATCAACAGCCTTCTTCCTGTTCCTGTCGGGTACTCGGCAAATGTGGGAGCTGTCAATACTAAAAAGTGGGGGAAGGGATGATGCCATCAGGGGCCCTGATGGCGATCCGACACGGCAGTACGGAGTATGTATATCCGAACTATACACATAGAGTACGGGTTGGCGATTTACGGTTGCGAATCTTCTGACTCTCTTCATAATCCAATTCCAAACAAGCCAGAATCATCAATACCTTATACCCTATCATATTGAGCGTATCGAGTATGGTTCGAGTTCGCCAAAGCCCTATGTCCCCGATTTCTTAGCAAGCTCCAAGTAAACACCAGCTCGCGTGGAAGTGGACCCGACCGTAATGGCGTGCTTTGCGATCGCGATGAGAACACGAATAACGACCATCACTGGGCCTAGAATGCTATTTCAATTGGATAAACTACCTCTCAATCAAACGGAATTGCCGGAGAACAACGCTATGGCTCGCCAGAGTACCCCGGCACAGGGCCATGGGGGCCGAGATTTATTCGAGATATGAAGGTCGTTTAATTTGTCCGAACTACATTATCAGCGGGCATTCTCTTCTTCCACACAAGGATAGTTTTGTTTCTTTCACAAGACCGTTGGACCCTTTCACTCTTTTTAAGTGTCATTCGTTCATGATCATTAATTGAAGGTGCAAGATGGTCGCGAATGCTAATTATGGCACGGAGAACGCTCCGGACAATACAACGACCCTACCAGATGGGTTCACCCCGGTCGCGAATGGGCGCGAAATCACAACCGACGAAGAAAGCCCATTGCTGTCGCAGCCAGATAGTCCGGACCCCAAGAAAAATTCTTTGGTGGGCGTGGGCACCGTAATCGCGGTTCTCTTGCTTGGTACGTTGAAGCCCGTTGTTTGCGCATGTAAATACAATACTGACCATTGTATGAATGCAGGCGAGTTCGTTTCCAATGCCGATGCCACACTGGTTATGGCCGCCGCTGGCCACATTTCCTCCGAATTCAATCGACTACGCGATGCGAGCTGGCTCGCTACTGGATATATGCTGGGGCTTTGCGCCGTACAACCGATGGTAAGTTTTGCGGCTCGAGACCTGGGAATCAACACTGATTTGGAATAGTACGGCAAATTGAGCGACATTTTCGGTCGCAAGCCTCTTCTTTTGGTGTCATACTTCTTGTTTGGACTTGGTTGCATTATAAGGTACTTCCTCACTTTCCATTTCCAAGGTTAGGAGGGGCCTCTAACTGGTTTTAGTGGCGTTGGTTCCCAGTTGTGGGTGGTCATCCTTGGCCGTGCGATCAGTGGCATGGGAGGCGGCGGGTGCATGACCATCAGTTCAGTGATTATCACGGGTAAGCCAGACTTGTAATGTTTGTGAACTTAACTAATCAACTCCAGATATTGTCCCTAAGCGCGAAGTCGCTACATGGCGAGCCTATGTCAACATCTCCATGACGCTTGGTCGCAGCATCGGCGGCCCTTTGGGAGGATGGCTCAGTGACACTATCGGTTGGCGATGGTAGCTCTCACCATATCTTTCAACTATATGTGAAATGACGCACTAACAGAATTTCAGGCTTTTCATTCTCCAAACGCCGCTATTTATCATCGCCGCTATCCTGGTAATCGTCAAGCTCCAGGTTGATCAACCATCAAGTTCTGGCAAGCAGAATACTCTATCTCGACTTCGCAAAATCGACTTTTTGGGAATCGCACTCCTTGGCACATCCATTGTAGCCGTCACAGGTCTACTAGACCAAGGTGGAAAGTCCTTCCCTTGGAGATCATGGGTGACTGTGGTAGCCGGTGGTGGTGGACTCTTGCTGCTAATTTCATTCGTCCTCGTCGAAGCATATGTCGCCAAAGATCCCATTTTCGACTTGCGCATCCTGCGCCGGCCCAATGTGGCAGCTAGCTATGTTATTGGCACACTGCAAGTCACGGCACAGCTGGGCATGATGTTCTCGATTCCACTGTACTTCCAAGTAACGCAGCGCGCCTCGGTCACAGCGGCTGGAGGGCATTTGGTTCCCGCTGTGATCGGTAACACGTTGGGTGGGCTTCTTGCCGGTGGATTCATTCGTCGTACCGGCCACTACAAGGTTCTGCTTGTTGTAGCAAGCTTAGTTGCGTCGATTTCATATGTCCTGCTCTATCTTTGTTGGAATGGACATACCGGGTTCTGGGGATCGCTCGACATCATTCCTGGCGGCCTGGGTACCGGTATTGCTGGAGCAGCAGCCTTCGTTGCCATGACCGCTTCATTGCCGGTCGAGGAGATTGCCATGGCCACATCTGTTTATATGCTGCTCGTCAGCTTCGCCATGACAGCAGGTGTCACGATCTCCAACAACGTCCTGGGTCTTGAATTTCAACGACAGCTTCGTGCGAACCTTCACGGGCCCGGCTCGGAGACGGTAAGACCCCGGAAATATTCTTCATTCGATATATTACTAACCGCTAATGTAGATTATCAAACGAGCAATGGCCGATACCGATTACATCGCCCACCTAACTGGCCACCTGAGAGACGTTGTGGTTGACTGCTACCTAGCAGGTCTGAATCATACCTATCGTGAGCTCTCCGAGTTTTACTCTGTCACTCAAATCACTCTACTGACATGCCCTAGTTGTTTCTCTCGGTTGTTCTCTTGTTGCCGCATTCTTTGGCTTATTTATTCGACACCACCAACTATAAACGTCGATAAGGTAGCCTCTTTTACTTGTCCTATTTTCTTTCAGGCCAAATTCGATTTCAAGACTATATACTCGTTCAACAGCATTTACAAAAAGGTCAGAACTCTGATGACATCAGCAAATACAAGCTTCTTCTCCTCTTCACTCCTCACTACCGCTCCTTGTCGGCACTGACCACACCAACATCCATCGCCACACATCCTTCCGTCATTTCCCTATCCTTGCTCTACCGCCAGGTGTCGCTCTCAGTAACAGCAGTAGTAGCACAAGCTGCAGGCACAGTATACGAGCGGTTGGGGTCGCTTTCCCACTCGATAGTTCCATCGCTCTCGACCCGAATGTACTTATACTCGAAGACTGTGCCGGCAGGAAGGCTAACATCCACGAACCACAAGTGGTTACTGGAGGTGTAATCTGCTGCACTCAGTGCAACTGCATTGCTTGTATCCCAGTTACCCAGCTGGCTGATGGAACCTGCGATCTTGACATTCTCTCCATAGGTGGTTGTTGCGATAAGATCGAATGTAACAGCCACGGCGGTTGGGGTGGTGCAAGAGCTAGTCGAAGTGGTAGTCGTTGTAGTCTTGGTAGTGCTCGTAGTGGATCCAGTATTGGTGGTGGTCGCGCTTGTAGTAGTAGTAGTGGTTGTTGCTCCAGACACACTAGTCAAAGTTGCCGGCCAGGAAGTGGAGGTAGCCGTGCTGTAGGTACCAGTAGCAGATGTCGCGACACATGTTGCGGGAACGCTACTGGCAGAGGTCTCGCCCCAAGCAGCAGGGACGACGGAATTACGTCGGTTGTTTGCAGAGAGAAGAGCAGCATAAGACCAGGTCAAGTCTCGGGCAGATAACTGAGAGCCATCAGACTTGGAGAACTGCTCCGACATGGACCCGTTGGTCATGGCATATTTCTCCTATACAGAAATCAGTTTATGAAGCAGGGATAGATAGCTCGTGGCTCATGTACTTACCACAATGCTCATGTACCCATCAGCATAGGTCTTGACTGCACTGACGATTGTAGAGTAGGTTGCGCTGGATGAAGAGTAAGTTCCAGTAGCAGCAGAGCTGTACACGTCCTGGAAGAATGCAAGAGACACGGAATTGATGGTCAGAGAACCAATCCTGTTCCACTGGTATAAAGCATCATAGAGAAGCTCAGCAGCAGCCATGGTGCAAAGATACCAGGGGTTACCGTTGTAGTAAGAGTCCTCGGGGTAACGCCCGACGGATACGGCAGTGCCTTCGGCGATACCACTGTTAAGGGTATAGACAGAACGGAAAGAATCAATCACCACTTTGTGGTTAGCTAATGCTCGCGCAGAGCAAGGTTGGAAAGTGCTATCATCACAGCCAGCCTGGGGATCGAAAGTGTGAATGCTTCCTAACAGGGTATTGGCGTCCTTGCCAGTACGGCTGCTACCAAAGTTGGCCAGAATGTAGGATCCAGTCCAGAAGGACTGCAGGAAGCAAAGAATCTGAGGAGCCTGCGAGTCACAATACGAGCAGGAAGAGCCTACTTGACTCGCAAAAGTACTACCTTCAACCAAGGCACGGTGTTGTACCGCAATCGTGAAGAATGACTCTCCACTGACTTCCTCCCATAGGTCTATCCTATTTGTTAGCGTGAAGAATACCAAGACGGGCACTTCGAAAGAGGGAGCTGACCGTATCCAGAGCTGTTCCAGTTCTGGGCGACGTATGAGAGATCGTTGCGCACGATAGGCCAGATAATATTAGTTGCCTGGGTAGTGTATCCGTTGCTCTGGAGCATCTTGTGTTAGTCACGCGTGGTATGTCGGAAAGTCGTATGACTTACAATCAACCACTGCCCAAATGCAATCAAGGCGGTGGCTCGGAGCGCAGGTCCGTCGCGCTGCGGTCGACCCCAAGACCCAGTGTAGGCACTCTCATCAACGTTAAACTTGGGCTCACCCAAGCCACCGGAGGAGAGGGAGCCCGATGGGTTAGAAACAGTCTGGAGATACGCCTGAGCGCTGATATACTCCTCGATCACCGTGAGCAATGACGTGTCACCGTTCTTGAACTGATCAATCAAAACCTTCATGGTTAAGGCAGAGTCACGAGTCCAAGTATAATAGTCTACTAGCATCAGCCTTGAACATCCGGTGCTTCACGTTGGTGGGCCACTTACAATCAGGGCTGCTGGTGCTGGGACTGGCAATGATAATGCCTGGCTTCGCACTGGCAGCATAGGCACCACTCGATCCAATGTTATCAAGGATGCCTTGCCGTGCTACCGTGGTCTCCGATGCCAACCATGTGTCCAGGCTACCTGTTGCACGAGGTGCCAGCTGCGGTGCAGCGACCGCTGCGTGGGCGAAGCTTAGCGCATACAGCGCAGTCCAGAGTCTTGGAGCCATGAAGAAGGAGATTTGCAGTTGTATATCTCTCATTCATGGGCGCATATGCAGCTTTTTATATCCCAAGGAATCTGTGTTTCCTTTTCAATTTCGCTTCGGTAAGGATTGGGAGAAGACTACAAGGGGCCATGGACAGCAGGGGGTGGGGAAAAGCAGCGACACAGCGATCGACGGAATTCAGATATGGATTGCGCTACTGGCGACTCGTGGCTTGCTGATTGCATCATATTTGCTTCTTGTATCGTTCGTCACCTTGATCGGTAATTGCTTGTGTACGCCGCAATGCACTGCGGGGTTGATGTGATGTGATAGCCGGAGTATTCCGCATAATGAAACAATAATTCATCTATTGTACCCAACTTTGTAAAAGATGATGTCCTGTGATCGACATTTCTCTCCGATAGAGTGAGAATATCCCTACTCCCTTCAGCACCTGCCAAGATCTTGTTACAACGGTTCAAGCTTCGGGGCTCGTAATCCTAACGGACCTGTTGATGATCGCTAGCTGCTGTTCCACCTAGTTCGGAGGACGCTGCCAAGAGAACATCCGTTGCGTAGTGTCATACTACAGACACTAAAACTTAGCACCTCACAACTACTGCAGGCTTTCTGCATCTCCGTTGAACCCCGCAGTATTCCCGTCCCCTGTCCTGCAAACTCTGCTTCTTGTGGTCTGTCTAGAGATGTTACCACCAATCACGTCGCCGGTCTGCCCCGTCCCCTGGCCCGGTCGGCTTCGCCTAAGAACGTGGCGTTTTGTCAGAGAATGCGATCTGCATGTGAGGCTTCCACGACTTCCATGACTTGCGTCTTCTAGGGTCAAGAGCCGACATTAGAGGTAAAAACGTGGAGCCGTGCAGAATCTCTGGTCCACGCTCCCCGCAATGGACCCGGAAAACCTACTGATTCCGGCATGGCGTTGCCTACTAGCGCCGACTTTCCGAGCGACATCGGGCACTCGATACCAGGAACTCTTTTGCAAGTTGAATTGAATAGCAGCAAATTGGTCCTTCTGAACGGTGCATCACCGCCGTACGGTAGATTTACGCTCGGGTCAACTTCGGCGAAGACTCGTCATCAAATTCTTGAAACAATTCCCCGCAAGGTTGGGCATCATATCGTGCCATGAGTTCAATTCATTGGCCCTCTGGTCCGATTGGCGTGGCTCAATCACGTGGACGCCTCCAGCGCGGAGATTATTGAACATTCCAAGAGCAAGACAGTGCTGTCATTGTGCTCGCCGTTGATGTGGGGAATCCATGTATAAACCCGGGGGGGGGAAGCTGCCTTTGAATAGATTAATTTCTCACATGCAATCAACTGCAGACGCCATTGTCCATCTTGTGGGGAGTTACTATGAAGACTCTTGCATTTGCAGCAGCGTTGCTTGCGAAGGCTGTCGTTGCCCTGACGGCTGCAGAATGGCGAAGTCAGTCGATTTATTTTCTTCTGACTGATCGATTCGGGCGTACAGACAATTCTACAACAGCAACATGCAATGTTAGCGACCGGGTAAGGGATTCTATTCCAATATTCCTCGGTATGATTGAAAAAATTACTAAATGAATGCATTAGATCTACTGTGGTGGTAGCTGGCAAGGAATCATCAACCATGTATGTTGGTTTCCCATAACGCATTTTCTCAAGCACTACTGATAATCTTGCAAGTTGGACTATATCCAAGGCATGGGTTTCACCGCTATTTGGATCACTCCCGTCACAGAACAGCTCTCTCAAGACACTGGAGATGGCGAGGCTTACCACGGATACTGGCAACAAGAGATGTTCGTGATTCTTTTGACTTACAAGTGCGATTGAACTGACTATGTCCATTAGATATAACGTCAACACAAACTATGGCACTGCTGCTGATCTCCTGGCGCTCTCTCAAGCTCTGCACAGCCGTGGCATGTATCTCATGGTAGACGTAGTTGCAAACCATATGGTATACACTCTCTCTCCGGCAATCGTGCGTTCCGATTTCTGACTATATCTACAGGGATACGATGGAGCTGGTAACACTGTTGACTACAGTGTCTTCAATCCATTTGACTCTTCCTCTTACTTTCATTCGTATTGCGAGATCACCGATTACTCTGACCAGACAAATGTGGAGGACTGTTGGCTGGGAGACACTACAGTCTCCCTTCCCGATCTCGACACGACGCTTTCTTCTGTTCAGACCATCTGGTATGACTGGGTAGCCCAATTGGTCTCGAACTACTCAAGTATGCCACAATCTTCGAACAGTCTACACAGATTTTGAAATGCGCTAACATGCCAGGACAAAGTTGATGGACTACGAATTGATACGGTCAAGCACGTCCAGGAGTCATTCTGGCCCGGCTATAACAGTGCCGCAGGTGTCTATTGCGTTGGAGAGGTCTTTGATGGGGACCCAGCATACACATGCCCCTACCAGAATTACCTGGATGGTGTTCTGAATTATCCAATGTACGTTCCTCAACAACTTAACCAAATTTTCGTTATTTTTTTACTTTCATTGACTCAAACCAGTTATTATCAACTTCTGTACGCATTCGAGTCAACGAGTGGCAGTATCAGCGATCTATACAACATGATCAACTCCGTTGCATCTGATTGCTCCGATCCTACGTTGCTGGGAAACTTCATCGAAAATCATGACAACCCACGATTCGCTTCGTACGATCCCCCTTCTTTTGTATTGTATATTTTTTTTTTGTTTTCGCCACTGACACCCATCCTAGCTACACGAGTGACTACTCTCAAGCAAAGAATGTGCTTTCGTTTTTGTTTTTCTCTGATGGAATTCCTATCGTCTATGCTGGCCAGGAACAACACTATAGCGGCGGTAGTGACCCTGCCAACCGGGAAGCTACTTGGCTATCCGGGTACGCTACAAGCGCTCAACTCTATACATGGATTGCATCCACCAATAAGATCCGCAGTCTGGCTGTCTCGAAAGATACTGCCTACATAACGTCCAAGGTACGCATCAACAACCTATTTATGATAGGGCTCGACTAATAAGCACCTAGAATAATGCTTTCTACACTGACAGCAACACCATTGCTATGAAGAAAGGATCGAGCGGCTCACAAGTCATCACAGTTCTCTCAAACCGCGGCTCATCGGGAAGCTCATATACCTTGACTCTGAGCGGAAGTGGCTATTCATCCGGCACTAAATTGATGGAGATGTACACCTGCACCGCCATAACGGTGGACTCTAGTGGTAATATTGCGGTACCAATGGCTTCAGGGTTGCCTCGAGTATACATGCTGGCTTCTTCGGCGTGTTCGATCTGTAGTTCTGCCTGTTCGACAACTACAACGTCGTCTGTGACCTCAACTGCCACAACGACGTCAACGACCCTCAAAAGTACTACATCTACCACGTCCACGAGCTGCACGCAAGCTACTGCATTGCCCGTTCTATTCAAAGAAATCGTTACCACTTCATACGGACAAAACATCTATATCTCAGGCTCAATCAGCCAACTCGGTAACTGGGACACTTCTAGCGCCGTTGCCCTCTCCGCCGACCAGTACACCTCATCCAATCATCTTTGGTATGTTGTTGTGACAATTCCTGTGGGAACTTCATTCACATACAAGTTTATCGAGGAGACAAGCGGGTCTAGCAGTATCACTTGGGAAAGTGATCCTAACCGCTCGTACACAGTTCCGACTGGGTGTGCAGGCTCAACGGCAACTGTTACGGCGACATGGAGATAGTCAAATATTGTAGCTACACACGAGCATAAAGTCAAACATTAGCTTGATTTATTGCACGAATAGTACCATATCTTCGTTTGGTTGGTCATCGAAATTCTGAAATTATTATAGACAGTAATCAAGGCTTCAACTTCCCCCACGCATTACCAACCGGGCCCCTTAGATATGGAACGAAGCGACATTCGCCGCAATAAATTCAAAAGTATCCTGACGGAAGTTATCTGCCAGCAGAGCTCCATGGTCATTGAAAAAATTCATCAGGGTCTGGTTGGTGCTCCATTGCGGCCAGTTCATGTAGCTCTTCGCCCTGGAGTTAGGGTCCATATCATACACAAATGACAGGTAGTACGAATGAATCGACTTGGAGGCGTAATTTGGCAAGATGCCATAGAACACTTGTAAAATATCGGACCCATGGAAAGTGCCTAGAATAGGCGTTCCGTAGTCATAGGACGACAAGTAGGACCAAAAAGGTACATCGGGCTTCGCGCTTTGAGCGAGTGTTAGGAAGGCTCTTCGAGTAATGGTAAAGGTGAGATCGCCCAGTATTGCAGCGATGCGTTTGTACTGAGGATACCAATTATTGAATATACTAGTCCGGAATGGGGAGCCATCTGTCGTGGTATCGGGGTAGGTCGCGACCAACTTTTCCAGTTGCTCGCGAGAAGCATCCAAGAAGAATAATTTTTGGAGATAGTCAACAATTTGATCGGTGGTGCTGATGTTTGCTTGGAACAGAGCAAAGATTGTTCCTTCGTCTTCCTGATCGCCGATAATGAAGGGAACGGAGGCATACTTGCCGCTAGTTGCCAGGACCTCAGGTGAGTCCGTTAGCACTTTACCATCTGGTCGAGGTAGATAAGATAGTGCAACGGAATTATAGGACAAAATTCCAGGCACCGAGTTGGCAGCATTCAAGAATGTTGTATAATCCAGTCCACGCAAGCATTCCAAGGTATTAGACGCACTGGCACAGCCAGCAGACTCCACCACCTTGTCATAGACTGCTTGTCCTTTGACACCATCCACCGGATCGGCAGGTACAATACTTCCCGAATTCATAATCCCAGCTCGGAAGAGGGGTGCGCCATTGTATGTGTGGTCCCCATCGTAAAGGGCCATCTGATCAAATACGGAAATCGACCCAGCAGACTCGCCCCAGATAGTGACCTTCGTCGGATCACCACCAAATGCCTTGATATTATCCGCAACCCATTGTAAGGCGAGTCGTTGGTCAAGAAGACCTAGGTTGGCGGAACCGTCTTTGAGGATTTCTGACCCAGGCATAAATCCAAACCCGCCCACACGGTAATTGATGGCAACAAATACAATGGGCATGCCCAAACTTATCGATGCAGAAACCAAGCTTGTTCCATCATACATGCTTGTTGATCCTAGTTCAAAGCCACCGCCAAAGATCCAAACCAAAACAGGTAAGTTTGCACCAGCCGCGGTTCCAGTTGGGCGCCGTATACTGACAGTCAAGCAGTCTTCGCCGGCATTGGTGACCGTTTGGAACAGTGGAATATTCGTCAACTCCCCAAGCACTGAAAGTGGAAAATCGCTGGTGTCGGTGGTGAAAAAAAACTGAGGGCATGACTTGGCGGAACCGCTAGCTTGAACGGTTCCTAACGATGTCTGGATCGCTTGGGGTGGCTTCAGACGAAGCGAGCCAGTCGGTGCCCGTGCAAATGGGATTCCGTTGAAGCTGTCCACTCTGTTCGATCCGGATGAGCCAACCACTGTAGCTTGAGGCTGTGAGATGATAACTGTTGGTGCAACAGCTCGCTTCAAGTTCGCGGGAGCGGCGATGACCACAGGGACGGTGACCAAGAGGGCAATGTGAAGCAAGAAAAGCATTTTGACTCTCTTCGAACTGCAATATAGTTACAATTCTGGGTCACTGTAACACCTTATTGTTTCAATTACACTTTCCCTGAATCCGTCTTTTTTCCAGGACTAAAGGGACGGTTTTAAACCACTCCCCCACATCGCCAGCCATCCCCAAGATGGACGCATTCTCGAGTTCAACGACGAGGGCATCAACATGTGGTTCCTCGGTTGACGGTTAACAAAAGCGATCGATTTGATCTTTCATGCGTTTCAAAACCCCGCCGCGGGGCAGCGAAGATTCGGTCAAGCAGCGCATTCCTGACTTAAAGAGGAATATCCGCCGGCTCCCAAGGTCATGCGGTACCCCAAACGGTACTCATTAGGGTCCGAATAAATGATTAAACCTCTTCATCAAGTGGTCGGGTTGCATAACTCCCCCTCCCAAAGCCAACTGCGTGATTCTTGGTTGGACAGAAGGCCCGGTGGTGCCAAGTGCCTTCAACCGGCGTACTTCGGGCTTGGCCGTACGCGAATTACGAACGTGGTTGTCTGCTGACCACAAATCAAGGAACTAAGGGATCTAAGGGAGCGTATAGGGACTGTGAATTCCCGGTGGATCCCGAATGCTCAATAACACCAGCAGCCGTAAGCGAATCGCGGGGAACGCGGGGAACATCCTTGCCTTTCTGGGGACGCCCGGTGGAGCTAGCCGAGCGATCGCCCAACTGGAATCAGCAGATATCGGATGTTGCCATGCGAGAACAGCAGAAACAGAAGTACTTCTTCTGCAGAAAGTGTCGTGCAGCTGACTACGTTGTTCGTCGTGTTGTTCCGACCAAGCGGTGGTTATTGGCCAGCACCCCTGTGTTCCTGGAAGACCAGAAGACTCGGCCAAAGGCAATCCAATCACTATCAGTTGGCAGTGAATATATGCATCGGCAGAGTCTGGAAGTAAAGACGATCTCACCTTGACCATTACTCGAACAGCCTTCATGACAATCTCTCAAAGCGTGAAGCCCGATGCACTTTTTTGGTCCTATTCGTCGTCCTATGACAATATTCTCAGCCATGTTAGGGCAGCCTGGGATCGACAGCGCGCCAACAGTCTGATTTTTTCCCTCCTTCTCAAGGTTATCACTATTTACCATGCCGAGAACGGCATCATTCGTGCCACAATGCCTGTGGATGCCCTTCATTCCAACTCAAAAGGCACACTGCGTGGCACATTATCAGCATGCGTGAGACTAAGAATACTCCATCTAATGTTGGATAGTCAATTCAAAAGAGTCTTTTAGCTATTTGGTCATGATGCTGATCTTGGTTTGCGGCTAAGGTTTCTCGCAAATAGCGATTGAGTCTCCTTTCAAGTATATTGAAGTGAGAGGTTCAAGAAACCATTGCGAGAATGCGAGAATGCGAGAATGCTAGGATTCACAACCGTTCCCAGCGTGAGGTATCCTTATCCCAGTATTTCCATCTAACTCGAGCGTCCGGTAAGGCAAGCTCAAAAATTGCGAACCGTTGGGCAGGCTCAACCGAACGTCGGGGTTGCCCCTCTACGCCAACAATTTAAGAATCGGCAGAATCTCATTTTCAGGCATTCTTTTCCCCATATAATCTACGCACATCCTATATACCCTGTTTTAAGTACCATTTCCCGCACCGAAATAATCGAAATCGATTCAGATTCAATGACTACTGACATTACTGTAGAATGTAGATATAATCCGTAATGTGATGTTGAATCCTCTTACGGCCTAACATCTTTACCTAAACCTATTAACTATTACAATCGTAACTAAGATAGAGGGGTAGTTTCCTAGATAGTTTTCTAGACCGTTTCCTAGACCGTTTTCTAGTTAATCTCTATGTTGATCTTATAGCGATGTAGCAAGGATAAAACGTATTAAGAGTGGAAGAAAGGCGGTGAATGCCTTTTGAAGAAATCCAGGGTTATGGCCTTCTCCCCCCTATAGTCCGCCGTAGTCAGGGCGAATCCTTGCCCGCCGAGTATTGAATGCGCCCTGGTATTTTCAAAAATTGTAAGTGCTTTGTGAAGAAATGGCTAATATTGGCCGTTCTTACTCAGGAGCTGAAAATATGGCTCCCGACATCGATGCATCACTCAAGCTCTTCTAGGAGAATACTCGACTATGTCTTTAAACTAACGTTCAATGAAGGCAGTGCTATTCTCGTGCTATTAACAGCAAAGATCCACGGTCCCCCCGGCAAGAGCCGAAATGATCATGTATGTTGGTGAAAATTCCTCTCTTCGCCGACATATTGCGTCAAAATCAAGCACCTACCTTGTCTGCGTTTGGGACGTAGGGTGTTTCAAAGGGACGCTCCGCCTGTGGCGTGATGCGCGCTAAGTGTCGACGCTCACCTGTTGTCCAGTCAATAATCGCAGAATGAGCCGTCACCCGGTTCTGGATGCTCATTAGCATATTTGACTATTTGCCACGTTCTCTAAGGTGTTTCTTACATCCCAAATGACCACTGTCTTTGGTGCCCATCGGATTCGAGCCTGATAGTCAATGCCACGACCGACATGAGCAAGCAAGAATCCTAGAAGAGCTTCACTTTCCTCCGTTTTGAGGCCGACGATGCTTCGTGTAACTTGAATCATTGTCAGTCTTTATAAAATTCCCGTCCACAATGGTGTACATACAGCCTGCGTTGACAAAAAGTGCCTTCTCACCCGTAACAGGATGAGTACGAACGATAGGATGCTCGTTCTTCACGGGGTCTCTTCTATCCACTCCTCCACGCTTTAAACTGTTTTCAGCTTGCTCAAATCCGGAATGTACTGCTTTGAGACCATGGAGACGCTCTTTTATCGCGGGCGAAAGCCGATTATAAGCCTCGGCCTGGTTCACGAAAATTGTATCTCCACCCACCTCCGGGCCATCAAGAAGATACAGGAATGTAGTGCCGGGGGGTTGTTGCTCATAAGTAACGTCAGAATGCCAAGAAACACTGCTATTCTTAGCTGCAAGATATTCATCATATTCCCAGGCATTATTATTCCGATGAACGAGATGGATCTCTGGATAGCCTTCTGGGGCCCCGCTAGTGGGATGAATATGGTGTCGCCCGAAATAGCCTCCAAAATCGAGCGCTTCTTGAATAGGCAGGTCTGCAAAATCTTGATCCCGGAATGCGACTACTTTGCGCTGAGCAACGAGCAGAGCAAGTTGATCCTTTCCAGCGGCAGTGAGCTTGCTCAGTTGAACACCTGTAACTTCAGATCCGATGGTGGGGGTGAGCTTCTTAATTTGAGACCCTGCTGGAAGAAGATCTTTCAAGGACGGGTCCGCATCTTTGCCATGATCAAGGTGTGTGAAAGGTTCGAGAGGTGGGTATTTCTCGCCATGGTCCCAGACGGGCAGATAGTGTGGATACTGTGTTCATTAGATCTTCATCAGCTTTCCTTGCTTGGAACAATGGTATGGGAATATCTTACAGTGGCGGTAGACTTTCCTCCCTCCTCTTCAATGATTCGCCTTACTTTGGGCTTGCTCACACTTGCCTGAGGGTCGACCTTTGCAGGAACAACAGCCTCGGCAGTGAAACCTTCCGCGATAGAGGGTGCCATGTCTTGAGGATACCTTGGTATGGGCGATTTTGTGCTTGACGTGAATAAGAAAAAGATATTCTTTCAGGATGAATATGACTGTGGACAAGTATATAAATTACGACTCTGCGCCGGTTATTTTCTTCAATCTTCGCATCATCTCATCACAGAATCACGTATCGATTTATCAAAAAGTAAGATCTTGCGCCATTTGTCTGGTTGGCTTAGGCCTCAGATAACTACCTCGTGTCTTCAAGAATTTGTAAGCAAGATCACCGGTCGCTTTAAACTGTGCGATGATTGCGTGATTGTGCATGACGGTACAAGTTTATGCCAAATTTAAAATTTCAGAGCAAGAAGGCAATAGACAACCGACTGCTTGGGTTGGGTTCAGTAAAGGGGATCGTTTCTACAAGAAACCCCCCCCAGCGGGATCATATTTAGTCATGTAGAAATTCCATGTCTATAAGAGTTTAGATACTGTCTTGTGTGAAACGTACGAATGTAGGACCATGTTGTTTCTAATGGTATGGCGTGATTCCTTGCCTTCAGAGTTCCCCCACAATCCCATGATAGTACTCGCCAAGCCTTTCTTACTTTGGGAACAATCCGCTCCCCCTTCCCCCAACTCTCCATTCGGGTTCCGGGCGGGGAACTAGTTAGGCCAGAAGCGTGGTCGAAATATATCCGTCAAAGCACCATCGAACGTGACATCGAGCACCATGTTTCCCACGGTACCCCTCTCGATCAAACATGAAACCAATAGTACAATCAGCACCGCAAGTATCATGGGCAGAATCATAGAGAAAAGCAACGGCTTCTTTCTATCATGTTGGGCCTGAAACGTTTTGCGATAATTTTAGAAGGAATCCTATAACTTAATTCCCAAACATTCACAAGGGATCCACTTACATCGTAGATCCAGTCGTTCGAAAATTCAAAGTGTGTGTCATACCACATGTCGAAGGAGCTCCATGGGTAGATAAACCAGTTCTTCTGAGTATCCTGGTCGACAAAATACTGCCACAAAGAATGCATCAGATAGTGGTGACTTGTGGAAAAACTTTGAACGACTCACACTGAAGCAGGAATTGTTGAAGATAGTCTTGCCGATCGCGTCATGTAAATTCTCATTGTAACTTTTCTCACTTTCGGCCTTGACTTCTACAAAGGAAGAATGGCCGTGTACTACCGGTGCTATTACCTGGATGACAAGATCGGCGTAGCTAGACGAGGCTTAGTAAGATATGAAATGAAGCAAGGGACAGTTACAGTAACGCTGACATACTTTTCAATGGAGTAGATGGTAGAAGTATGACCTTTTCCAGAGTTAGGCCCTAAGACGTAAAAGAAATTTGGAAAGTGAGACATGGCAATAGACTTGTAGGCCTCCTTGTAGCCAAAGTCTTTCCAATGCTCGGATCGGGTGCGACCATTTCGACCTATCACCTCTACATCATACTGCGTCAAAGCGAAGCCGGTGGCAAGAATCTATGTCGGAGTGAGAAGGATGTTCGCTTCCAGCTCAACTTTATAGGGGATATGAAAATCATCACTGATGACGAAGATACTTACAATGATATCTGCAGGGTATTCTTGGCCTGATTTGGTCTGGATTGAACGAGGCTGGATTGCAGTAATCGGATCGTCTGTAAGATTCACATTGCTTCGCTGGAGACAATTGACATATTTGCAGTTGTCGAACACTCGTCGCTAATTTTGTAAATTCAATGTCTTTTCTGAGCTATAAAACGGAAAGACTTACTTTGCATCCGATCTCGTACTTCGGCATAAGCAGCGACCAATATTTCTCTTAGATCCGATACCAGTCAGCAGGGTGCAGAGACAATAACGGTCATGGGGTTAATTACCTGGCGCATTTTCTCGAATGTAGGCTCTGCTTCTCTCTGCCGATCGGTCCCTTGCCCTCAGGCCATTTCCTGTCATGTTGAACCTGACCGCGGTACTCTCTAGGAAGAGGAACACGAGGATCCTAAAGAGCAATAGAGCACCAGGTACATAGCGAAAGAAAAGTCTCCACTTGTCATTGATCTCCATGTTCCCATTCTGGAGATAGAATTGTGGTGTCTAGCCATGTCAGGACTTTGCTACCTCGTTCGCTGAATCTGAGGAGCCACTTACCCGGATGAATTGGGAGATACTTTTCGCCTCGTCAACGATTGTCGGAATGAGTTGAGCGGCTGAGCCTGAAATCAAATCAGCATCTTTTCAGTTAAAAGGGCCTTTTGCGGCTCACATCCGTTTCCAACGACAATGACATCTTTCTGGTGAAGGGACAGTTCCGGTCTCCAGCATGCTGTGTGAACTATGTCACCTTGAAAACCCTCAATCCCTGGAACCGTGAAATGATTGGGATTCACTAGGCCCCCCACGGCAGAGATGAGTATTTTGCATTCCTGGTAAAAGACTTCGCCAGTAGATATATCCCTCAGCTTGATAAGCCAGGTACTGGTCAACTCTTGCCAGCAAGCTCCCTCCCACTCTGTGTTACAAACAATATGTGGCCACACATCGAACTTTGCCGCAACGCTGTTGAAGTATTTCAAGATCTCGGCCTGCGAAGGGAACACTTTGGAGAACTCCGGATTTGGGGCAAAAGACAGGCTGTAGAAAACAGCTGGGATATCGACGGCACAACCGGGGTCTTTTTATCTCGTTAGCCTCTATTATTCAAAAAGCTGATGGAGTGAAGTCTAGGAACATTTGTTTGCCCACCAAGCTCCCCCTGGCGCAGAAGAACGATCATAGATGACATAGTCCTTGCAATTGAGCTTTTTTTGAAGCTGGCATGCTGTGGCCAGTCCAGAAAAGCCGGCTCCAATGATCGCCACCTCGGTAAATGGTCTATTCGTGCAGGAAGCCATCGAGAGAAGAAAGATTTCAGTGTCTTTTTGATTGTTATCATACCTAGTGTCTCTTCTCGTGTCAGTTATATGTCTCTCAAGCCTGGAATTACTGCCCAATTATCTAGGAAAGTCCGGTGCTCACCATTGATCGACAATTGAAGATAAGTGACAGACCTGCACTTAAGGTTTTCCATTCCATCTGTCTGCATATCGGGGTAACACAATTTTCGTGATCACCAGTGAACGATTGAATTTTGGCACCGTTCGGAAATGTTAACCATCAAGTGGTTTCCGGAAATCGGCAAGGGTTGCTGCAGATTTACAAATTCAGCTATTTCATCTGTATGCCGAGGTCACACAGCTCGTTTTGATGAACAATAATTGATGCAATCTCGATATCTCTTGGGAACGAAAGGTACGCAGTAATTTTTCGACAGCGGGACGGCTCGCTGTAGGTTTACAAATTAGGCTATGAGATCTGTATGCCAAGGTTACACAGCTCGATTCGATGAGAATTGATCGATTCGATCACGATATCCCTTGGGAATGATAACCATCCTGTGGCAACTTGACAAGGGCAAGGCTGGCTGCAAATCTACAAATTAGGCTATTTAATCTGTATGCTGAGGTTACACAGCTCATCTAGATAAGAAGTCATCGGTTCGATCTTAACATTTTTCAGAAATAACAACTATGAGGTGATTTCTTGACAACGGCATGGCTCGCTGCAGGTTTATAATTTAGGTCGTTTCGCATATGTGGTTACACAGATAACTTTGATGACCAGTGATTGATTGTAAATCTACACCACTAAACAGTTGCCATGGGGCTTCGTTATCGCTATCTAGATGTGTGGTAAGGGCTGCCCATATTTCGAGATCTATTCTTGGAAAAATATATCCAGCCAGTGATATATGTCTCAAAGGTGGGACTCAACCACTCAAATCTGGACATGCGTACTTCATGTCAGAATTTTGCCGAGCGAAGATATTTCCCAAACTAGCGAACCGCATAACGATGTGCATCTTCAAGCGGTTATCAGCAATACAGTGTCTGAAAGTGGCAAATAAGTATTTGATATTGTCTTTCAAAATTATGCGCTGAAGACGAGACACCTATTTGATGCAATATTTATAAGCATCAAGGTCAGACTTTATTCAAAGTAAAACACTTGTCCAGTGAAAGTTTTTGTACATGTCTGAGTTCAATATGCCCTGTTACATGTTCTATCAACCCTTGGCTGCCGCGTTTGTCGCAATCTCAAGTCTTCTGAGAGTCATCCAATCATTTCGTTCCGATCCCACTTCTTCAATCATGGATATCCTTATCATTACTTGTCTTGTTCTAGTTGACTTTTTTAATACTGTTGGCTTGTTGAGGATTGTCGGGGTGCTGATACCCTTATGCCTTCTTGTTGTTACCACTGTTGTCCTCATCTGGGCATTAATGGTAGCATACGTTCGCCGAAAGTTAAATTTGTTCTGCCAGGACATTTCAAATCAGGAAAAATGCCTCTTAGGAAGACCTCTGTTCTTCCCCTCACGGCTGACGCATGCGAGAATGTTTCCTGAGAAATATCATTATGGAATTGACTACTTTCTCGTTGGAATCCCCGTTGGATTACGTGGTCGAGTCGGAGCATTGATTGCCATTGACAGTGATGAATCAGATCAACAATTTCCAGCCACCTCTTTTCATATCTTTGCTAAAAAGCTCTTCCGAAAGTTCCTCTGGTTCAGCATGGACACAAGTCAATATCTTCATCGCGGAGACGGCCATATGAGCTTGACTCAAAAATTAGAGATCTTCTTGAAGGAGAGGGTATGTGCATTTTAGATCCCAGAAATTCATACCCAGATCTGACCCTTCTAGGGCGAGGATATATCCAATTATCCTTACGCATATCTCATCGGAATTCCGCAGTTCTGCTGGTGGACTAAAAGCCCAATATCCTACTGGTATCTGTACTCTCCTTCCAAAGAACTGAGTGCGATAATTATGGAAATCAACAATTCATACGGAGAGAAAAAGAACGCTTTTTGTCAATTGATCCGAGAAGAGAACTCCTGTTTTGAAACAAAGAAACCTTCGCAAACCGTCAGCACTGCGTTGGGAACGGGTAATACAGGCATTCAAACAGTTCGATTCGTATCGTCTGCGCCCAATGCCAAATATTATAAAGGCAGCTGGAACAAAGATATCTTTGCTTCGCCATTTGAAAAGGTTGAGGGCTGGTTCAACCTGCGCTTCATGGATCCTCTTGACCCGTCGCCTGAGAAGGGAGGTCCACTTCATTCCAACATGACTCTAATGAGCAAGGAGGGCAAGCCCAAGTTGTCTAGCCGCTTGTTTTCAAGCGGTCCGCCTTTTGACCCTCTGTCAGCCTCACCGTGGGGAATGACCAAGTTCCTTATCAGCTGGTCATTTGTTATTCCGGCGTCTATAGGGCGAATTGTGGTGGAGGCTCTTCGAATCCGGTTTCGAGGCAATATGCCGTATCTGAACAAACCGGATGTGAAGAAGAACAATATCCCACGTAACGCATCGAAGCCAGAAAGGTATGTTCTTTAGCATGTTGTGTCCATTAAGTGCATTGTTGACTCCTTGATGACAGAGTTCTGGAAACATTTCTCCGAATGTATCTCTCGGAAATGGTGAATCAATGTCAGATTCCTCTGGAAGTGATTTATACACCTTCGAAGTCACTCGGCCTCCATCCTATCTCTATGCATTCTCCAGTTAAAACTCTCACATCAGCCCCACCACCAGTGCTGATGATACAGCCTCTCACCCCGAAGTTCTACACAAACATTTTGAAATATCCCGATGCCCTCTCTGGCTTTGCAGCTGAGCTCGAGAGCGACCCCCAAGTCTCAGATCCGATATCTCAACGCATATGGATTTCTGATCTACTGCTTCTGGAAAGGTTGCTTGGGCCAAAGCTTATGATGAAAGACCTCCGAGAAAACTCTCCATCTGCACACCACTCCTCGCGTTCCCACAATTTAGGGTGCGAATCTTTCATGGACGACTTCACCGTTAGTCAATGCTCTAAAGCTATGCGCAAAACGTACCGGCTCGCGAAAATTCACTGCTATCTCACGGAGAAGTTTGCGTGGGGCTCATACAGAATCGCTGACTTGTACTGGTCGATCTTGTGCGTTGTTTCCATGCGTCTAGTCTGGAAATTTCTATGGTGGATGCAGTATAAATGGGCTATAGGGAGACTCCCAGATTTCTTCATGGTTTCTGGCTTCTGTTTCCTGTTTCTTCAAATGCTGCAAAGTCTGACGAGGAATATTTATTAATTGGTGAAGGGTGTTCGTAGGGGATGCTGTTCGCAGGAGATGTGGTAAATAGCGAGGTTCTTTTATCTCCAGATAGCTAGTCGAACCTCAGAAAAGACCTCAGAAGGACCCTAGGAAAGGGAAAAAGTAGGAGAGGGGGGGAACAATAACTCGGGAGACGGTTTAGTAGAGGTCGCGTATACAGTCGCTAACGATACTAGCGAGAAGCGTTAATACATAGAATTATACATGCATATGGTCAAGCAGGCATTTGGAAAATCTCGAATGAAACATTTGGTATTGAGGAGGGGCGTTCTTAACGGGACAAGCTTTGTCGCACCATGAACCTTTCTGTCATGTCGTTAATTGTTCTATAACCATAATTGACCAGAGGCACACAATCCCGCAAAGTAATTGATTGCCCAATTTTCAGATAGGGGCATAGTTAGCAATACAGACTCATTGTCATTCTGTTGGTGCACCTACATGGCTTACTCATCTGTGTTCCGACATAACTAACTAACTACTGTATGTTCATCACATGCGAGCCATCGCAGTTATTCGGTGATTAACGTAAACCTTAAATGTTGCCTTTCAACTATGGATCCACCCTTAAACCCACAAAGTCTAGTCGGGGAGATAATTGCTCCGAGCGGCAGTTCTTCATCAGTAGCTCGACTGCCCTTTATTTGGGGTCGCGGTCAATCATTAGGAGAAGTTCCGAAGCAAAAAACAATTCACCAGGGTTTCCTTGGCCTAACGTCGAGATGGCAGGATTCGTGGCAGCATTTGCCAACCCATTCAACTATATTGGCGGCGTCAGTTTCAGCCCACAGAAAGATATTCCGGACTTGACCGGGAAAGTTGCGCTGGTAACGGGCGGTATGTTAATTGACCGCGCTCTTTTGGCTAGCTACATCGACTCATCAATCTGCAGGAAATTCTGGTCTTGGTAAGGAAAGCATCCTCCAGCTAGCCAGACATAACCCATTCAAAATATTCCTTGCCGCTCGCTCAGAGTCTAAAGCCGTGGAGGCTATCGATTCTATCAGGTCATCTATCGCCAATGATGTTGAGATTGTCTGGCTGCCTCTGGACTTGACGTCCACCCAGTCGATTCGAAGTGCTGGCGAGCAGTTCAAAAGCCAATGCCAACGGCTTGACATTTTAATTCTGAATGCTGGCGTCATGTCTCTTCCCTCGGGTGAGACAGAAATGGGACACGAAATCCAACTTGGAACAAATCACACCGGTCATTTTCTCCTCACGAAGATGTTACTACCGATACTACTCAAGACTGCCGAGGAACTCCACTCCGACGTCCGTGTTGTGTCACTCGCATCGGTCGGGCACAACCTTGCTCCGTGTTTTGACACGATTCTAGACCAAGAGAAGCTCAAGAAAGTCAACACAAACGCTCGTTACGGAGCATCAAAAGCCGCGAATATTCTTTTCGCTGCGGAAATCAGCCGCCGATACCCGTCCATAACCTCGGTATCTGTTCACCCTGGCATCATCTTGACAGATCTATACGACTCCATGAACTCGCGATCACAGGTCATCGCATTGGGCTCTAAGTCATTGCGACTCTTTGGCTCTTCGATATCGAAAGGCGCATACAATCAACTTTGGGCGGCTGCTGGCGCTCGAAAGAAAGACCTTGTTAACGGAGGATATTATGTCCCAGTGGGGAACTTGAAACATCACAACAAGTATGCACAAAGCGTGGAAATGGGAAGACGCCTGTGGGAGTGGTCTGAAGGTGAAGCACAAAAATGGGGATTTTGAAGTGTCCTCGAACTCCGTAGTGTGAGTAGATTTAATGTGAAGTCCTCAAGTTTGTCGATTTCTATGTCATTTTAGACCTCGAGAAAACGAGAAAGGACATACAAATCTCATCGCTTATTGGTTCGTGGTAAATAGACTACCATCTTTTGATTCTTTTCGGAGTATTTGATAAATCCCAAAGCCGAATTGATACTTGGATGAATTGGCGTAATTTGAGCTAGATGTATCTAGTGCTGTTCTGGCACGCCGTCTATTGAAATTAAGAGAATCTATCTCTATCTCTGACCTTTTCTAGCTATCCCCTCACCATCTTATATGTTGTGGCCCATATCCTTGGTTTGTCTATCGGTCGCGCATGGGAAAGACTCCCTGGATGAAGGGTCCTTTAGAAAACCTTGCTTTTGATCTCAACCCAGGAAGGTCCACGATTAAAGAACATGCATTCATCTTCATCATAAGTAAGAATTCACTCGTCAATCAATACTGACTATTTGGAAGGAAATTAACCAAGGACTATAATGTGTCAATATTAGTGCATCCACCGCCTATGCTCAAGGCGCCTTGTCTGCCATTGTGAGTCCAGTATACTGAATTCGCCAGATGGGAGCTGGCTTTCCTTTCTATATCTTTTGACAACCCAAATTGTAGGCTACGTTCTTCATACTTTGCTTCAACGTCATACTACTGACTACCGATAGGATTTACCCCACTGGTCTCTCTCGTCGGTGGATCGTTCACCCAGCTGCTTTGAACTGGCCTACTTCGCTGCCCTCAACGGTCCTCTTCCGATCACTGCATGAGCCGGAGAGCAAGAAACCAGCCAAGTGATAGTCTATAACCCGCTATTGCTGCTTTGCCTACGTGATAATCCTCGCGTTTGTCGCGTACTGGTTCCCATACTATATCTGGACAAGTCTCAGCACATTTGCTTGTATCATATGGCTTGTTCCAAATAACCAGAAGGTCAACATTTTGTTCGCAGTAAGGATATCGCATAGTTTGGCAGTGAATTTCCATAGCTGACAATTGAGATGAAATCTAGCTGAGGTCTGTTAAAGATCAGCTTCGACTGGACCCAGATTAATTACGCTGGCTATCCACTCACAACTCCATTCTATATCTCATGTAATGCCTTTGCGGTTGTGGTGCTCTTCTACTTCTTTCTAGAGGATGTTCATCGGCGTCTTATGCGTGCGTACAGAGAATTTCCGGATTGATGGTACGGAGTTCTCACATTGGTCGTACTAGGGCTTGGAGTCTTGACGACCAGATACTGGGACACCGAACTTCTAGTTTAGGGCTTCATCGTTTCCTGCTTCAGAATAGCTGTGCTCTTGATTGTAGCCGAAGGTATCCTCCATGGAACCACAAATCAACGTGTATTTCTCAATATTATCATGGATATGATTGCCGACTATACCTGGCCTGGTAAGCCTATCGCTATAATGCGGTTAAACTCAGTATGGACATCGCAGAGCACCTAAAGCTCGGTCAATATATGGTATATTTTATCCCTTATCTCACGGAACTATGGGTATTTCCAGAAAATCCCACTGTGTGTTCTATTCTTCGCCCAGATCTATACTAGCATTCGGGCGACAGCCACTCAGACCGTAAAGTTCAGCTTCCCGGAATTCATCATGAATATTGGGAATTACCACTATAGTCCCGCAATGAATCATGGGTCATTGACCTCTGTGAGTCGTCAAACAAGCAACGCTTTACTTGAAATGGCGCAAAGGTCATATACAATGCGTCCATAATTTGGGGCACCATTGACCCGCAGCGAATGTTCCAGTCCAGCCAGACAATTAACGGACTTGTGCATTTTCTCTTGATTGAAGAGATTGGAGTGAGTTACTGAAACTGAACGAAGCCTGTCTTGCTATTATTTTGCTTACTCCTTCGTGTCTAGCCTGTTGTTACGGTACTCGTCTATCTGCTCTACCGTTGCTACTCCAATAGTTAGACTCGCTACATCAATGTCCCGATCTCCTTCAACGCGGCTTTTAACATCCCGCCTGCGAACCCTAGTGAGGTCCAAGAAGATCAACCCTCCAAACTTCAAAGCTAACGAAACAGCCCAATATTCTCTTTGGTTCAGATTTGGCTTTGTATCCAACTACCTGATCCGCAAGTGTGCATTTGACCTATGGAAACGCTATAACTGTAAGATACTAGCTGAGTCCTTGAAGATGACCTACTTAATTTGATTTGTACAGACTTGCTGCAAGCCGCGATGGATACCGGCACAGCTATTGCCAGAATCATCATCTGTTTCGATCTGGGACATCATTCTATCACGTTTGATTGGTGGGGTAATATAGTAAGCTCCGATACATCCGATGCAAATTCACACCTATGGTTGACTGTTCCTTAAGGTGGTCATTTTGGAAAAGGACCTGGTGAGTTTTGACCAGCTGTATGCGGCGCAGCGAGAGACATTGGCGTTGATCAAGAAACTCTTCCTCTTTGGATGCTTCAGTGCATTTTCAAGGTTGCTGGAATATTTTACTGACGTGAGCTGACTTTGAGAGTAATCCCTTCAGGTTAGCCATATCAAGTTACGCCAGTGTTGGTTCAAGACTCGAGAGGAAGAGTTACAAATACCTAGATGAAGCCTCAATTTATTGAGATCCTTTCTCTCCGATCACTGCAGATACACAGA